TGTCAGTTTTTGCATTGATAAATAAGCCAAAAACCCTGAAAGATTTCATTGAGAATTAGTTCCGTTAAAGATAAACTTCAAAGGCTTTGTTTTTACTAAAAGTAGAGTGGCAAGTGAGATGCGTGCAGCAGATGTTAAAAAAAAATATTTGAAACAAATGTATCTTTACCAAAGGTTGTGTTTTAAATAATGACTTTTATTAATTTGTTTCTTAGAACTTTTAGACTACGGTAAATGGCATATTGGCACAATCCAGTAGCAGATCCAGGATTTAATTTGAAAAGGCTGCAGCCCAAAAGCTTTTTTTTTTTTCTCATGCATATATAATAATAATTACTTCGGCAAAAAAAGAAAGAAACTAACTACCTATGTATATGGAATGATTCTTATAAGGTAGAACTATCAAAGAAAAACAAATGTGATTACACGAACAATAATACATTTAGGTATATATGTTTTATAATATATGCTTATATTGAGTTGCTGTATATTTATTTTAATTTTTTTTTTATATTATATATTGTGATATTTTTGAGTATTTTAGTTTAGATCACTAACAGTAACAAATATAGACCTGTGAAAAAAAAAAAAAAATCATTTTTTCATTTTAGGAGAGTGGAGCTCAGCCCGAAAGCTTACTTCCGCCCCCTCCCCAGCTCCCCGAAAATCCGATAGTGGTATAATCCATTTCAAGAGTATCTATCGTAAAGACTTTTAACAAGTTGAAAGCGACGCTGGGAATAGCACTAGGATCAAGTTTAAGTTCTCAACTATATTATTTCGTTCCAAACCGAGCCCTCAGGAGAGCTAAATCTATATTACTACATTTTCGGCGAAATGATATGCTTGCCCCCTCAATATTTTTATTGTCCCCCTTCTGCGCCTATCTTCTTACCTGCATTTTAGAGACCAAGATGTGTTAGGAATTTAACCATTATAACTCAACATAATTTTTTCTATTAGAGAATGGGCTCTATTTACGCCATATCATATTTTTTAAAATTCATTATGGGTAAATAATTGTATCATTTAGTTCTTTTACATTTGACTTAATTTGTTTGTGATCAGCAAATTAAAGACGAATTGATCGGCATTGTTTGCAACCATACTTCCTAAACTCAAGCATTTTCTTGTAAGTGTGAATCTAGGGACTGAGGACTTATCCTCTTAAAGCTTACTTATATTTTGAAAATGAGTTAATATAAAATAACCTAAACGAAATTACTATCGAACTACACTCAGTGTACAGAGCTTGACTAAAATTGACTTACACCTTTATAGAAAAACTAATGCAATAGGATCTGAAGTTGTAAAAAAAAACAGAAAGGATCTTGAAGCAGTGTTACTCAGGACCATTGTAGGACGTTATTTAAATTAATCATTTGAAATTTTATCTAGATAACGACTAATAGATAAATTTTTATTCGTTATTCTTATTCGACGACCTTTGAACAGATTATTATTTGTTATTTACAAATAATATGCATTATCTACTATCTATTATTTGTTATTTAAGATAAAAATACGATTCCAATAATTTTGTTGTATTTTAAAGAATTTCTTCGATATTTAGGTCTATTTATATGTTTTTGAAAATGGTCTTCAGCATTTAGACATATCGGCCCCGGGCAGCGAGTTTTTGTAACCTTTCGGATTTAATCGACAGGAGGGTGAACTATTATGTTTTGGGGAACGCTTTTTATGAAAGTACTTCGGATTTGAGATCGCGCCCCCGGGCAACTTCTTTTTGTAACTTTTCGGATTTAATCAATATGCGGGTCGACTATTGTGTTTTGGGAGGCCCTTTTTATGAAAATACTGTCGGATTTGAGATAGCGCCCCCGGGCAACTACTTTTCGGATTTAATCGATATCAAGGTCAACTATAATGTTTTTGGGGGCGCAATCTAAAATCTGAGTTTTTTTTCATAAAGAACGCCCCCCAAAACATAATATATGATCCTAATATTGATTAAATACGAAAAGTTACAAAAAGTCGATGCCCGAGGGTGCCTACTGAAATCCGAAAGTATTTTTGTAATAAGGGCCCCCCAAAACATAATAGTCGACCCTCATATCGATTTAATCAGAAAAATTACAAAAAGTCGATGCCCGGGGGCGCTATCTCAAATCGGACAGTATTTTCATCCCCAACCCCAAACCCTGATATGGAAGAAATCTGAAAAACTCAAAAAAGTCGCAACGCAGTGGCGTTATCTTAAAATTGGGATCATTTTCAAAAACTATGGGTCTGAAAATATATAAATTAGTCCTTATATAAAAGAAAAATAAAGTTAGCGTCAAATTATTCCAAATTTATTTGAAAAAATTCGAATAACAAATAAAAAGATAATAGATAACTTGAAATTATTTATTATCTAGATAAAATATAAACAGAATTATTCGTTATTTGTAGTTGAAAGTTCGAATAAATTATTCGTTATATATTATCTTTTATTTAAGATATATTTTGCCCAACACTGCCCTGGACTCAAAGTAGAACCTAATTTTCCTTTTCACTTTGCTTCCTGTAACTTTAAATTTTTTTTTTGTGGCATGAGCATAATCACAAATGACACCCATAAAATGTGTCAGTCAAGTGACATGCACATTAATAATATTTTTAAAAATGTGGATATTGAGATTAGCCATTAGAACATTTCTCAACAGAATTAGATTTAAACCACCTCTCAAATTAGTACACAATGGGCAGCTTACTATACTATGTTCATACTTTGTTTTGTGACACATTAAGGATTGAGAAATCGGCATTTAATATATTTTTTTTTAAATGGGGCATGTAATTACAAATATAATATAATAATAGAGAGTAGTATATTGTATTACTAAAAAGGATAGATCATGACAAAAATTATTTAACTGTTTTCAGGGGTGCTTTGACCCAATTATATTCCTGACTTTAATATGTCTAAAATACTTGAGATAAAAATAAAATTTTTTATTTCATTCTGAAAATTTCGCTCAACCTTTGTCTTAAAAAAAAAAAAAAAAAAAAAGAACAGAAAATCCAGTTCACAAAAATAAAAAAAAAAGATTATTTTTGTTTTTAGAAAATTTTTAGTTTTTGCACATGCAGAATTTTGTAACATTGCTAGTGATATATTTTAAGAAACCTTAAAACAACACAGCTGTTGAGCATTTTAGTTTAAACAGCTGGATAATATGCTAATATAAACCTTCTTCTTTTTAAAAAATTACAGTAAAATATTGATTATCTCGGTATTGATCATCCTTCATTCGAGTTTAATTTTATATGAAATTTTAGTTTGAATCATTTCCTCTGTACAAATATAAACCAGAATTTGAAACACCTATTCTTTATTTCACATATATTTATTACAGAATGAATACATATGTTCCTGTAAGTGAGGATATAAGGGGACAATCATTCCCCAAAAATCAAACAAAAGGGGCAAGAGAACATTATTTCACTCCACTTATTCCATCTAAGGATATAAAGGACAATTAAAAAATAAAGTAAAAATCAAATCCATAAATAAGCAAAACACGAATGAATAAAATATGTGAACTAGAAGTACTTAAGCATTTTGCTGTCACAAACGTTACTAATTGATGTTAAAAGATAATAGTAGGTTACCTTTGAATATACAAAAACCACCTCTCCTTACCATAAATGAGCTCTGGGATCATATTGTATAGTATAAATTAATTCATTTATTTTGATATAGCCTAATGTAATATATATTTTGGTTACAGTTTGATGATAAAATTTAACCTTTTTATTTTAAAACACAAGTTTTTTGGAGATTTTATTATTTATGATTGTAATGATTTTTGTCATTCAATACATTTACATTTAATAGCATTTGTATTGATGATATGTATCAAACATTTATCTTTAATTATTTAAAAATATAAAAGTGGCACTTATACTTTTAAATAATTAAGAAAACATTTTTGATACATATCATTGTTATAAATGCTATAGAATCGGAAAATCACCTCTCTATTATCAATATCAGTTCAGCCCAAACAATGAGGGTTTAATTTCCACACTAATATGTGCTTTTATGAATGTTTGAAGAGTTTATATTCGCTCTTTAATTACAATAAAAATATTTATCTACAATTGCTGAAGTGCAGGATTGAAAATTTTTGATACTCGATAGTTAGCATTTGTATCGACAATATACTGAACGGCAAAACTCATTACTATCATAAATAAAAACAAAATTTCCCAAAAGCATGTGTTTTTAAAACAAAAAGTTTAAGTAATCAAACTGTAACCAAAACATATGAATTAAATTTATATATCAAAATATATAAATTAAGTTATACTATATATTGGTCTAACCCTAAGGATGGCACAAATGGATCAAAATGTCATAAGTACATATAAAATAGAAATAAAAAAGTTATTGGTTTTTAATAAGTAAGAAGATGTTCCGGGGTGGCGGTTGTAAAAAGACTAAAATAGTAAGAAAACTATTTTATTTAAAGACGTTTAGACACGACTTTGCAGGTCTTCTACAGGGCTAGAACGAAGAAGATACAAAAGGCTATAGAACAATGTTGAAGTTACATATTTAGATAAAAAATATAAACAATGTCAATAAACTTATTAAAATTATAAACAGTGTAAGTAGCAAGTACAAAGAAATATTAAGAACAATAAACTTGGCTTTAAATAAAATAGTTTTCTTAATATTTTAGTCATTTTATGAGCACCACCCCGGACCATCTTCTTACTCAATAATATACTACGGTTAACCATCAAGTATTCATCATTGGTTTTTAGTTTTAATGATCAATGATTGACCTCCCAAAATATATAATACTGTATAACAGTAAATTCAACTACATGCCAATTTTAGACAGTTATAGAAATAACTTTGTTGATCATTTATAATTAGTTTTCTTGTGTTATATATTTAGTTTTAAATACTAAGGTGTTTTCGTTTTACTTGGAAAATATTCATTATGATAAATTAGGAAAAGGATTATACTTATTAAATAAACTTAATGATAAAACTATAATCTTTATTCAATTACGCACGGATAGAATAACAAATTAATTTTCTCATTATATCACATTTATAACAGTACCGAACAATAGCAAGTTACTTCTACTAATTATTTATTCCTAGCTAGAAAGCTGCATCGTTAACAAATAGGATATAATATTTACATGGCTGGAAGAAAATCTTACCTCTATCTAAAAGTAAGATGGTATTTCAAATCTCTTTAATTCCATATTTATTATAGATTTTAACAGTAAACAACAATGTAAAAACTGTTCTTTTCATAAAAAAAAAACTAATAAAACGTTCTAATCGATTCTTCACACGTTACAAACAATATTTAAGATATAAATGAAAAATTGGAATACATTTACATAACAATTATACATCATATACATTTGAGAAATCTTCAATAAATATATAACAATAAAAACACTCCTCAGTTATATAACATTAAAAAAAAAAAAGTTATCAGAGCAGATTTTACATAATATAGCAATCTTATGAAATTGAGAGAGTAACAAAAGACAGTAAATACGTTACGAAAGTTAATTTAAATTTAAAAGTTAGTATTCTTCTGTTTTATGTAACGGGTATAGCATCAGTTGCGCTGGTCCGCCAAGAAGCCATCACCCGCAGCCACTCCCATTGTGAATGGTCACCCGGTAGAGGTAGTTCCTTCACCAACTTTGCTAATATATTAACACCTTCTTGGGATTCATTACTGCAGTGAGCAACAATAAGATTCTGGATTAGACCAGATATCCTTTTAGCCATTTCTGCTTGACTTAATCTGAAAAGGTGAACAATACATTGATGAACAATAGGGTATTTCTATGGAAAAGGTGAGAACATTAAATCTTATAACCCTCAATAGCCTTTACTAAGCTAATATGGCGAAGTTTAAATTTTTACAAAGATCCGACTAAGGAATAAATATTCAATAGCTTCCAATTAAATAAAAAGTTTGATAAAGAGGAAATACATATTTAGATAAAAAATTCACAGCCCAGTTTAAAATACTTTTGAATACTGATGAACATGTTAAATGTTTTATTAATATTAACATTCTTTTTTGTTATATTAAATTATTTTAGACAAACCAATATGTTTTATAATAAAGAGCTTCTAATTACAATCTAAAACCAAATGTAACAACGCAATACTTGTTGATTCATAACAACTATAACTTATAACAACTAAAATATATAAAAAAATTGTAGTCAATTTTCTTTATAAATCAAAGTAACTGATTGCAAAATCAGTGATTATTACTATTTTTACCAACATAATGCTTACCTATCTAAGGGTTTGTTGACTTTGAGAAGTTTAATTTTTTTACAAAGATCTGTCAATTGAGGTTGCAATCTCTCCAAATGAAAACCAATAGATAAGTCCTGGGCAGCTACCATTTTTTCAACCTCTCTCACGACTCCAAGATATTCAAGAATAACTCCACCAGCAGAATCCCAATTGAATATTTCTTTGTACCTGTCATTTCTACTTAATTCTTTTAGGAGAGTCTCTAAATATTCATACTTCTCTGCAAAGGAAATGTAAAAAAAAAATATAACATTTTTCTTTTAATTGTTAACATTTCTTAAAAGACTTTTTTGTAGATAATAAAACATTTTTATCTATGTAGATCAGGTAAAGAATGATAAAATTAAAATTGTAAAAGAAAAGTAGGATATTTCTCTTGAAATCCCCCAGCGTATCATTAGTTAGTGTTACGGTCACACACTTGACTATTTGCAACAAATTACCTTTCAATGGATTTACTGGATTGATCATGTTCAATTAAATATCTATATTTTTCAACATTTCTATATTCTGGTCAATTTTCTTGAGTTTCTAGCTCCAGTAGAAGCTTCAACTATCAGCTAACAAGGTTTTTCTTGGGATTAGTAAAGTATTACATTCACTGATTTTTTTGCATGAGCTATGCTAAATCAAGTTACTACTGCAAACTGTGGAATGAGGTGAGAGACGCAAAAGTCAAGCCCAACCGATTCAAGAGGTCATTCTTCCTGATAATGTAGTTACTAAACTACAGTAAATGCATTGAACTCAACTTGATCATGATTCTTACAGCCTGCAACTATTGCTCTGAGATTTTCATTTGTTTACTCTAAATACTTGTATAACCTTAATCATTGGCAGAGTTCCCAATATTTAGATTTATGCTGAGGATGTAACAGTTTTACATCATTTGCTGGTTTGGCAGGTCTGCAAACCTGAGGATAGTGGTGTTTGGTATTGATTGTATTGCATAAACTCGACAATGCAAGCGTATCAATTAACAAACTGAGATTTCTGAAATCTACTTAACTTATGTTTAGTAAAACTATGGCTCATCATACACTAAATAGGTGGCTGTGGTGGATTAGTTTAAAGTTATTTTGGAAAAAATATTTTTAAATAACCATTCACCCCCTTTCTGAATACACTATAAAGTTTAAACAGAATTATATCATTCATTAAATTTCTAAACAAAACAAAGTTTGGAATTTTAATGATCGTTAAAATTACAAGTAACAATAGACTATATAAAAGACAAAAAAAAAAAAATCAAATATAATTTTGTTTAATTTGTGAATTTTATATATTTTGATGAATGCATGCGATTGTATTACCATTCACTATTGCTTTAGATGATATATGATCCACAATAATAGTGTGACTTTCATTCCACTGCTCAGACTTTATAAGAAATTTGGCTGCTTCATCATATCTAGAAAAGAAGAGGCATTATGTCCATTAATTATTTATTAAAAAATATTAATAGAATATTACTAAATCTACAAGGATAAGTTTTGTAAAAGAAACCAGCATTTTCAAGAAAACTTGAACCTTCAACAGATCAAGAGGCAACTTTATAAAAAATAAAATATTGTCACAAACAAATATTAGTTATTACTTTCCATAATTTATAATAAAGTTTAACATAATAATTTTTTATGATCATTTATTTACTTATTTTACCTTTTATCTACACTTTAAAAAGTTGCTTTATTCTATAAATATAAGTTTATGTACTATACTTGCTAAAAATAGAAAAGATCAAATTATAATGTTTTTAAAATTTCTAACCTTTCTAGGAAGACAGCTTTTTGTGCTTTTGCCTCATAAACCCACCCTAAAGGTATGTTTAGTTTTTCCAGTAGAAACTGCTCCTCTTCAGAGAGTTCACTGACAGTTATATGTCTACTAATCATGTCTTTAACAGCATTTTTTCGCCTGCAAACAGAATTTATTTTTTAAACTTTTAAAAGTTCTGGTTCTCTAGGTTAGATAAAATATTTTAATTTGTTTAGGCATTTATTAGTTTAGTTCATTTGCTTACAACTATACAAAATTGTATGCAAATAAACACATCTACAAAACTAACTGTAGTGATATCAGTAACATTTCAGCCTATATTGACAAATCAAAGAGAAAAAAAAAAAAAATGCAATAACAATATTATATCAAAATGAGGAAGGAGATGGTCCGGGGTTTTATTTTATTAAAAGCCAACGTTTCGAACCAATTTTGCAGGTCTTCTTCAGGGAGGTGTGTTCAGCAAGGAGTTTCACTTTAGTCTATTTATGAACGCCACCACGAACCATCTCCTTCCTTAATAATACAACGGTCAACTATTAAGTATTCAATTATATAAAAATAACATAAATTTATACATATACTTATTGAAATGCAAAATTAAATTGGTAAACTATTTCTATAGAATAACTACAACTAGGTTAGAGGTATAATTCTCCTACACAGTAAGTCAATTCAACTTAAGATAATCATTTTATTTAAAACAATAACATAAACACAGACTAAATCCTTTTAATTTATTAATCATTAACAAGTAGAATACTTAAATAAATTACCTGATAGGATTAGGAACATGTAGCAACACAAATATTGCCCAGTACCATAAGCCTTCAGCTTCGAGTTGGGCTGCAAAGCTACTGTGAACAAGACAGGCAGCCTCTTCACTGACGTGCGAATAGCCAAGCGAGGACAATACTCTCATTAAAAACCAGCTAAATGAAAATAAACAAAAATTTAAAAAAAGTTCACTAAGGTCCTCCTGATAATTTAAACAACAAATAAACAAAAATTTAAAAAAAGTTCACTAAGGTCCTCCTGATAATTGAATAGAAGAAAACTATTTTTTATGAATTGATTACCATGGAAGTTAATTGTGCACTAGCATATATTTTCAATTTATATTCGCCGATGAAGATTGAATCATAACAATAAAGACGCAAAAAGTCATGAATTTTTCTGATGCATATTTGTCAAGATAATTAACACTAAGGGAAGGAACAGAGTTGAGTCACTACATCTGCCCTGCCAGTTGAGTATATTTAAGTTTTAGATTCAAACTTCCAACCAAGTGCATCCATATCATGGGATATTGATTGACTAATTTCTGTAAGCAGTTCTTTATTGGTCTTTCTTTGTACTCCGATACCAGATCGCTCCAGTTATCACGCGGAAGATTTTCCTCTCAAATCTTCAACACTTTTTTCTAGGGCGCTGGTTAGTATTCAGGTCTCACAGCCATATATTAGAACTGGTTTTATCATAGCATTGTACACCCTTAGTTTGAGATTTTTCAGGATTCCAATACTTTTGAGAGGGAGAAGAAACCTCTGTTTGAATCAGTTATACGCTGGTCTATTTCTGCCCGTTGGTCATTCATTGGGTTATTGTGGAGCCAAGGTATTTGAATTTTTCTACTCTCGGGAATGATTTTCCTTCTAGGCAGATCTTGTTATTGGGATGGAACTTTAGCCAATCTGCTCTGACTCTCTTATCAGTGTTGTAGAGAGTTTCTCAATGTCTCCTTGATTAATTCTAAGGACAGTTATATCATCTGCGTATCCAAGGATTTTATGATTCTATTAATGTTTCATTAATGAAACAAATAGATTCTAATGAAATGACTTGATTCTAAATAAAACTAATGAATAGTACATATTAGGTGCACAAAATCAATAATAAACCTGAAGATAACTCAAGATCTTTCCCCAAAAATGTAGATAAATAAATGAGCCAAGATATAAAGCCTAAAAGTAGAAAATTATACTGAATTTGTTTATAAGAATAATCTCAACCAAAAATAGCTATATTAATCTAGGTCTACAATTAACAAAGCTATGAAGTATATTTATTCCTAGAACCTGATAGCAGTTCTCCAAAATTAAATTTTTGGATCCACCAATGACTTCCGCCATTAGAATTAGTCACTTTGTTTATATCACTCCCAGGCGAGTTTTACAAAAACCGAAAATTCTGTACTATAGGAGAAAAAAAAAGTATGACAGAACTGCATACTTTTTTTAAGAATAAATTTTTGTTTATAGGAAAAAATAATTTATAAAAAATATAGAGGAAATAAAACTTCTTTTTAAAATATTTGGTGTCAATGAAATAAAATCCGTGGGATTAATGTGATATTTTTTGTAAACCATTAATAGTTTATTGATTAAATATAATAAGATCCCACGAAAAAATAGGTTGTTTATCCTAAATAGTTCAGCTCAGAAATGAGGGTAAAAGAAAACATAAGAAAATATTTCTTGAACAAAAGTTTTGAAGAAAGAAACAATTCTCCAAACAAGTTTAAAAATATTCAATGCAATATTAGCAAGGCATTGGTAGCTTGTGATGTAGCCGGGTCTCCAGTTCCGCAATATAGTTCCATCACCACCACTATTCTTGAACTCTAATTATCTTTGCAAATAGACATACCAAAATTCAGGACTTCTTTGATTTTTATTGTCATATCTCAATTTTCACAAACAAATAAAAGTTAAAAAATCATGCAAGTAACAAATGTACTCAAATAACATTACATATTAAAAAAAAATAAAATAAATAAAAATGGAAACTAACCTCATGCTATAGTCCAAGTTATCAGTAGTATATGTAGCAGGATTGAACATTGGTTCTAAAGGGTGATATTTTGATGAAAAGAGTTTAAGGAGGTGAAACCTCACATCAAAAATGGCATTTTCTAAATCAACTTGATCACTAGGATTACTACTACAATATGATGGGTATGGTGGTTTAGCATAATAGCCTGAATTGTTGCCATTTGGAAAAGCCTTCTCATACATGAGTAGTGCATCTGTAAGAGAACCAATGAAAGGAGTCATGTACCTGTAAATAAAAAAGATTGAAAGAAATTAAACAAGCTCTGAATTTCTATCTTAAATATGAAATAACAAATCTAAATATTCTAATATAAATATAACAAATAATATTTTATTTTATTATAAAGTTATCAGTGTAATTTATTTAATTAAAAGTTTAATATAATAATCATAGAAATTACTAAATAAAATGACCACATAAGGGTTTGTATGAAAACCATACATCAGGTATGAACACAAAGATGGTCTCTTTTCCCTATTATACTTTTTGCGCAGCCTTGATCGTTCAAATGGACATTCATGGATACTGAATACTTGTTTTAGGTTCACCAAATCAGATGTAACACAATGAGGAAATTATATAAGTTGGAGAAACAAACTTCTGCCACATAACAAATATCGCTATCTCAACCAAGAATAGAGCCTTACTGTAATAACATATGTGGGGATTTATATAAAACAATAATATAAAGAAAACGGTTAACCAGTATCTCCAGATTAGATAGTAAGCAAGTAAAGAAAGAGGAAGTAACTGAAAAAATTAATCCATTGGGATCTCATTATACATACAAATTTTTAATTGTGGATGGATGGTTGACTGTAGTGAATAATTGAAGAGAAGAATGGTTGGGTTGATCAGTAAAAAAAATATATATATTAAAAATAAATGAGTATATTTATTAATAATTATGTTTATTTATTAATCCCTACTTTGTTGCTGTTATTATTTATTTCTTAGTTCTCTGTTACTGTTATTATTTTATCTACTTTATTTTACTTTAAGTTTATTCTATCTACATTTTTTAGCCTATACCTTTCACCTACATATTAATTTTTATTATTTAATGCTTAATTTCTACCTATCTTTAATTAGGAAAGAAAGGGCAGAACTAATAAAGATAGAAGAGATCTAGTAAGGAAAAATAAAAAGTTACCATAAATGGAGAGCAAAAGCCCTCAGCCAGTCTAAGTCACAACAGGTATTGATTTGTCTATCAGAGGCATTGTGGACTGGGATACCAGCAACTACCATCATCGCCTTTATCCTTGAGGTGTTGATACGCTGGTCTGATTCTGTTTCTCTCCACTGCAATAGTTGCTGTTGAACTCTTGCCCTAACTCCAGGCCCACTGCTGCTCTGTGATAAGAGCAATGAAAGGCGGAAATCACCTGAAATTAAAGTTAATTTACAACCGATGTTCTGTTAATCAATAAAAACATTCTTATCTAGTGATAATAAAAGGCTAAGTGAACCTGAAGAGTTGATGTTGATAACACTAAACGCTGCCTACAATGACCTTCATCTAAACCCAACCCCACATAGTATTATTTTCCCAACAATGGTATATCAAAACAGGTAGCTCAACAACCATTTCCGCTCCCTTCGAGCTGAATAGGGTACTAACCCTTAACAATAATATATAAAAACATAGTCCACAGTATTTTCTTTAAATATAATACTGTAATTCTTCAATTTTTTAAGTAATATAAAGTAACAGATTAGCATACAAAATCAACAGAGATAAATAAGTAAAAATACAACATTTATAATAAGCATACCTATGCTCTGAGCAGCCTGGGATGCCTCAGCAACCTGATTCCCAGTGAGATAAGTATACACTTTATTTACTGAAGAGTCATCATTTTCTAAATTTTCAGCACGTTTTATATCATCAGAAACACTTGATAAAACCACATTTTTCAGCCAATCAGATAATGCCAGTTTCCTTTGCATAAGGCATAAATGACTATTTGGTTCAGCTAAAAAAATAAAATAAAACATTAATTAAGCTAGTCAATAGGATCAAAAGCCACTTTTAAAGTGTATTTTTTGTAAGTAAAGCCTGTGTAAGGGTGTCGATACTTTCATGAATGCTGTATGTGTATATACATATATACAGTAATGGGGCTATGGATTAATCCCTGAGGTACACCAACTAAAATTGGTTGAATTGAGGATAGACCTGAACCATGACGTACCAAGAAAAATCTGTCAGAGAGAAAAGATAAAAAAATTAAGTATTAGGTCTGTGGAAGTATGGTCTTAAGCTTAAATAGAAGCCTATGGTAGCAGAGTTTTTCGAATGCTTGGGCGACATCCAAAAATATTCCAGTTGCATATAATTTCTGCTCTAGCCCTGTTGATATGTAGTCAGTTACTCAGTGCAATTTTTGTGTTGTCAAGTAAAATTTTCAAAATCTGAAGTGATGGCCAGGAATAATTATTTACTATAACTAAATATAAAATGTTAACTTATTGATTTATATATTCCATCTACTTCCTTCAGAAAATCTTTCATGGTTCATGATACTTCCTTCTAGAATTCTTAACTCTTCTCTATTCGTCAATATTTCTCCTCAAGCTCGTTTAAAAAAAATGTATTCCTTGAACTATTTCATAATCAAACTTTTGCTTCATTGTAAGAAATGTTAATTTATATTTAAAATGACTACTAGATATTTCACAAGAGAATATTAAGTATGGCTATACTTAAAACCAGGACATTGTATTTATTTAGTGAACTCTTCCATACAATAAAATTATTTTTTTATTTCAATCAAAACTTATAATTAGAGTTAGTATAAATGAAACAGATCTACAATCCATCAATTACAGCTTAATTATAATAGAATATATTCTGATCTAAACAACTAATCTTCATCTTTCAGAGGTTTTGTTTTTTATAATATAAATAACATTTTATATATATATATATATATATATTATATATATATGTCATTAATCATTATCATATCATAGTCATCTATGAAATATTTCTATTAAATATAATAAGGTAATTAAATGTTCTATTTATCAAAAAACAAAAACAATAAATTACTATATTATAATACAAAAGAGCTTTGTATTAACAAATAATTTCAGGCATATTTTTTTAAAAGAAAAAAAAGAGATGGTTCAAGATTAAATGAAGAATAAGCTTAATATGAATCAAGTCATTAGCATTAAATTTTCATTAATTAAAAAAAAAATTAAAAGTACCATTGATTGGTAAATATCCCCAGAGCGCCTGACAAAGTCCCCAGATGCTAGCATGAAGCGTTTCCGTGCTAGTGGTTGAAGAACCTTCCAAAAGCTGTTGAGCGACTGAGTGGTGATCGTGGAGTTCAGAAAATCCAATATTAGGAGTGACAAATGGTGACCCATTGTCATTTTGAACAAAAGTACTATGTTTCAATGCACACTCCAAGTGAGCTTCTCCAGTATTCTGAAATGATATACGACTTATTAAATTATATATTTTAACAGAAGTTATTTAAAATACTTTTCTATAAACCATTTTACTTGAATAATCTATACACCATTAAAATTTTTTTATAGAAAATCCAGTTTAACTATGCTGTATATTTTTGAATTGGACCATCCTTAGTATGTGTTAACTCTTTAATAGACAATCTTCTACAATGAGGCTTATTCTAATTTGGTAAAGCGTCCTGATGAACACCTTCAGCGACTACACCCAAGAACCATTGGTTGATGAGAAAGATTGACACATCGATTCTCCCTTTGGTTTTATTATAAAATTCTACAATTTCAGGTTTTCCTACTAATTTATTTCTTTTAAGTGGTTAATTGTGAAGTGGATCAGGACAATTTTATTTTTTTGAGACATGACAATAACCCAATTAATTCATCATGGCAGAATTTAATTTGTAAAACTTCTAGAATAATAACAATCAAGGGGGCCAATATTCTAAACAATGATGCATTTTGGTTCATTGTAAGCAGTAACCAAAGAATCAGATAAATTGTTAAGTGGGGAAGTGCGCTAATCTGGAGAAACTTTAGGACCAATTCAAATAGTTATGAAAACTGCTGAAAATTGTTTTAAATTATTAGAAAGGCCTATCAACAATGTATATTAGAAAACATAGGCTCTACGTAATCAAAATTAAAATGAGATTTGAAAAATTTACTGGGATCCATCAGACCGCAATGCACTAATTAAGGGCTATGAAATCTTATTAACGGTAAATAAAAATAGTTATGACTCCTAAGAAACATGAGTAGTTAAAGGGATAAAAAAGTAGTCATTCAATAAAGTAAAGGTTTACGAAGTTATTTATGATAAACAACTTTTGACTTCCTACCCTGTTGACAAATGGTCAGGACGGGGTTTTTTCAATATATTTGAAAACTATGACCTATATACAGTTACACATTTAGAAAGTTACAGTATTACAAAAATCCTTTTTAATTAATACTAACTTATATAGTATAAAACAATAATTTGGTCCCGTTAAAAGTTTAAATAGTGAATAATTTTAAAAGAGTTTTAGAAATAATCAAATAATTCCTTACTTGAAAGCTAACATTAGTTTCTTCATTATTAGAGCTTCTTAATGCCAGCCTTTGAAGAATCTGTGGTGATGTGTCATGAACCAACCTCCCTGTAAGAACAGCTTCCCTTGATACTGCCGAAACTGTTGAGAGAGCCGTGAGTTGTAAAGAATGGCCCCAGCCAGGTGTGAAGCTCCTTCCCTTAAAGATGCCTACGTCAGCAAGACACCTGGCATCCAAGCTCCCTATTGTTGTCTTTTCTAGAGGCATAACTTCTTTCCAGAACTTCAGGACATACATTTTTGGTTGAATACCTTGTGGTATATATTCTGGTATATCAGGAAAAGCACCATCTTCTTTTTCACGAATACTAGTAGTTGATACATCGTCATCCTCTGAAAAATTAATTTCATTTTACAGATAAAGAAAACAAATTATTTAAAAGATTTATTCCATTTAGGATGCAGCGAAATTTCCCTTGATTTATTTCTAAATTTTCAATTAGAACTAGTAACTATTATCTTTCCTTAAGATAATTTTGAATAAAAGTAATGACTAAAGATATATCGAATATATCAGGAAAAATTGTAACAATTACAAAAATTTGATTTCAGTTGGTAAGGGGATTTTATTTTACATCTAAAATAGAACACTTAGCAAGAAAACAACCAAACTGTACTTAATTTACACAATGTAAGTATTTTTTGGTATATTTTGTAAGGCTTTCACATTTTTTCCCTATCTTTACTTAATATCTTCTTTTATATTGTGCAGTCTTTGAATTAAAACTTTGAAAGAAGAAACAATTACTTCAGTAAAAACTGAGTTTAATGTCGGAAAAAAACAAAACAATTTATTTTGTTGGTTTTATATTAGATCTTAATTATTAAGTTCAGTTCTTATATAACAAAATAGTATTACATTTAAGAGGTAGAATTACAACTATTGTCTTAACAAATAATTATATGGGGGAGGGGGAGGGGGGAATGAGAAAGTGAATGTATGGTAAATGCAGTTTTATAAATGCATAAATCATTTATGTATAATATGAAATTTAAGTTCATCATGTTCAATTGGGTACTTTCATAGACAAATAAAATTAAGTAAATTTGAGCCGAAACAGAATTAAAGTGATAAATAATGAATATAAAATTGAGACAGCATTTTTAGATAATGAATTAAAGTTTATATTTAACTAAAAAATTGAAATAACATTGTATCAAAGAGGTCTGACTAGAGTAAACCTTAGTGTGGCATGAACTGCAGCCAAATCTCTCTTAACTTTAATTTCTAAAAAAATTGGATTGAATATTCTTGCACTTCTTTTTTAAAGAATGGAACTCATTCTTTCATTAAAATTTCATTTTTTGAAAATAATTTTAAAATATTCTAATAGCTATTATTTAAAAAACGGAATTATTAATTTTTTTTTTTATTATATAAGTTTTCTTAATAGACAAAAAAAATATATTAGATGAAAAATTTGAACATGAATAATATAAAGTCAAACTTTCTTTTACGGACCATCAATTTTTATCAGAAAAAAATACTCTGTATATCAATTAGTCACATTTAAAAAAAATTTTTTTTGAAGGCGTACTTGTTTAAGATAAAAAATAAAAGATATTCACTGATATGTATGAGTTAGGCACTGGTAGTCCCTGAGAGTAGTTTTTGCACTCTTGTGACTAACTCCAACCCTAATATTTTTCTTTAATGCTAATTATCTTTGCAAACATATATCAGAAAAATTTGAGACTTTTAGTGTTTTTATTATTGCAATCTAATTTTCACTAAACAACAAAAGTTGATAATTTATGCAAGTACATAATCATTAGGTTTTTATTTAAAGCATAATAAATTTAATTTAATCGTGTATTACTAAACCTTTGACCTTCAGATAAATTATTATCTATCATACAAGTTAAAATAATATAAGTTTTTTTCATTTTACATTTCAGATTAACCGGCTCTTCCACCAAATCAATCCCACTATGATGGATAAGATGGATTGTACATATTTACATATATATATATAAAACACCCAAATCTTAAAATATGACAAATAATGATATAGATATAAACTTTGTACCTTGGGTTTCGACATTGAAGTAAGAATCTGATTTGAGACGTGTATAACCACTCTTATTGTACCAGGACAAAGCTTGTGCCAGCTGTTTAGGTTCAAATGTGTAACCATTTATTTTATAAGCAGGTTGTTCAACTACATCATCATAATCTAAATATTCTCCATCTGAAAAGAGGGATAGAAAAATTACCTTATTACTCAGATTTCCCTTTAAAAAAAAACATTTAAGTAATAATCAAGAATGTAAAGTTACCAATATTTAAATCTTGGGGCTGAAAAAATGATGCTTTCATTAGCTGTACCTTATGTGATGAGCTACCAAGTTGTTTTGCGAGTTTAGATGTTGGACTAAGAGCCTTATTCTCCATTTTTTCATCTACAATAAAAAGGAAAAATTAAAAAGATAATAATTTTTAATAAAATAGATAGTTCTTTATTTACTTTCATTTTATTTATGTTATTACATTCTGCATTCTCCCAAGTGGCTCACTAGCAGTGAAATTGATTATTATGAACAATGAAGAGTTGATGAGTTATATACTAGGTACATTTATTTATCTTTTGTATAGTTCTTTATTTGTATATATTTTTGCATTAATATAAATACTTTAATGAAGGTACAAATAATTTAGCTCTTAAACAAAACTTGTAATTATTAAAGATCCAATTTTTGAATTCATTGAATCCACTGCCTTTTGTAACAACCTGGTAGTATGCTGTATTCACGCTTCTTAATTCTTCCTGTGCCCAAACATTACACTTCTTGCATAGCCATTATATACAGGCCACTCTTCTACATCAACAACAAACTCAAAATGCAAAACGCTTTCGAAGTTACACCGAACACAAAACACCACTTTTGTTCCAAACTGATCGAGGTGAACCTCGCCAGGTTCACCTAGATCAAAGGTGCAGCTTCGCCTTTTAAAAAAATGAGCCATTGATCTAAACAAAGCATAATCTAATGGAACAATATCTGCGCTATGCACAGAAAGAGGCAAATTGTGCAGTTATGAATATATATAGATATGTAATTTCTTTTCCGTTTTTTTTTTTTTTTTATCGTAATAATAAGTAAATTTGGAGAAGATTGTATGTTCATTTATATATGTATGTATGTATGTATGTGTGTGTATGTATATATATATATGTGTGCGTGTGTTTATATGTGTATATATTTTTTTGTTTATTTCTTAGTGGTTACATACTACTTTTTAAATAATGTATATTATATTAGAATTTTTTGAAGTTAGTAGTATAGGCCAGATCGGTATTTTATTTTGTATTAATTCATCTTTGTTATTCTAAGGGGACTTAGTCCCAGAATAAAGTTGTATTTTCTAAAAAAAAAAAGAGGCAAAACGTTTACTGCTTGCTGTTTCAACAATATGAAGTGGCATTGACATGTTGTAAAATGGCTTGGTTCCTTTTGACCAAAGTGGGGTACTTTGCACTCAAATCTGCATAAACTATGTTTAGCTGTTTAAAGTAAAGGTTTGAATCCACTGACTGACCATCAGGATAAAGCTCAAAACGCTTTTGAAGTTACACAAAACATCAATTTTGTTCCAAACTGATCTAGGTGAACCTCCAGCTATGCAGCTTCAGTACTCGTTGCTTTTGTTTGCTGGATTTTTTTATAAATGTCCACTTTTCATCACTTGTGATCATTTTTTTCCAAATTCTGTCATCTTTCAGGTTTTGAAGCAAAACTTTGTACATATAAACTCGCTATTAGGCTTAAGCGTCTGTAAAGTCATGTGGGTCAGACCTTGGGTATTTAATTCCATGCACACGGTTTCATAAATGATGAACCACTGTTACATTAGAAGCATCTACTACAGCCGATAAGTAAGTGTGGCTATGGATAACACAATGGCACAAATTTCTTCAGCAGCTACCTTTATGCTTAAACCTTTTTTCCAGTAATGTCTCAAAAGACCACAAATCAATTTTTTTTTCTGACAGTGCACATGCATTTGAAAAATGTAAAATTTTAAATGACCTCATAAAACCAATGTAAGGATTAATCAAAGTAAATATTGAAATAAATAGTAGGAACAAAAACATTTTTATAGGATTAATTATGAGTTATGTTCATGCACAAGGCCTTTTGTAACAACCTAGTAGTATGCTGTATTCACGCTCCTTAATTCTTCCTGTGCCCAAACATTACACTTCTTGCATAGCCATTCATTATTGCAGGCCACTCTTCTAAACTTCTACTCTCAGTTCATTCAGTGCTCCAGGCCTCTTGAGCGGTCAATACATTTCACATTACAATTTTGTAAATACAATTCTATAAACCAGGTTGTTGCTGCAAATCAGTACAGTTCAATCCAAGGCTTTTTTGAGTGTTTACAGAAGTGGGCAATCAACACACCTGCTTTAACCAGTCTTCGGACCAATAGTGATGTAGCTAACTCCACTATGTATGTTACTTCAAGTATAAAATTATATCTTAATACTTTATTTCCCACTATTAATTTACACTAAAAGTAACAAAGTTTATATATACTCCTGCTTTAACCGGTCTTCGGACCAGTAATGATGTCTAGCAAGCTAACTCCACAGACTATGTCACTTCTAGTATAAAGTTATAACTTAATACTTTAATTCCCACTATTAATTTACATTAAAAGTAAAAAGTTTATATATTTTATCAAACAATTAAACATTACCAAGGTCAAAGGGACTTGTAATTCCATCATCCATATCTTCATCCTCATCACCAATTTGCATAGATGTAGGTTGTAGGATACCTCCTACCTATAACAGAGAAACAAACAAAAGAGTTTTAGTATCAAGTTTTTTATGTATGTTTAAAAAGACACTGGGAAAAAAATGGCGAAGTAGAGGAATTTCATTATAAGCTAAATTAGAAATTTCTTAAGACGGCTTCACATTGGAGCAGTCATAGACAACAGACCCGCAAGTAGCTCCACGATGGCGGTAATAGCAAGCAATGTTCCCTTGCAGCATGCAGCTCAGAGCAATAGACCTTTTACACACTAACTGTGGCTGGCTGATTAAATTTAATCAATTTCCGATTTGGACCAGTCAATTGATTCCTGTTGAAAATTGGTTTAAAAAGAATTATAAGAGGATTCAAAGTTTATGTCAACTTTGACTGTCACTTCTCCCTTATTTAAGTTTTCTTTTAGATAAATCCTGTTTTTCTCCCTCCCTCTCCACATGGGTTAATTATTTTTCATTAATAGATAAATTTATAATGACTTAACACTAACTTACTATTTATTTTCATAATAATTAAAATAATAATATTGTTTCCATTATTTGAAGAATGAATAAATAATGACTGAATACTAACTTGTTTTAGAGGAAATTGCGGAACAGTTGTACTTTGTAATGTGGATTGTGGCGCAAGCTTTTGTCTCTTCAAGTCTATGACACCATTATCTTCTTCGTCAGAATCACTCAATCCATACTTGGAAAAATGATCCACCTAAAATTTTTTTAAATAAAAAATGATTTAAAAAAGTCCTTGAACATTTTAGCTGGATATGTTATACTAAATATAAAATGATACAATTATCCAACTGTATACATAAAAAAACAAAACAAAGAAAAGATAAAAATCAAGATTATTAACGCCACATAGAAACAATAATTTTTGGTTCCTACAATCTACATGTAGTAAGAGCATATGTCATGAAAAATTAAATTCCACAACTATTGTTAACATCAGAAACAGAAATAAAAATTGAAATTTATATCTAAGGAGCTGCATAGTAAATTACTAAAATCAAACTTCTGGTAAATTATTAAAATCCAACTTTAAGATATTTCAATCTATATTGTTGATCTTAATATCTTTCATTTCATAAATATAAGTGATTGTAAAGCTAAATTACACGCAATCTTAACATTTATTATTTTTATTAAATATTGAAGATTCCGATGTAGCAATAATTATGACATTTGTAATTATTCTAAAAATAAATCTGATAATTGAATAATCCAATTACTTACATGAAATCAACTAAATTTAATGAAGAAAACAGAGCATTAATAAAGGGTGAAATTTATCCAACAACTCAAGTTTTATTGTTCAGATAGAAAATATAAATAATCATGAAATGCATTTATCATAAATCAATCAAATGATAAATTAATAGGTAAAAACCAGAAAAAAAACTAGGCTGAAATAATGAAATAATAACTAAAAATTTTATAATTAAACATGAAACCTCACCTTAAACACCCATGAACCAGTTTGGGGTCGATATTCAACAAAGGTAGTTTTGTGCTTAGCAGAGGCACGCCTAAGTTTACTTTCATAGTCAAGAGCATCTATCCTGTGAGGATCGGTAATAGGAAGCCTGTTAGTTTTGTCTATAGGCCAAACTCGGTCTAAAGTCACTTGAGCTCTTCTGTTTAGGCCTTCACCAACAGGAGGTTTCTGATTTTCATCAGGATATACAATAACTTCCTTGTGTCGGAAATGAACTAAAATATTTTCAACAATATTAGTACATCGAAAACATAACTGTGAACACTGTATCAAAACAAAGAGTGTTTTATTAAAAAAATTATCATGAAATATCTCGAGAAGTAATTAAAGATAACAGTAATGATCTTAATAGATCATCATTCAACTTGACTCACTGGACAATATCATCATTGTAACCATTAATAATTAATGAACAAATACTAATAACTTCATTAATAATTTATAGTAATATATCGTTTACCTATGTCATCCAGATTAAGACCTGCTATGTCCATAGGATCGGGATAAAAAATATTTCCGTAGTTTAAACGACCAATTGTAAAATTCTCCACCATACAATGGCCTTCGCTATCAACATGATCGACTAAGGCATCTAGATGAGGGATAGTATAATAACCGAGCCTCTTTAATATAACTCCGGTTGGGTGAGGATTACCACTATCATCCAAAACACCTGGAGCAGAATCTTCTACTTCAGATTCAACTAAAAAAAAAAAAAAAAAAAAAAAAAAAATCAAGATAAAGTAGTAAATTGTAGTATTATTATACAATAGAATAAAAAATGCAAAAAACACATACCAATGATAAAATTGTTGATTTTTAACCATGTTTAAATTCTGTAATAATAAAGACCATAAAATGCACCAATTTTCACGTTACAACATTAATTAATTTGTTGGAAGTAAATCCTGCTTTTATTCTTTTCTTTTTTTTTCTCCAAAGAATTACTAATTTACATTAACAGCAGATATAAGCATATTAATCTTTCATTCATTGACATTTTGAGACAAAAGGGAAGATGACATGCCAATTTTTTTCATGAAGCACAAAGGTTTTATATGAAGTAACTGCCAAGTAAATAAGGTAAAGTGCCAAATATGAAGAAAGAAAAAAAAAAAAAAATTGGCCTATTAGTCTCAGAGAGAAGTGGATATAAATTTTTTAAATTCAAATTACCCAATTAAAGATTCAAATTTTGAAAGAGAGGAGCTAATTTTTTTTTCTTCTAAGTCTATTTGAAAATTTATTATTGTGAGTTGAGAGAGCTTATGGTGACTTTACTGACTTAAATTGACTATGAATTCATGACTAACTACTGATTTTTTCTGACTATAAAACATATCTGAAATATTTCTGACTGGCAGACATCTGGTAGTAATTAGAAGCTGTAAAAACCTTTGTTGAGAGTCATGATAAAATTTATGTATCCAGTGATTAAAAAACACTACCACAGATCATTCTCCAGTTTCCATTTAGCTCCTGTCAAATTAACATTCACCATTTTTATTTGTAATGATCATTTAATACTTTAAATGAATTTGACTAGATATAATTGGGTAGCTAGCAGAATGAAAAAAATAACAGTGATTTGACAGTTAAATCCAAGATGACAAAAAATGACCAACAGCTATGGAACTTAAACTGATTAGGAACAAGACCGCTGCAACCAATTCGGTTTGTTTAATGTTTTTTGGGAAAGACAGATATTTAATATAAATAAAATACTTAAAAATCTAGAACAACCAATAAAATAAATAAGATGGATTACCTGAGCTTGAAGTTGTAGAGGGTTGTTCTGTTAAATCAGTTTTATTAAAGCTTTCTCCATTGAGTGAAGTAGAGCTGATTTGAAGACTTTGGCTCTGACTATTAGATTTTTCTTTGACAGGACATAATTCTGCCATAGTATTTTCCATAGGGTTAGAATCTAAAGATCTAAAATAAAATAAATGACATACCATCAGCAATAAATTATAATGAATTAATATATCAAATAACTGGATAATAATAAAAAGAAACACAATTAAGAAGATATCTGCAGAACTATAAAACAAAACTGTACATTATTGGTCTTCAAATGTAATTATATTCCACAATAATATACCAGACCAAACAATTAGGATACCATTAAATAAAAATAAACTAAAAATTATATAAATAAATACTTATTGAAGGAAGCTAGTAGACTTCTACATATCATGGGTGATAAATACTTACTTTTTGGATTGTTTAGGAGTGTTTTCACGATTAGTTTCAGAAAAGTTAGCTGCAGATAAATCAGCCTCTCCATTGACTTGCACATTTCTAAAAGAAATAAATACATATCTTGGTAAAACAAAGAAATCTACATAAAGAGAAAATAATCATCACGGCAATTACATGCCCACTCACATGATTCATAATAATTAAAATATACTTCTACTACTAAAACTCTGCTGCTCTGACTTCTTTTCAACAAAAAGTCAAAATTAAAAAAAAAAAAACTGCTGTTTCTTTCAATAACAATGAATGTGTTAACATATTAAAAATGTTGCTATAAGAAAAGTATATTTCTCTGTTTCAAATTTTTAAAATATTTTGAAGGTGTTTACCAACACCATTTTATGGAATTTCTTAACTTCCAGTTTTTCTATGTCATTTTTGGAAAAACTACAAATCGTTGAAATCCTCCACTTAGTTTGTTTGTTCAGGCAGGGCATAAAACAGCTAAGACATCAACTTTGCTTTATTTAAATAGGGATTTGTTGTTTATCCACCAATTCAAGCCTGACAGAGCACTTGGCGAGAGACAAATCCAGACCTGAAGGAGCCAGCAGGTGTTCAAGGCCCACATATCAGGTGTTGGTTTGTGGAAGTCAGGAACATGATGATTGGTCAGAGGAGGTGGATAAAAACCGGGTAAGCTACCATAACTTTACACTAATGTTTACAATAAACATCTAAAAAAATCTTTTCAGATTCTCTGAGCTAAAATGGCCTGTGTTAGACTTGGAATCCCTCCCTCCCTTCAGCAATATTTAACATTTCAAATACTGTGACCACTATACCAGAGGATTTATAAGGAAATTGTAATTTTTGATTTCCTGGAAAGTCTTTTAATACCTATTTGATTTAGTTTTTCATAACTTGACTTCCTTAATAATTTTGTTTTATCTTCATACATCGTATTAACAATAAGTAACAGACTCAGTTTTGTCATACAATACAACATTTATACGAGCCAGAGTAACAAACCTAGGTACTTTTAGTCTAAGGGGCCGCTACTGACTGCTATCTGGCAATGTTTATAACCTGAACACTGATAGCTCCCATAACGCAGTGATAAGCCTTCTACTTCACATCTTCGTATTATTGTATTAAATTCATATTATTGAAAGTGTAAACAGATACAAAAACAAATGTAATAACAACAAAAATACTTTTATTTGACGGCAAATATATTAATTAAATAATAAAAAAACACTTTAAGAAGATATGTACATATAAAACATCAAACATCATAACAAATTATAATCATAACATCGGCATCATAACAAATTTAAAAGAACATATTTACATAGAAAAGAAAAAATATAAACACTATAATCCTTTCCTTATTGAAAGTTTTGTGTCACAAGTCTTACAAAAGCATCTCCATTTGGCCTTCTTGGTTAACTTCATTCGATGACCTCGTTCACAGAATTTCACGTCGGCAAGTACCCCAACATTTTGAAAATACTGAATTGCCTGTTCTTCTGAAGACGGTAAATCCCATATTCTAAGATGATCCATAATATGACGAAAATAAACGAAAAAAAGAATGAAAAATAAACACCAAGGGGTCACAAACTAAAAAAAAATGTAAAATAAACACAAACGGGCCAAAAAATAAAAATAAACACAAACGGGCCAAAAGTAAACAATTTAATAAGTGAACGTAATAAGGGAATAACTGAAAACCAAACAATGCAATAACTCTAAAGTTTGGCAGGATAAGAAGAGGGAGGTTATGTAACATGATGACATGACGTTAGATAAGATAGATAAGAAGTGAGGTTTCAAAACGGCCCCTTAGACTAAAAGCTAGAATTCAGAATACTCTTCAAATTGTTATGTATTTAACTATAACATGACTAAGCATGGAAATTGCATTCTACGACAAAGAAGAGTCGGCTACTGAATGTTAATAAGATGTTCTGAAAATGGTGATGATTCCCTGAAATGTTTATAAAAATATCAAAGCAGCTTCCTGGACACTATTGTGACTTAATAAACCCAATAAACCTTTCATTTATTGGCATAGAAAGGTTTTCATAATAATTGGAAAAAATTCAGTAAAAGGAAAATGAAATGTTATGTAAACTTACATCCGAACAGAGTTAGGTGTCCGCAAAGAAAACCTTGGACTAGTTTTTATTATTGGAGATAATTCACTGACAGAATTTCTTTGATAGATTCCATTGGTAGAAATGTCAAAATGCTGTTTATTTTTCAATATTAATCTCTTTGGACTGGGTCGAATACCATAGTTATTCATTATATCATTTGCAGTTGGCTCTTCTTCTCCATCTAATCCATCGAATAATGATTTCTGTAAGATTGATTGAAATATTAGAACCTGAACTAAATTACAAAAAATGTTGATATGATAAAAAAAATGAATAAAACAATGACATATTCAGAATCTAAAACTGTAACGTTTCACCTGTAATAAGTTTTACATGTCTGTTTCATACAGAAGAGAAAAACACAACCAATGTATCTGATTAATTGAATAACAGTAGAAATTGGAGTTGACAGGAAGTTATTTTCAACTATATGGCTTTGGGCGAATAAAGTTTTTTAGTGAATATGGTATGATTAATAGCCTTTTTCAGTGAAATTTATAGGTTTTTCAATCAATTTGACAATTTTGCCAATCAAATTCATATTTGTTTAACCAATTTCATACACTTAATTAAATGAGGTATCGTTAACAAGAATTCGAAGGGGATTACATTGAGGAAATTAGACAATTCCCTGTTTATTTTTCTATACAGAACATCACAATTTCAATTATTCCCAGGTCTTGTTACAGCACACCTTAGTTGTAAAGCATGAGCGGAGATAGTTCAACTACGCAGGAACCTATCAACAGAGGAAGACATAGATTCTGGAATTCAGTTGAGAGAGATAGTGCCTTCATCTGCATCTTCACAAGGTTCGATAGCCAGACAAGTACACGACAAGCAACGGAAAAGAGATAAATATACTGTTAGTTCACTAATACAAAAATAGCTATTTATTAGATTGGTTGAATGATCGTAATCAAGGATACTGCACAAAAACCTGGTTTTAAAGCCCAAACTGTGAACTATGTTTATAATAAATACAAATCAAATAACTGATGAAAAAAAGAGATAATATCCTGAGTATAAGCTTGACAACAGAAACTCTTGCTGCAAATGAGGAGGAAAGTTAAGAAAACGCAGCTTACACCTTACAAGAAATGAAAGACATACTGTTTCAGCAGAGTATTAATATTCGAAATTAAATTACCTTACAATATGAAAGAACTTGACCACATAAATTCAGATTTGGCCATTTACCAAAGAAAACATGTTCTACAATTTAAAAAGTGGATACCACAAAATCACTTACTCATCGTCTTCATCGATGAATCCGGATTTAACTAGAAACTGGGCAAGGTCAAAAGCTAATATGAAAGAAATTGTGACTATGCCGACAGCACAACTCTCGCCTTTGCTATCAACAACCAACAAATCGTTCACTTTTCTGTAATAGTTGTTGGGACTTGTAATATTATTTTAGATAGGTGTTTCCAAATCTACCATCCCACCCACACTGCTGAAGTTGAAGAATTCCTCTCTTCACCAATTCCTCTCTCTCTACCTCCAAAACCTGTTAACCCCTCTGAGGTCAAATTCCTTATAAACAAATTAAAACCCCGAAATTCCCCTGGATATGATCTCCTCACTTCACAAATCCTCAGACAACTTCCCAAAAAAGCAATCACATTCCTTACCTATCTATACAACTGCATCCTTCGTACCACCAACTTTCCTTTGGTGTGGAAACACTCCATAATCATCCTGTTTCCAAAACCAGGTAAACCTGTTAATAACACATCATCCTATAGACCGATAAGCTTACTCCCGATCCTCTCAAAAATCTTTGAGAAAATCCTTCTCAAACGCATCCTACCCATAATCGAATCCCACAACATCCCTTCTCATCAGTTTGGATTCCGCCCAAGACATTCCACTGTCCAACAAGGCCTTCGTGTTGTGGGCCATATATCCTCTGCACTTGAAAACAAGCATTATTGCACTGGTGCCTTTCTGGACATAGCGCAAGCTTTCGACCGGGTGTGGCACGATGGCTTGCTTTTCAAGCTCAAAACCTATTTACCCCAATCCTTATACCTAGTCCTCAAATCCTACCTCTCAAATAATTCCTTTCAAGTCCGTTGTGACACCGAATTCTCCACTTACTATTCAGTTGAGGCTGGTGTTCCACAAGGCAGTGTCTTGGGTCCTCTTCACTTCCGATATCCTTTCAAATCCGATACATTTTCTACTTTTCAAATCCCGATAATTTCATTTGCTGATAATACTGCCATTCTATCTTCCCACTCAGATCCTCAAATAGCATCTCTAAACCTACAATATCACCTCTCCTTGATTGAGCAGTGGTGCAACAACTGGTGCATCAAAATCAATGAATCAAAATGCAAACATATCACTTTCACCCTGCGACACAGATCCTGTCCGCCAATCATTTTTAATTCAATTCCACTTCCCTACTCAGACATAGTCCGTTACCTGGCTTCCTTCTTGACAAAAGACTAACTTGGAACCCACATACCAGACTTAAAAGACAAGAACTTAACCGACGATATGGCCAGCTGTATAGATTACTAAGTAGGACATCCCATCTTTCGATTGAAAATAAACTTTTAATCTACAAGACCATACTGAAACCTATCTGCACCTACGGACTTGAACTGTGGGGAACTGCAAAACATTCGAATATCAAACGCATCCAATCCTTCCAGTCCAAAGTACTCAGAACAATAGTCAATGCCCCATATTATGTCACAAACAAGACCCTACATCATGACCTTAACATCCCATTTGTCCACGACATCATCCCATCCAGATTCTCAAACTTTCAGCAGAACCTTATCCATCATCCAAATCCTCTAGCTCAATCCCTATCCAGCTCCCTTCATCCCTACAATCCTCCACGAAGGTTAAAAAGGCAGTGGCCAGCATCTTCACTCATGTCCTCAGCGTCTGTGGCTCTAGTGCCCTCTTTCAGTCACCACTGGCTTCTAATACTAGTGATGCGGCTGGAAAAGTGGCACTGGGATCTCCTGGAGTCTTGCTTTGCCTTCCACATGTGGGGGAAAAAGCCTGGCTCGGAGATTCCTGGGCGAATGTATTTATTGTATATAGGTATGATTGTGTTCAGAAGTTTCTATTTTATGTTATTGTTTTGTTTTTTTTCTTTTATTTATTATCATCAGTATTATTTATTTACTTTTTATATTTATTTCTCTATTATGTGTATATATTGTATGAATGAGAACTCTTAGCCCTAATACTTATAGCCCTCCAGCAGTGGCTGATTGTATTATTATTCAATAAATAGATTAAAAAAAAAAAAAATTACATTCCGCGGGCAGATTAGAGGTTTGAGAATTCAATTGAACAGGGTGCCAAGTACAGAAAGTTAATTGCTAAGGGTAATGTAGTTGTTGTAAACGATACCTCTGCCTCCCTTCTCTGAAGAAATAGGTGAGACCTGAATTGACAACACACAGGGCATATTGACATTCATAAGCTTATTGTCAATTAGACTCTCAGATCTAAAACAATTTCTGACCACTAAGCCTTCCATTACAGAAGCATTAATGGTTGGCAGATGGGATGGTGGTCTCTGCCTTGGGCAGTACCAGTGAAAAATTACCTTCAGAGACCATAGAAATAACTTAAAATCCTATCTATGATCTTCTGCAGAAGTTGTTAAACTTTTTATAAATTTCTCTTCATTTTTTTATCAGGTTAAAATGATTAAGAAATAAAATTACCTTCGTATTGGATTCTAGAGGAATGACTTTGATTTTGGAATTATTTTTTGGAGATGCTTTGAAGTTTTGTCCTGTTATTATTGCTTTTTGCGCAGCTGGACTGGTAGGTTTTAATAATTCATCTGCTTTACCAGTTTGCTGAAAATAACAAAATAATTTGTCACAAAATTCAAAGCATAAAAGTTTATGGAAATATTTAATAAAAATACATACAGGTAAAAGATTTTTAAACAAAGGTGAATCTCCAAACGGCATGGAAGCATATGCTAACATATGCTGATTTATTGGATTATTCAACAAAGATGTCTGGTTACCACCAAGTCCACTAAAATAAAAATAAAATACATATTTCAGATTTGATTTTAAATATAATTTATAATTTTCATAGTACCAAGAAATTTTAAAAACTTACCTTTGTTGATTATTAAGTCCACCCAAGTTTAATGATGTATTTCCTAAACCACCCAAGGTTGTCGAGCCAGTATTTCCAAAATTGGTGGATGTATTTCCAAAAGTGCTTCCTCCGAACAAGCCAGTATTCGTTTGTCCGAGCAAACCTCCTGGTTTATTATTTGACCATAAATTATTTCCAAATACAGAACCACCACCACCAAGGTTAGATGAGCCTATTAAAAAATAACAATAAATCTTTCAGGTATTGTTTTATACAAGTACTATAACTAAATACGAACCTAGTGTGTTCGTAGTTGCTGTACTTCCAAAATTAAAGGAAGTAGTTGGTTTGAAGTTATTACCAAAAACAGAAGTATTCTGGTTTGTAGTTCCAAAAGCTGATGTTCCAAAGCCTGTCGATGTAACAGTTGGAGTCCCAAAAGTTCCAAAGCTCAGTGTCGGTTTGGTTCCAAACAAAGAACTTCCTGTGCTAGTTGTAGCTGGTTGATTAAAAGAAAAAGCACTGCTGGTATTCGCTCCAAGATTGAAAGTAGGCTTGTTTTGTCCAAAAAGACCAGTCTGGAAGATAAACAAAAAGCTTATAACTATGGCCCAGGAAAATCCTGTATAGACTGAAAGGCGAGGTACGGAAAAAAAAAAAAGAAATATATATATAAAATAAAATATATATATTTAAAATAAATATAAATACATAATAATGAAATAAATATATTTAATTATTTTTAGAAAAATTTAGTTCTATATCTTAAGTCTATCCTCTCGCATTCAGTTTGTGCTAAACTGTATATTGAGTTGTCAACTCAAAGCAGGGCATTAGCAGCGGTTACTGTCCCAGGATTCCGATATTTGTCTCGACTTCGGCCAGGATTGTTTCGAATTTTGCTCATCTTACGAAGTCTCATGACTCTTCATATTTAAAATGGTCATTTTAATAATATTTGAATGGGAATTGGAAAGATGTAAAGATAGATACAAACGTAAATAATCATTATATCTGATATGAAGCTATAGGATGCTGGGTACCGCAACCACAACTAACGTGTTAATTTGTAGAGATTGAAAAATAAAATATTACTCAGTCACTAAAAACTTGTTTACAAAATAGAGTGAATCGCACCATTTCAATTTGTTGAGATTGGAAAATAAAATATTACACAGCCACTAAATTTAAAAAAATATAAAATAGAGAGATCCCAGCATTTTAATTTGATATTGGAAAAGAAAAACAATTGCAGCAGACTTGGTTCAATACTCAAACTAAGAGAATGTATCTGTGATTCCTAAGGTCTTTCATAAAGGATATTCTAAATAATTATATTCCAACATGGATTTTATGATTATGATAAAATCATAAAAAATTACAGTATCTACAAAAATTACAGTCTATTCTCCCTACGACACTTAAGGAGACAGCCCTGATGAAGGCCTGAACTTCAGTTCGAAACGTCGGCATATGTAAAAAATAAATATTTCATTTACTTTTGCCTTCCTTTTTGACTGACCACTCCAACTATTCTTCTCTTCATTATCCACGACAGTCAATCAATTACCAATTATAAAAAATTACAGTCATTAAAAACCTTTTAATATTAAAAAAAGATTATGTAATGAATAGTTAAACATACATTTTGTTGAGTACCGAAAGCACCAAAACCCGTGGTAGGCTGAGCCAATGTTCCACCAAACCCTTGAGAAGGCTGAGTTGTCTGTCCAAAAAGATTTGTTTGAGTAGTAGCTGAAAAAAAACAACAAAGATTATAAAATAATCATTCAGCAAAGTCTCTTTATAGGGCAAGGGCAACGTTTACTTTAATTCAGTAAAATTATCTATTATACTAAGAAAACTAATAATTCACATATTTTAAATAAGTATTTTCTTGTAGAATTAAAATTATTTTTATCAGAAATATTACAAGAATTACAATCTTATTTGGAAACCTGATTACAGTTACAATCATGAAATAAAAGCACTAGTAATCATAATCATTATGATAGTAATGAAGTAATCAAAATCACTGTACTCAATCATATTAATTTAAAACAAAAAAAGTCCAAAACAAGTGAAAAAACACTTCTGTTCTAAATCCAATTTTTTAATAATCCAACTACCACAATATGCTTTGATTACTTAGAAAAATTATTTTGGCTAAGTTTCTTCTTGAACCCTTAAAGAGTTAGGCCCTAATTTCGTTCACATCCACAGAAGAATTAACTGAAATTTAAATTTTTTCAAAATCAACATGTAGATTTGTTTGAGGAACTGGTATATAGATAGCAGAATACCTAAACTAGACAAAGAATGTCAGTTAATTACGTTTTCCTCCTGCCCATGTAGAGCGAATTTGATTCAGAATAACAATTATCGTAACAATAACAGGTATCATTGTCCGTTTATTCTGAAATATTGTCATGCAACGTTTTAGAAAACTAAATTAGTGAATAATCTGATGAATCTTTGCTTTGTGATATTACAACAGTATTCACTACTATTTCTTTGTACTTGTGTGAAAGAAGAAGTGTAATATAAAAATATTTTATATACGTTTATAACCTTAAATATATTTAATGTAGTTTAATAACTCTAGATCTGATATTATATTTAAATATTTAGGTATCTATCATCCGTTTATTCCAAAAAATCATCATGCAACCTTTTAGAAAATCAAATTAGTGAATAGGTTAATGAAATTTCCTTTTGTGAAATGCCAACAGTATCCACATACAATTAGTGTCACAACTTTTTTTACACTGAAAAACTGATGTTCATCAACTTTTTCTTTGATACCTCATGAACAATTGAATTTAATTTCATAGTTCAAATGATTTTCTCATAGTTTAGGGCAAGACTAAAAGAAAAAAGAGTGTGAAAATGTTTCCAATTTAAGTTCATTTAAGCCATAAAAATAGTTTGAACTGTTTGCAATATACTGAAGGGAAAGAGAATGAAAAGTCAAAACATGTTCTTACTACTTTTCTTTCATTGTTTGTTTACACATAGATTAACCTCTAAGGGCAGATTACTGGATATGCTGGTATTGCAAACGGCTGGATTATAGGGACTGTACTATACTTTAATGATAAAAAAAGGCTGTATAGTTCCTATAATTTATGGAATAATCAAACTTAATGATCGAATAATTTATAAAAAAATGTTTTCCATGTTATAAATCCTCGAAAAAGATAATTTTTTGCTTTTAATAAATTTTATTTGAGATACTTAGGTATTAAATAAAAACAAAACAAAAAAGTCTGCTTCCTAAAATGGCATTGCAGAGGAAAAATAATAATAAAAAAATTACTAGTTTAAAGCATTTTATGTACTTTCATTGCTAGCATTGATTACATTGTTGGAGAAACATTTTTCGAGTTGTACTACCATTACTACTCTATGACAGCTGCAATATATATGTACAGAAATATTGCTCTAGCAGTTGATAACATAATAACCAAATATTACAGGACGTAGCACACATTTCTCTCCAAAAGATCCTAGTAAAACTGACAATAAACACAGGAATTGCATATTAAAATTTAAAACAGATTAATGATAAATATAACTAACTTCCAAAAGGTTTTTGAGCTGCATTGGTACCAAATGGATTCGAAGGAGTGGTTGTATTGAATCCAAAAGTACTGGTGGTAGTGGCAGTTGGTGTTCCAAAGGCTGTTGCAGTCCCAGCTGGTTTTCCAAACAGAGTGGAACTTCCTGTTCCAAATACACTAGTAGTGCCAGTTCCAAAACCTAAATTGTCATGTAACGTACATAAATTAAAAACCTTTATAATTAAAATAACACACAGTAAATAATTCCTAAAATCTGTTTTATTTTCAGATGTTTGATGGAGAAATGTCATTATTATAGATTTTTAAACAGTTTTACTCCAATAAAACAATATTACATATTAAAAAGAGAGAGAGAAAAAAAAGAAATCATAGCTCATTTCATTATGAGCATAAATGTCTAGATTGGCACCACAACTAATAGCTAAGTAAATCATTTAGGAAAATTATAATACTGGCATCAATAGCAGGTTATATGTTTGGGGGACCAATACTTTGTATCCAAAATTGATTATTAATTTATAATGGTGCATGAAAAAAAACAAAAAAAAACATTAACAATGCAACTAAATGGAAAAAAATTGCCATGGATTACTGAAATTCACAGATAATCCACGTAAAAAAAAATAAAATGAAAAATCCTGCAATAACACATTCTTGGACAACAAATATGCAATTAAATCTAAAAATTAATATACAATAAGAACAAGGCATTAAGTGTTATATTTTTTTTGTTTTTGGATTAGAAAACACTTTCTCATAATCTTGAGTGGATTTTTGTACTAAAGAAGTTAAGTCAGCCAGTAATGAGTCATCAACACTTCATGACTTATTTGATGAATAGTGGTGGATCCTTCCTCTTCTGTTCATTATCAATTGTTCCAGTCCTTATTTTGTTGATAATTCGCTCCTCAGTAAGTGCTTAAAGACCATATCATCATCAGACTTTGTCTAATCAATAATTCTGGTTTTGTTAACATTTTATTTTCCTACAGGAATGGTTTTCACCAAATTAGTTTCGGTGGCAATGTGTTGCTATAAATCATCTTTTGTTGTTGGTTCTTTTTGTTAATTAACATTAAGTAATAACTTAATTTCAACAACAGCAGCAATGGTTTTCTATATGTCACCATTTCTATGTATATACCTTATTAACCATATACATTTATATGTCTGCATATAATTGGGATTGACTTTAAACACATATAACAATCGTGATGGCTGGTATTGGTTAATTAATAATTTCTATTTTTTACCAAAGTAGAGACTTTTTTCTTTCGTATAAACCATTTAAGAGTTTCATAATTTTGTTATCAGGTTTTACAATCTCTGAAGCTATTGTTATTATATTTTCCTATTTTTTTCAGAGCTGATTAATTGAACTGAGCAGCTCGATAGGAATTTCATTTTTTCTCTAAGGGCTGTCTTCAACAAAACAAAAACTGACAATGATCAAATAAATGTTTGTGTTATATTTCTTTAAATCTTTCATAGTTTTTTACTTACTTATTCCATTGTTATGAATTTTTCTAATATAAAATTATTAATCTTACGTATTATAAAGTAACCAAAATAAATAATTAATAAAAAAAATGGCACTACTTTTTTCTACTTTGCCAAATTTGTTTTGCTAGTTTCCCACAAACAAGAAGCAAAGAAATCTAAAACAAATTATGGAACTATAAGAGAGAAAAGGACAAAAATCTAGATAATACAGCGAAGAACCACAAGAGTGGTGAAAATTTCTACTATTTAATGAAGAAAAAATATTTTTAAAAACTTTTTATTAATTATGAGAACAGCATTTTGAAGTTCATGTTGCCCCTTTTATACCTAATAAAACATTGTGGGTGATATAAAAATACACCAAGCCTGCTGTAACAAATTTAATTTGGAGGATAAATTCAAAATAATTTTTATTTGTGATACTTATTATGAATTTTAAAAATTAGCAGACAAATAACTAAAAGTAAAGAGTAATCTGGGGCCTCATTGCCAATGTATAATAATAGTATGGAATGTAATCATAAAAAACCTAATGGACATAGAAATTCTAAAATCACTTTCCGAATTCAAATTCCATTAAAACAATTTTAAAATATCTGAGGTATAACTACATTATTTGCACTACACTTGAGATAATTATCAAAAACTGAAATCTTTAACTAATAGAGAAAACAAAAGTTGGTTGCTATCAAAGATTCTAAGATAAAGCCGAAAAGTAGCAATTTACAAGAAAAGGTACAAGCTGTTTGAAAACTCAATATAATAATGGATTCAGATTCCATTCCAAAGACCAAGAACTTCCAGAGATCATACAATTTCCAATTAGCACTAGAGTCAGTCTAAATCAGTTATGAAACGCTTTTTAAGTTATACTTTGATTTTAAATAAACAAAACATGTTTAATTACACAATGGAGGGAATAAAATAATATTTCATCCAAAGGAAAGGAGTATCACCAACATTCAATTAGCTAGGCACAAATGAAATGTCAGTTCTCATTCTCAAGTTCGAATGGTACATTTTATTAGCAATCGAACTTCAGAACAAATCTGAATTATTTCTTAAAGATTTTTACCCTCTTTGATAATGAAATATTGTAACCTAACTTCTTATACAGAGTTGAAAGCACCCTCAAAAATAAGAACAAATAGAAAATAAAACAAAGAAACAATTATTTCCAGTGTAAATAACTTTCCAGTGGAAATACGGAGGAGAAGCTATTGTATAATAGAATAAAACTATCATACATCCCATTCATAAGAAGAGTGATCTTCTTAACTGTGAGAACTACAGAGGAATATTCCTCCTTTCTTCTTATAAGATATTTTCCAATGTTCTTTTTCATTGATTAATATTTTAAAAAAATATCGAGCAGGCTTTATGAAAGGCAAAGCTACGATAGAACGAATCTTCTCAGTGCGAACGATGATGGAGAGAGCAGCTGAGTTCATATGCAGACCCACCATCTCTGTGGATTTCCAAGCTTCCTATGACTGCATGATTCGAGGTGAGCTTTATGATAGAACGATAGTTCACGGGGTTCCTCCGAAGCTTGTCTGCCATGTTAGAATGACCATGAAGGCTACTCAGTGGTCAGTAAGAGAGTCCACACATTTAAGTTTTTATATTGCCACGAGAGAAACAGACAGGGTGATTGTTTATGTTTAGTAGGTCTGCGTTTCAATATTGCTTTGGAAAGTGTCATCAGACTTAGGAATGCAGATAGTATGGGCGATTTTCAACAAATATGCCAAATTCTGCTAATGATTAGGAATTTATTGAACGCAATTTTAGAAAGTGCCTTTCTACACGTACAAAAAACAGCATCTTAAGTTGAATTACAGGGAAACGAGTCCAAAATAAAGTATATGATCTGCAATCCTAAAAGAGGATAATATCTAGGAGAGAGAGTAAAAATCGGAGACTTTAAAATGTTTCAAGAAATTTATTTCTTTGCAACTCAACCAATGATATGCAATCAGATCAGTGGCGGATTTTGGCTGCCGATATTTGGTATAAGCGATTATTTCATCTGTTTGAATGGTATAGAATTATAGGATAGTAACCTCACTGTTTTCTTAAGAAAACATTATAGTTTGTTATAACCACAATTAATTTTAAAATTACATTATTTACTTAAATGAAAAGAAAAAGAAGTAATAATTAAATAGACATTTTTTTTCACACCTTGAAAACATTCTATTTCATTATAATTAATATTAGACTGAAAACTTACGATGAATGACTGCTTTTTATTTGATTTTTTATTTTTTTTTTACTCACTAAAAATTAAAAGCAAAATCCTCAATTTTCAATAAATTCAAGACTACAGCAGGACATCCTAAGTTTCGAATATATTGTTATTTAAAGCATTCTGTAAAAATTTCAGCAGAAAATAATCCTGGTAAATATCGTGGAAATAAACTGGCAGAACATGTAATATGTGATCGACAAAATAGAAGTTTCGCGAAATCCACCATATTCGTATATTTGCCACTTGTCTCCGAACAGACTACCATTATTTCCAAGCAATTGACACATTTAAAAAAAAAAAGAAGTATGTCAAAATGATGAGGATAAATTTTAATTTCTCAATTTTATTGATTAAAGCCACAAGTTTCTTTGAACAAAGGAGCATTAAATCTTGGAGGGTTAGTAAATATAATGAAGCTAATGAAAGTTATTATGAATGCAAATGACTTATACTAGAATAAGATGGACTGCAACACCCTTGAACACCAAAAATTGTTCTACATATCAGTTTGGTTACTGAATTTTCTGAAACATCTAAGGAAGCCACCTATAGCCTCCGGCTGGTATGACTAACTTTAAAGATTTTTTTGGAAGGCCATACATACTAGAGATTCTTCATAATGCATAAATTATAATAGGAATATTTAACCAATGCTATTTCTTTGTTATTGTTTGTGAGATGAAAAGATTAGGATTAAGAAATCAAACTATTATAAATTAAAAATTACTTTAAATAACTAATTACCTGCACTTGTACTTGCTCCAAAAAGTGAATTTTGTCCAGTGGAACCAAAAAGGCCTAGTGAGCCCTGAGCACCCTATAAAAAAGATATCATTAGGATACCTACAATCTGGACTTTAATGTCAAAGTTAATCAAATAAATAAAAGTTATAAAAATTTAAGAGTAAAAACACTGTCTTAGGATATATAAGTCAGTAAGAACAACTATAGAGCAGGGGTCTCCAAATTTTTCTGCCTCGTAGGTATGCTTTCGTAACACTTGTAAAGAAAAAGGTATGTGGAAAGGGATGTGGTTAGAGGGGACGAAGATTACCTTTGCAACCGTTTTAAAATGAATTTATGAGTGGTCTCATAATTTGACAACAATACAGTGGGGCAAAGAGCAGCTGAAACTATCGAACAGATGTATCATAATGTGGAACAAATTTTGTAGAGAGGTTTGTGCCCATATCATGTTATACAGGTCAACTAAGAAAACTGGAGGGTCTGAGAAAGTCGTTGAAGTAGAAGTCTTATTTTTTAAAAGAAAAAATTATGTAGGAAGAGTTCTCCCCAAACAATGGATGTTTAGCGGAGTTTGTCGAGAAACAGATGAGTGTTTCATCGTAAAAATAAAGGACAAAAAGGCAAGAACTTTATTACAATGCATTAAAAATAATATAGAACAGGGAAGCACCATTTATTCTGACTGCTGGAAAGAATACAACACCCAACAACTGAATGAAGCAAACTATAATCATTTAACTATGAGGTAAAACCTCGATTCATATTTATTTGAATATTTGTGACAGCGGGCTCATAGAGAAGAGGACCCGTTCCTCGCAATTTTAAATAGCATTAAGCTATTTTGTCTTCCAAAATAAATCAAATCAAAGTGTTTTGTTATTTATATTTCTTATTATTAAATTACAATATTATTATTATATTTATATTTCTTATTAATATATATATATATATATATATATATATATATATTAATATATATATATATATCTCCTTTATATATATATATATATCCCCCTCTCCTTTTCAACTCCTACATAAATGATCTTTCCAAATCCATCTACCACTGTTCACATCATTTATACGCTGATGACACCCAAATATATTTTTCCTTTCATCCTTCTGAGCTACTAGTCGCGTTCGCCAATATTCAGGCTGACCTAGATAGGATCAGTGCCTGGGCAAGTCTGAATAATTTAAATCTAAATGCGATGAAAACTCAGGCCATTATTATAGGTTCCAGTCCTATTCTTAAATCCATCACCTTCCTTCCTCCATTAGTCATCAACGATCATCCTGTCACATTCAGTTCATCCGTTAAAAACCTAGGAATCACCATAGACGAAAACCTCTCCTGGAAACCCCATATTGCCCTCATCTCCCGTAAGTCAATAGGTACCCTTAAGCTATTTCATCGCTCCCGCCACCTACTCCCACAACCCATCCGCAAGCTCCTTGTATCCTCTCTCATTTTCCCCCACTTTGACTACGGCTGTGTGGTGTACGGAGGCATCCCGATGGTACTCGAGGATAGATTGAAGCGACTCATGAATACGTGCTTAAGATTTGTCTTCGGTTCATCAAAGCGATCTCATGTGTCCCACCTTTACGACGAGTTAAAGTGGCTCTTCCCTTCTTTCCGCAGACAATATTTCCTCGGATCTTTCCTATTCCAAACAATCAACACTAGACACCCTTCTTACATCTACAGTCTCCTACAGTTTACACCCGTGGTCCACTCCCAGAAAACAAGATCCCGTTTTTCCGACCTTTATATCCCTTCCCATAGAACTAAGACGTTTGAATATTCCTTTATTTCCCGATCCACAGCCTTCTGGAATTCCTTGCCATCTGAAATCCGTCATGCCTCTTCCTTGTCCTCATTTAAATATCATCTTTACCAATTCCTTCTCACATCCCAAAATGACGTTATACAATAAAATAAATATTGTGAAACAGATTTTGACTGAGGTGAATGATTGATAAAATTTATTGTCTTAATTTTAAAAATCAACCCATGCTTATTTTATTTTATTTTTATCTTCATTTAAATAATGTTGTTTTTTTTTATTTCGTTTTCTCTCAAAATTTTATTTTATTTTTACTTGTTTTAATTTAATTTCACTGAAGATACTGTATATATTCTTTAATATTGATTAATGTAATTTTTGGCCAGATGTAGTTTTAATTTTTTTGTTCATATCTGTTATTCATAAGGGACCTTGTCCCAGAATAAAGTTTACTTTCTATCTATCTATCTATCTATCTATCTATATATATATATATATATATATATATATATATATTGACATATTGAATAAGTTTAAGGACCACTTTGACAATATTTTAAATACAGGAAATTATGATCTGTGTCCACCTTCTGAGTACCAGAGTGCTGAACCATTAATAGAAGGACCAAGTAAAGAGGAAGTTGAAGTAGCTATCAGAAAATTAAAATTTTATAAAGCAGCGGGAACCAATAATATTCCTACTGAACTAATTAAGGCATGCGGGGAAGCTGGAGTTTCTAAAATACATCGGTTGGTTAAAAATATCTGGGGGAATGAGAAATTACCTGAGGAATGGAAAGAATCTATTCTTATTCCAATTCACAAAAAGGGCCCGAGGACAGATTGTAATAACTATCGAGGAATTTCACTTCTTCTGGTATGTTATAAAATATTCACTTTAATCTTAACCAGTCGAATTATGGAATGCGGATTTAGATGGAATCGTTCAACTATTGATGAAATATTTTCTTTACGGCAAATATTAGAGAAAAAATTGGAGTACAACGGTATTGTTCACCAGCTGTATATAGATTTTAAAAAGGCTTACGATTCTATTGACCGCCAGAAACTGTATAATATTCTAATCGAGCAGGGGATTCCAAAAAAACTAGTAAATCTAGTGAGGATGAACTTGACGGAGACTCTTGGGGTATTCCCTTTCGCCTGTCCTGTTCAATTTGGCATTAGAACATGCCATTAGGGAGGTAATGCGCACCGAGAAAGGGTTGGATCTGGGTGGGACAACATCCCTGCTGGGCTATGCTGACGATCTGATACTGTTAAGCGAAGACATTGAAACTATAAAACTAAATACGACAACGTTAATGAAAGCCGGAAAAAAACTAGGACTCGAAATAAACATGGATAAAACAAAATATATGGTTAGCTGCAAAAATGGCGATACTACTGGTGATATCAATATAGATGGTAATATGTTTGAACAGGTAGATAAATTTAGGTATCTAGGTTCTACGATAACTAGAAAAAATGAAATTGAAGAAGAAATTAAGGTTAGACTGAAGGCGGGAAATGCTTGCTATTTTTCTGTGACAAAACTACTCAGTTCACGCCTCTTGTCCCGGAACTTAAAAATTAGAATCTATAAAACAATTATCTTGCCTACAGTTCTTTATGGATGCGTAACTTGGCCACTTACATTAAGGGATGAGCTGCGTCTTAAGATTTTTGAAAATAAAGTATTGCGTAGAATATTCGGACCGAAGAAGGATGAGTTAACCGGAGAGTTCAGACGGTTACACAATGCCGAATTGCGTGAACTGTATCCGGGTAATATAATTGAGGTAATTTCATCGCGGCGAATCAAATGGGCTTGTAAAGTTGTTGGGCTTAGTAACGAGAGAATTCCTAAAAGGTTAATATTTGCTGTGCCGATTGGTAAGCGTCCGAGGTGTAGACCAAAGCGAAGGTGGGAAGATTGCATTAAAGCCGATCTGAAGGGACTGGGTTTGGACGGCGAACGATGGAGGGAGGTGTGTAATAAGCAATTGGTGGTGTCGGCATCGAACCTTCGGATTCGCTAAGCCTTTTATTATTATTATGTTGTAATATAAAAGTGTTGTATGTAAAAGTATGTTGCAAAATAAAAGTTGTAAAACATTTGTTTTTGTGTTTTTGAATTTCATATGAAGATAGGGATTATCAGTGCCTTATCAGAATTATCAGTGTTCAGGTTATAAACATTGCCAGATAGCAATCCATAAGGACCAGACAGTCCACAAGTACCTGAAAACCTAATACACTAAAAAAACATAATAGTTCATTGCAGTATTTAAACTTTAAGTTGGCAAAAATTAAAATTTTTATAATTCATACACAAGTATAAATTATATATAAATAAAATAAATCTTCAAATATTAATAATGAAAGTAAACAGAGATGAATACCTGTTGGGGACCTTTGCGATTAGCTGCATAATCTTCAAGACGAAGTTCTTCCAAAGATTTGCCCTCATATTCTTTCATGACAGTAATGCAATGATTTCGAGTGTTAATGTTGGTACTTGATCCATTTTTTATCATAGTATCTGTTCCAGTTACAGGATTAAATTTGATCGTCGTTCCACCAGTTGTTGCAGTTCCACCAAAGGCTAAACATTTAACAATAATTTTTTTATTAAAAATATTTGTGCTGAGACCAAACATGGTATGGTATCAAAAATGGTTATATTATCTTTATGGTTATTTTATTTGTAAATCTTAATTATAAATAAATGAAGCATAGAAACAATCCTTTTCAATAAGTAACAATATAATTAAATGTTAATAAACCCTAAAATTAATTTTTGACTACTACAATGATCAACTATAAAAAAGTATACACCTCCCTCTCTTCTTTGATTTATAGTTAATAGTCAAATAATTCTCATCTGTAATATTTTTTTTTTGGGGGGTTGGGGATTATTTGAATGCATAACAAGATACTAAAAAAATGCACAAAAATATTGTTTACTCTTTTTACATAAATCTTGGTAACTTTTCTATCAATAAAATGCCAGATTCAACATACTGGACGAAAAGCCATTAATCCATACTTATTTAATCTTCTCCGAGCGGTAAGTTCAGAAATTTGCACACCTCAAACTTCTTCGAGGTGATGAATCGCTTGAACAACGGTAAGGTGCCGGTTTCGCAAAATTCTCAAAGTCAAAAACCGGTCATCCCATGGTTCTGTTACCCTAGGCCATCCTGAACAGGGCTTTCTATTGTAAGAACCAGTTTCCCGAAAACGCTTGACGGCGTCTCGTAATGTTTTATATGGAACTCCGATGTCATTAGCTGCATATCTAATGGAACATCCATCATCAATAAGTGCCACACCACGCGCTATGAGGCATTTTTAAACTTAATATTGAAAAAATTAAAAGCCAGAGACTAAGAAATGTGCTGCAAGAAACAGCACTGAACTAATGATACTGAATAAACATTTTGATTCCATAGAAAGTAAACATTAATCTAGAATCGTTTCATTGAATTAAGGATTAAGGGTTATTGTCCTCTATATTAACATTCCTAATTGAAAAAAAAAGGGATTATCTATTTATTCATTAAAAACAATAGACCAATCCAAAGCAGAAATATTTTTAGATGAAAACATGAAAAAATCAAGTGGGTAGAATTTTATGCCTGTGAGTGTATTTCATATAATATAAAAGTGTTTGAAACTCAAAATAAATGTAAGAGCAATAATAAAAATTATAACTGCTCTATTTTCAATATGGAACCTTTTTAGGTAAGAAAAAAATTTGTAAATACAAAGAATTATATAATTCGAATCTCATCGTTTGTTCTTTTTTAGAGATAATATAATTTAATTTTTATGATCACTTACAGTTATTTTTATGATAATTTTCAATTATTCTGCTTTTCAGAAAAAATAAATACGCAAGAAAGCAATGTGTTGTGGGATTGCCGCTCTAATTTTGCATTACTATGTGCGACCGGGCAGATATATGTCCCATTTATTAAGAGTTGAATAAAAAGGTTAAAATGCATTTTAGAAAAAGCTAAGATCTTGCAGGGTAACTCAAAATAGCATTTCAAATAAATTTGTGCAAAAAATATCCATTTTTCTGGTCGTCTTTTTGGATGCACCGTCTGGTAGAAACACAGGAATGAGCTACCGCAGTCAAAGACTTAAAATTGCCAAGAACTGTTCTGCTTTGGCACAAGCTTATAGAAAACGTATTTATTGGCTATTGGTGTCCAATTTAGTACACAGGCCTAAAACTATATAAAAAAAAAAAAAAAAAAAATGTATATCTTCAAACAAAGATAACAGACGTTCAGATCAATAGCCCCTAAATACTTATTTTGGACTCTGGGGGCTCTGAAATATTGAAAATTAGATTCCAAAATTTATACCCAATTACAATTCTTAAGGACTTAGACAAATAATAGGCTTTCTTGAACACTAAATATTCTAACAAAAATTTTAGACCTGTAGAGCCGCCAAACAGTCCCGTATTGGTCTGTGCTGCTGGTTGACCGAATAAAGAAGGTTGTTGAGATTGTGCTGGCTGAGGTTGCTGCCCGAATAGGCCTGTAGATGGCTGTTGAGTTCCGAATCCAAAAGCAGGCTTAGCTTGCCCAAATGCTGAAGTAGAGGAGCCAAAAATCCCAGTGCTTGGAGCAGCATTTTGTTGAGTTCCAAACAAACCAGTACCTGAGAAATACCAACAATAAATTATTAGTTCAAGCATTATACTAAATATAAAATTAGATAAAATTCTATCAATAAAAATACATTAATAAATTATCAAAAGAAGGTATTAAAACCATACACAACAAAATTAGTGAAAATAGAACAAAAAATAAAATGAACTTTTAAGGGATTTCGTACATGAATCTGACTCAGAGAAGTATCACTAGTAAGACCGAATATGTTTTGAGAACTGTAGTAAATGAAGGGTTCAATCCACCCCTAACCACCCCTAACCAATTAAAGAAAAACTTTACTTCAAAGTTGAGAAACTATATTGTTTTTAATACATTCCCCGAAACTTTATAGATTAGTTAAACAGCTTTCAGATGGTTCTCTTATCACCAGATGGGGAGGCATGAGGGCTTCAAAGTTAAGACAGCTAACTCATTTTCCATAAAAGGAATAACCTGCTGTAAAATGTATTCAACCACCATAAGAATTTCTTGGCATGTTTACTAATACTTAACCCAACCAAATTTCATTTTATTTTTTCATTTAACATTAATAGATTTAGCATATTTAGTCTATACGTGTTATTAACCTTACCCCGGCAGTAAAAGTAGAAAAGCATAACGTGGGACATTCCATAAGAACGACCATTTGATGATTTATGATAAATTAAAATACTGATAATAAACAATTTTTAGTTTAAAAAAGTAATTAAGTAGAAGAATAAAACTATGAAAAAGATGGGTCTAGCAAATTAGGTGTAGTTTATAGAGCCCGAAATCACTTCATGTGGGTAAGTGATAAAAAAAATAAAAAAAATAATAGAAGGTTTCAAACAAGACAAAACCTTTGATTAAAATTTTTACTTTCTCTTACCTATATATGTAATATATAGTTAGGGAAAGTATTGCGATCGTGAAAATTTTCGATTCTCAGTTTTCAACGGAAATACATGTTTTGAGGTTCCCTGAGTCAAAATAAACAAGCCCCACAAAATGGTCTGTGTGTCAGTGTGTGTGTATGTGAACAACCAAGCTCAAAAATGAAAAGTTGTATGAAACTTAAATTGTGCATTTATGTTTTGTTTATGGTTCTTATATGACAGCAACTGTTTCATTAAAATTGGCTAACTTTGTTTAAATTATATTTAAATAATTAAGTGACGGAGGCGGGGTTCATCGCTTCCATCTATGTGTATAAATGTGAAATGGATGCGATGAACCTGTTAGGCACCCAAGCTAGGTTCGGGGGCTGGAGCTGAGGCTGAATGGCAGAGGGTGGGTAAAAATTTACTGTCTTGTATCGACCCACTTGGGGCATCAGGTGACCCCTGTAGTGGTATAGTAGCCTGCTGTAGGGAGAGGGGGCAGTACCTACAGACTATTTTCCCACATACTCGTAGGGACAACATGCAAGATTCTCAAAATAGAAAAAAACAAAAACGACCAGACTTATAGACTAGATGGACTTTTTCTTCTGAGGAAGATTCTTCTTCCTTAAATTTAAAAAACCTGACCTCTCAGTCTAATCTGGCTTCTCTTGATATTACCCTCGATGAGGCATCGATGGGAGACACCATTAGATCTATCATGGCTGAAGTAGAGGGACTTCAAGTTTGCTATGAATGCGAGGAGATTAGAAGTGTGACCACAGCTGAGGCTGGAGCTGTTGCCCTACCTCCACAAAACTTTCAAGAGACAGGGCTATCAGCAGGCCTGATGGAATCAAATATTCAGATGCTAGGTGGTGGACTCGCTCCGAAAGAAGCAGTCCCTGCCACACTGAAACAATGAAAAGGCGGCAAAGGAGGAACAAATTGGTTGCCAAAATCATTCTAAAAAAACATATCCAGAATCGGAACCTACATTAGGGCACTCAGCTAAGGGTGCAAGGGTCATCCCAGACCCTGCAAACAAGACCAAGGAGTCCGACATGGTCAAGGACTCTGATTCAAGGATACAACAACAAATCAAGGAACCTAGTGGTAGGCAGGAAGCCAAGGGTCCAAGGGCCAATTATGTGTCCATAACTGAACTGCCTGCTACAAAGGCTCCAAGAAGATATATTACCCAAATGGAGCCACCCTCTGGCTCAGCAGGTAAAGATGTAGAGGTCTCTTGAGACCATGTACTTAAGGCTGTGAAGGCTTCTGGGCTAGCCCCAAAGACTGGAAAAAGGCAAAGAACCTCACTGGGCACCACGGTACCTACTGCCAAGAAACCCAGAGAGCCAGTAACCAAAAGCTATGCCTCAGCCTTGAGAGATCAGCTGATTGCGGTGGTTTCTATAAAATATCCGCTAGCCATACTTGACCGCGAACCAGTAGAGTCACAGTCTCCACTGGGGAATCCGTCCAACATGTCCACTGACTAACTTACTTAGATGAGGCTGCTGAAAATCAATCTACACCACTGCATTGCTGCAAGTGGAGTACTTCTACAATATATCAAAGGTGCGGAAATTGATATTATATTAATCCAAGAACCTTAAACAGGATCAGGGGGTTGGGAATCAAAGGTTATGGTACTATTTCTGTTGCTACCATTCCAATATTCTATATAAAAAATCACTAAAATGACTGCCTCTATGGGAACTTTGCTTTAGAGATTGGGCAGCAGCCAAATTAACTTCACCAAGAGATGAGAGGACACTAACCATAGTGGCGGGTTACCTGTCATATGAGTCAGGAGGTTCTGGGACAAGATATGGAAAATATTTTAAATTCCAACAATGAAGACACCCTGATAGGACTTGACGCTAGTGTCCTTAATATCATATGGGGCAGCAACAATAACAACCGCAGAGGTGAGATACTGCTGGATCTTATAATTAGTAATAACTTACACATATTCAATAGGGGTGAAAAACCTACCTTCTTTGACAAACTAAGATCAGAGGTTCATATACATAATGTTGGCAACTAGTCAGGTCACGTCAAAAGTACATAACTGGCATCATGTATCGGATGAGGAAACATGTTCAGACCATAAATATGTCAGATTCGACTGGTTTGACAACACTAAAACAATAGAGAATTGAAGAAACCCAAAGTCTACGGACTGGAAAGAGTACTTCTCATACCTAGAGGAGGCATCCAAATGCTGAACAAAAAAATAGATAACACTTGGCAGCTAGAATGCCTAAATAAATGGTGCAATTAGAAACTCTTATCTGAGCAGTAACGATATCCAAAAGAAAGGAATCCTGGTGGAACAAGGATTTAGAGAGGTAAAGAACATTCACAAGAAGGTTGTTCAATGCCACAAAAAGATAAAGCAATGGGGAGGTTTACAGAACCGCCCTCACAGAATATCAGAAATCTGTGAGGAAAGCCAGAAGACGGTCTTGGAGGAACTTCTGCCAGGAAATTGATAAAACTCCTATAGCAAGTAGGATCACAGCTCAGGAAAACACAAACCCATTGATGGGCTTAATTGTTATACTGATGGGTCACTTATGACATGCAGACCTGGTGCAGGTTTTTGGAGAAGCGATAAACCAGAGGTCATGTCAATACCACGTGGAAATTATCCAACAGTGTTTCAATTTGAAATACTAGCGATAACTCACTGTGCCTTAATGATGTTGCTTGACGGGCTAGTAGGGAGGAGAATTGCAAGTCAAGTGGCCATACGGGCACTGGACAATTAAACAACTAGCTTTAAGGCTGTTGGAGGTTGTGTAGGGGGCGGGGTGGCCGAACACCGCGAGTTGCCTGGCAACCAGATACATGAAGTTTTGAGAGACAAAAATAAGTACGAGTTCGCATCCCGGTGGCGGAGGGGATTTTAAATTCCCCGCCCTCACCCTCCAGCCCGTGGAAATCCCGTATAGCCTAAATGGCGAGGTAGGGAAGAACAAAAAATGTTGGGGGTTGTGTTAGAATTCACAATGACTTATCCAGACTTAATAAGGTAAACATTCAATGGGTTCCGGGTCAATCTGGAATACATGGTAATGAGATGCTCCAGATCCCATCTGTGGAATTAATCAGTATCTAATAACAAACAGAATTGGAGGGATCTATGGTGCTGAAACTAAAAAGAAATGGTGCTTGAAAAAACAGACCCTCTCTAGACTGAAAGGAATCTGTAAAAATAGAAGTAATCTACTAATTAATCTGAGCAGGAGCTCATTTAAGAAAATTACAGCGGCATATACTGGGTACTGTAAACTGAATTATCACATGTTCAATCTCCAGCTCACGGAGGCGTATCTTTGTAGGTACTACTGCCAGGAGGATGAGACAGCTTATCACATTACTTGTTGGTGAAACAAGTTTGCTGGACTAAGATTCCGATTATTCGGCATTGAAAGGGTGACTGATCCCAAGGTAAACGAGTTCATCAATCCAACAAGCTTATTACAGTTCATCGAGACTGCAAGAATGACGTTCTAAACAGGAGTGACTTTTAATTGCAATTGGACAGTTTATTAAATTATACAATATACAAAGCCAAGTAGATTTTACATGCGGAAGTTTAAATATGAAGGTGGTGGAACAGGAGTTGTTTGAAGGAATTCGTGGACGAGGATTGCCGGGTAGAGGTAGACAGAGAATTCCAAAAGAAGGTAGCACGAATAATGAAGGATTTGCTGAAGGAAGTAATTTTATGGAAGGGGATATATAAATCTATAGGTTGAAATCTGGTATTGAGAGAGTGGATAAAGTAAGGAATTATAGGATGTAGGGAGGATTTCTAGTTCTGAGGACTTAGAAAAGGAAAACATTAAGAAGGAATTACCGTTGGGAAGTAAGATAAAGCCACTTAAACTCGCTGTATTAGCAGGAAATATGACAACACCTGGGAATCCCAAAGATGTATCTTATCTTATGAAGCAAATCTTGAGTTTCAACTCTAGCCTGGCAGACAGCCCTTCATACACTAAACAACGGCAGTCGAAGTGGGAGAAAACAAGGGGCCGCCTGGTTTTTAGAGAAATACAATCATGGGATCTTGAGAGTTGTTTAAGGATAGTTTTAGATATTTGGGTAATCTGGGAGATATGGTTATTCCAGGAAAGATTCTGGCCAAAGGTTGCTCCTAAAGTTGAGGAAAGTAAGGAAGGGAACTAATGAGATGTCTGGACCTGATTAGAAAGCCTTAAGTTTTGTCTGCATTCAGCTTTAACTTATTTATTTATTTCTCTCCATCTGTTGATACAGTCGATAGAATTTGACAGTGCACTAATATTTTTTTATGTTTTCTCTGTTATTTTGATCAAGTCATTCCCTGAATTTTTCCCAGGTTTACTTTTTAGCTGCTTTAGCCTCATTTCTATACTGAGAAAAGTTTCAGATGTCTTATTCAGCTGGTATGACTTCCACGCTTTTTTTTTTTTAAATTATAATTGAGTTTATAATGACATCCAACAATTTACTGTTTGCCTCTTTTGGTGATTTTTTTGTAGGCCACAGCTCTCCTTGATAGTTCCCGAAATCAATGCTTTGAAAGCATTCCATTTTTTCTCAGCATCTTCATGTAAATCTAATACTCTAAGACTTTCTTCCAACTTGGCAGACTACAGTTTTCTCGTGTCTTAATCATCTGGAGCCCACATTTTTATTGCCTGGTAAACTTTAGGCTGAGCTTTACAAGTTCATAAGATTCTGATATCCGCGACAATAGATGGTCCATACCATTCTCTGCTCCTCTTATTATTTTCACCTCTCTGAAATATTTTCATATTCTTCGTTCATAAATAAAATAGTCTATGACTATTTTAGGACACTTTTTTCTGTAGCTATAAATACAGAAATAGACATCATTTTTAAATTTCCAACCTACAATAATCAAATCTCCTGTGCTTTTATTGGTATTAGTTTCCTAGTACTAAGTGGCTGGTTCCAAGATCATTTAGGGCTCTGTTCCAAAATTCCTCAAAATATTCAAATGTTTTTGAAAGAAGACGGAGCGGACCGAACCCCTACTCTTAATAATAAAGAGGGAAATATTTACTCCATTATAATAACCTAAATATTAAAACAAATATAATTTGTATGATTCCAATTTAATAATAACTCTCTCAGTTTTGATAATCTCATTCAAGACATTTTGAGTTTTCACAGCATTTAAAATTTTCTCTGTATCATATTATTTAATTATGCATATTTTTCTATACATATTTCATAACTATATTTAATTTTCAATTTTTTATATCTATAAGTGAATATTGAAAGAGGCAAAGACAATTGAATTGTAATAGGCTTGTATTAAATACTTTTTTTTTCTACACAAACTTCATATTTTTTATCATTATGATGAATGTTAACAAGCTACTTAGACTGACTTATCAGAAGAAGTTTTCCTTTTATTATATTATTTTACATATTTAGGTATTAAAAGCCAAGAAATATAACTTAACCTAACCAACTATTGTAAGTCAAGTTAGCGATTTTGGATGCAAAAATGTAAAACCAATTGTCAATAATTTGCTACTTTCCGCATTCACTGGGAATCTGGAAATAGCATATTCTGGCTGCTCTTGAAACCGGCTGCCATTTTGGAGTCAAGATAAGGAACAATAATCTTTTTCTTCCTTAATATTTATACAATTTATAATTATGACACAAAAAAGTAAATATAAGCACTGCTGTTATAAAAACTAAAATTGATACCAGTCCACAAGAATTACATGGATTAGGTGTGAATCACAATCACTTGTTCATGAAATGCTGAAAACAGTCAGGTGTTCCTAAATGTTAAGATGTCAGCTCTTGTCCCAAACAACCATTCCCCTTTGATGTATTGATGAAAACTTGTGCATTCCCACCATAGAATTTCCTTATTAAAAAAAATTGTTGATCATTATTATTAATTTGTTTGTGTAATGACAATTGATCTGGAAGAAAATATATAAAATGATATTTAAGTGGTCCTTGAAGGGGAGAAAAAAATGCTTATAGGGATAAAATTTGTATTAACACATGATTGTTTGTTGTGATTGTTTACGTATTTGGCTTATATCATCCACATAAACAAATATGGGCCAATGAAACAAACAATTATTTTCCTATTATTGGGAGAGGGCTTCAGCTTTTACATATTATCTGTAATTGAGCGAGTTTTCCACCAATATATAAAACATTTTTCCATCGAAAAATCACTTACTATGCATTTTAAATAAAAATATGTCATCAGAACATACTATAAATAGTATATATGTGAACATATTTGTCAATAATCGGCTACTTCCAGCATTTGATTAACAGTGTGCTCGAAATGATCTTGAAACCAGCCACAATCTTGGAGTAGTGTATCAGAGCTAGTTTACAAAATCACTAAATGAAGGAACTTAACAGTTAAATAGAAAAAAAAGATTTAAAATCTTTGTATTTATAATGGGATTGCTAAAACAATAAGATGGTCTTAAGCCTAACACTAAAAACATAACCTTGTCGAGATTATCAGAAACCACTTACTAGTACTACTGAAGGCTGGTTGGGTAGTTTGTGGCTGACCGAAAGCAGGTGTTGTAGTAGAACCAAAAAGACCTCCTGATTGCTGAGTGGTAGTTCCAGAAAATAAAGATGTTCCTGCAGTTGATCCAAAGACTGGAGCATTAAAACCTGAAGTAGCTGGTTTCCCAAAAGCAGATTGCCCAAATGGAGAGGCAGTTGAAGCTCCAGAGAAACCAGAACCTTAAATGAAGTTGACAATGTATTAGAATAACATTCATATACTATAAATGGCCAGTCTCAAATAAAAATTCTAATAAGAACTCTAAGTAAATATTAAAGCTAGTTATAGAGTAAAATGGCCTAATAGAGTATTTCAATTCGTAATTTCATTCAATAAACTCAATAATCTACAACAAAACTAACACCGTTGCAACAAAAAATGTAATATATACCTTGGAACATGGTGATTCGCTTTGATTAAAGATAAATCTACATTAAGCCCCACATTATATTTAAATAGAACATAAAAATGTGATCTGACAACAAAATCTTCTAGTTAAAGTCCAAGAACGAAGCAGTTAATACATTCCATACTAACGCTCATGAGCTAAAGGTAACGTTGAATAAACAACGGAGATGTTGAACAGTGCCGTCACCAAATAAATTCATATTTGTATAATTTTTTTCAATACCAAAAAGCTTCAAATTATAACTTATTTGATCGGTGGCTGAATTTCATTTGTAACTATTTTAAATTAATATAATAATTATATATTATATCATGAACACATTGCATACAATTTTTGAGCGATCTAGTTGACCAATAAGAGGTAGAAAGACATTTTCTTGGCTGTACTTGATTACTAGAGAGCCAATCAGAATTCTCCTTTGATACTCATTCAATCTCTTCTTTGTGAAGTAAATCTACGAGAAGTGGGGAGGTTGGGATAAGATGTTATGGTTGTGTTCTTCGAATTGTCAACATTTAAATGGTTTCGCCATTAGTTTAGGTCCAGTAATGTTTACTTTAATTTGTTTTTATTTTTATTTCATTACTGTTTTTAAACAATTTTAGTCTCCGAAGTGTTAATAAATTGAATATTTGCTCTTAGGTTACAATGTTTGGGACATAGCCTGTAATCAAATTACCCATTGACTACGGTATTGTAATATTTAATGGCTGATTTTAATAAACACTGTTAAACTTTTATTTAGTCATGATAATACCTTTATATCTACAAAGCAGTAATTTGCTTTTATTGATTGATTCAAGGTGCTTTGCTTTAGCTTACACCTTAATTTAAATTATCAACTCCAGAACTTTCTCATTCTTGTAATGTTAAGTTATTTTACAGTAATCGAAAAGAGAGAGTTAAAAGACTATAGCATTTATGAAGGAAACGAAAGTAGAATCATAAACATGGAGCACAATAGTAGACAGTCAAACATCATTATGACAAGTAACAATAATTCTTTAGTACATAGTGATTACAAAGAAGCAGCAACCAGCAGTGTTAAAAAGTTACCAAAGAAGCGTAAGTTTGTTCCGTCCGAAGAAGAAGTAGACAAACCTAGTGAAAATTTTATTTCCAGAGTGGTTGTTCCTCCACAAGTTACAGCTGTTGATTACTCTTGTTTAAGTAATTCTCAAAAAGCGCGAGAATTAGAAAGAACAAGTTCATATTTAGAGCCTCTAAAAGATGAGCGAATGGAAGTAAGTAACTTAGAAGAAAATAGTGAATTAAGACGTACATTGCCAAATAGTATAGATCTTATAGAATGGGTTGACACCCATGTATTAGCAAAAAAAGACAATGCTTATCTTCCTGGTGTTATAAGCCAAGCTGGAGTTAATGGAGAAGTGTGGGTTAAGTTTGGTCATTTTGATGGTGAGCCATTCATATTTACCGATGTTTTAAGCTCAGGAAAATATGATGTCATATCAGATGCAAGCCCTTCAGCTGGTCAAGTGACTTTAGGTGCTAGGGTTTGTGTGCGTATTCAAACCGGTGATGATCACCAACTTCCTCCAAGAGTTTACCTTGAAGGTGTTGTTTGTAAACTCTTAACATCTCCAGTTAGATTTGTTGTTAGACTTATCAGGGAAGGCAAAGAAACAGTTGTTAAAAGATCTGATCTAAGACTGCTACTTCCTCCCTGGTATGAAGAATTAGAGGACGTAGAGGAAAATTGCAGTATAGTTCAACCATCTTCAACAAATGGTTTTCCTCTTACTAATAATGGGCATTTACAAATGCATCATGTTCCTACTCTGCAACCAGACTACTTCAGATCGAATCCTACTTCCCCAATGCATAGTATGACCACTCCTAATAGTATCATGTCTGCTGCTCTTTCCAATGCTAGTGGTGATGATATAAGACCCCGACATTACGACGATTTCGAAAGTGATGATGATTTACGGAGAGAAGATATTCTTTTTACAAATGATGGTATGTTTGGTTTATGTTAATATTTTAATTTAGTTCTGCTTGTTTTAAGTTAAGAGAATTTTGTAATATATTTGCTGATAATTTATTTCCACTACATACCACTTTAAGTATTTTTATTTTAAAGATGGTGGGAAATTATCTGGAAGTAGCAAAAGAAGCAGCATGCATAGCAGAGGTAGTAATTCTAGTTTAATGGAACATGGTAGTATTACTCCAAGATCCACACCTGCAACTCCAAGGTTGGTTCAACATTTAATTTAATTTAACCTGCCAAGTTCATTAATTATATTATAAACATTTTATTTTATTTTTGTTGGGGAGGGGAGGATAACTAGTTTAAATTTTTAGTTTTGAACTGATTATCCCTGAATAATGTCATGAAGGGCCTTAATTAATATCTACTGTACATTTCATGATTGTTTCATTTATTATGATAGCAGTTAATTATCTGGAATATGATTTATGTAAATATTTATTATTTTTATTAGGAAATGTCAAGTTATAAGTTCTAGCATCGTGAATATTGATATAAGGCTGTTTACTTGCAAATTAATGGTGTTTTTTAGGAAGTTAATACACAATTATAAACAAAATTCAAATTTAATAATCTTATTGTTAAGTTTTAATGTTTTTAACATTAAATGTTATCGCTTAATAATGCTAAATTGACTGTTAATTGTGTCTAGAATCAATTTACTTGAGTTATTGGTCAGTTATCATTAGTGATATCAAATAACTAAGTTGTGATTAAGATTAAACTAACTTGTTCCTACTGATTTTATAGTCCTATTTTACTTAGAAAATATGTCAAATAAACCAAGATATAATGATATATATTAATTTATTCTACTTTATTATCTTATCAAATAGATAACTTAGGAAATATAGGTGGAAGTGGAATATATTATGTATATATAGTTTTTTATTACTCATTTAGATGAACTGTTTTATATTATGCTGCTTTTAATTTTGAATGGGGGAATGAATTTGAACTACTTCAGAGTTCAATTTCAAGATATTGAAAATTTTTTAGGATATTCTCTATGAGAACAATATTATTATTACGATAAAAAAGGTTGGATTTATGGTTAAGAAATTTATATCTGGTTTCGTAAGGCCATTTTAAAGTTAAAAATAAAATAAATAAATTAATTAATTTTTTATACTCATAATTTTCAGAATAGTTCGATTAGTGAAATAATACGATATCACAATATTTGTTTATAAGTCAAAATACTGTAGTGTATCAAATTTTTAAGATTTTACATATTGGTTAATGTTATGAGTTTGAAATGGTGAGATGGTAGATCTACTGTTATGTGTTAATAATCTCTGTTGTTAATTTCATATTTCAGCTATTACAACCTTTTTTTACTTGAAATTTTCTTTTCCTATTGATATGAAAGAAAACAATAATATAATGGATTTTGATAGAATCTAATGATAGTATTTTATAGAGTGAATTAAATCTAAATAGAATACTCAGTTTTGAATTATTCAATATACTTGGATGTATAAACTAATTTAGACAATGCATAAGAGAAATTAAATTTAGATATTGAAAAGCAAACTAATACTGTTTTGTACTAAATATATTTCGTTGGTTTTTGGGCACAGAACAGTTAGTCAATTCTTAAATTTGGTATTCAGTTATATGCAAAGGTTATTATTACATTAATTTATTCTTATTGTCAGGTTTGGGTTGAATGCTAATTTCAAATTATTCTTTGGATAATATTTGGGCAGGAATTGGATTGATATTAAAAAAATGTTGGTTGTGTTTGAGGGTATGAAAAAATACTGGTCAATTTTTTATTTTTATTATTATTATTCCTCCTTTAGCCTCCGTACCACATATATATTATTTTTAGTTAAATGCCTCTGTGATTATGCTATTCATCCAACTCTAATGTTTATTTATCGTAATATATTATTTATTTACCGTGTTAGGTCTCAGGCAGCAACGCCCCACAAATATAAGAAAGGGGATGTTGTGTCTACCCCTAGTGGGATTAGGAAAAAGTTCAATGGAAAGCAATGGCGGAGGCTTTGCTCAAAGGAGGGTTGTACTAAAGAATCCCAGCGAAGGGGCTATTGCTCAAGGCACCTCAGCCTTAAGGGAACCACCCTTAGACCACAACCAACCAACTATCCTAGGTAATTTTTCACATTAACATCGAAGAAAAAAATAAATCAGTTTATTGGAAACTAACACCTGTCGGGCGCTGTATTTATTTTTTTCATATTCATTTATTATTGTTTATAAGAGATATTTTTCTACAGTAAAAATTAAACTATTTTAGGCTGTAGTGCCATTTTATCTGGATTAACTTAAAATTTCAATTTTGAATTTTTACATTGATTTCATTAAATAACTTATCAAAATAAATTTTCATTATTGTGTGATGTTCAGTTAAAATTTTCATTTTATTTTGGTGTGATTTAAAGAATGACAAATACAGTAGCTTTTGATGTATCAAGCCCTTGTTTAATTTTAATTTATATGAGTAATTAAAATACCTTGATTGTAAGAAGATATATTATTAATCATGTTTTAAGTGTTTATCAGTATTATAACTGATTTAATCATTTTCTAGATAAGGTAGATAAAGTTTTTGACTTATTGCCTCTGAGCAATATTAGATTAAGTTATCTATAAACTAGTTGCCACCAATGAAGTCGTATATATTTCTTATTAAGAAATCTTATATATGAAATGAATGTTAATATCCTTAAATATTTAAATGTTTCTCAATGAAAACAAATTGTTTAAGTATTCATCAAGGACAAAAGGTCATTGACATGGTGAAAAAAAAATACTCAGTTTATTTGAAAGAATGATTTGACTATTATAAATTTATTCAAACAGCTATATGTTTTCCAGTTGTATTGGCTCTTGACTTTCATATTGATTATTAGTAGTTTGATAAGTTCCCGATTATCCTTAGATCTTTTAATAAATAGCAACAAATTCTTTGAATTTTTAGATTATTTTTTTTTTCTGCTATTATGAATATTATTAGTTATTTTAAGTTGAATATTGCCATCAGTTCTTTATGGTATATTTATTTAAATTTAATGAATATATTTCAGTAATTTTTTAGTACAATTTATAACTACCCCATGCTGGAGCTATAGATTTATTAATGAATAATCCAATAATGATTTTGTAATTAAAGAATAAGGTGGTCGATTATAGGAATACTTTTAGTTGATTTTAAGGAAGACCCGTGGAGGCTATTATATCAGTCTAGTTCTGATCCTTTAAATTTATTTTATTATTAAAAATTTATATTGTATGTACATATTGTGTGAATGAATCATGTAGCCTTAATATTAATGCCCTTCAATGTGGCAGAATGTATTAATATTCAATAAAGAAAAAGGTTTTTTACAAAAATTTATACATATGTTTTACAAAATCTTAGAAAATAAAGTATATATGCTTTAAAAGTTGAGATTATCTTCAATTCAATTTATCTTATATATTAATATATTATTAATTACAATCTAAAAAAGAAAAATAATAATTATTATTATCATAAATAAATATAGAGAAATATAAATATATTATCAAATTCCATCCATAACCAATCAAAATCAGTACTCTACATTCAAGGTATTTTATCATTAGTATGTTGCTGCTTTATAATTTTAAGGCTGCCTTAATATTTAATATAACATTAAACTTAACTATCTTTCTGTAAAAGTCTAAATAATCAAACCTTATTTTATTTTAATTTGTTTATTATGTACAGTAATGTATATATTTTTAAATATTTGCAGAGGTAAGGGTAGTGTCATTGATGGAGAAGAAACTTCTCGAGATTCAGATACATCACCAAATTATGGAGAGCGGCGTATGACTGGTAGATTTGATTCTGATGAAACTGAAGTTGCTAATATGCTGGGTAAAGTTTTTTAGTTGTTATCCTAAACAGTCTAGTCTAGGTGAAATTTTAAGCAGACGTCTTTTGAAATTGTTTAGAACTTATGTAGCAATGCAAACATACAGTAACATATTGAGATAAATATCTCCTTAGAACAATTACAAAACTCAAATTGATTTAAAAAATCTCATCAATCAAATTCAGTTAATAATTACTTAATTAAAAGCTAGGCATTAATAACTTATCAAATGTATAATTTATTTTTTAAATTATGCCATTTGATTTTTAAAAGCATTAAATCCTCAGGAAAAATATTATAGAATACTATGTCATTGAGCTTTTTTAATTAGTATGCAAAATACAAAAATTAATTTTATTGTTATAGTGGCACTATTCTTTTCCTCATCTTCTAAGATTATTAATTTTAACTTAGTGTGTTCCACCATTTTTTCTTGGAAACCTTAGAAAAAAAAGTTAATGTATAAACAGTGCCATTTTGTTGTTTATGAAAAATAGTTTCTTTAGCAAATTACTTATTTCTTCGACAATTTCAGAGTGGATATTGAATGAATTATATTATTAAGAAATGAACTTCCACTAGAATAGAATAGAAAAATTAACTTTATTTTGGGACAAAGTCCCCTCAGAATAACAATGATAAACAAATTTTAAAAAAAGTACATATTTTGCCACAAATTAACTTGGTTAAAATTTTTATATTATATACAGTAATTAGAATAATATTATGTGAACAACTAAAAAAATAAAATTAATGTCTTTTCAATAAGATTTGTAGTTGTAATGTGAGAAAAAAAAAGAATGTATATATATATATATATATATATATATATATATATATATATATATATATATAATATATATATTATATATATATATATATGTAATAATATTTTGTTATAGTTAATATTGTGTTTTTTTTTTCTCCAGGTTTGGTTTATCCTTTCTTTGTATACATGTACACACACGCTCACTTATACCCACATCCACTTGCAGACGCGCATATGTGTGTATGTATACATAGAAAGAAAAAACAAACCTGGAGAAAAAAAACAACCAAAGTAAGAAAAGAAAAAGTATTGATTTTTTATGTTAAACAACATAAATATTAAGCTAACTTAATAAAAATTGCAACAGTATGTATATACATTAAATTAAAAATAATCTGTAAATACTAAAAAATGTCTGCCAAGTAGGGTCAGTCCTCACCGGTTTTATTTGCCAAAAAGTATCTATTTAAAAGGTCTAAAAATTTTCTTAGAATAAAATCTCTGGAAGAAGCCGTTTTCGGAAATTCAATAATCCCTCAACATATACGGGCTTGATATCCATGAGTTTTTTTTATCAGCAAATTCTAAATTCAAAAAAGTTCCCCATTTACAGATTGCATATTTGAAAATTCTTAATTTAAAAAAAAATTAAAAACAGAGTATACTGAATATGTATCTCGCTACTGTTAGTGCAAATGACGTATATGAAAATTGAGAGTTTTATAGGAGAGCAAAAAAAATAATTATTTCTTTATGATTTATTAGTATAATTTTATATTTTATTGTCTTCTGCTATTTTTCATAGTAGTAGACTCCTTATATCAATTGCAGGCTACATAATGTCAAAAATAGAATAAAAATTGAAAACTTTGGCATAAGACCTTTGCACTAACAGTGATATTTATAGATATGTTTTCACTCGTAAAATGGATGGAACAAAAAATCCATAGGAAAGATTCAACTTTTTCTTTGTTCAGAGTTAACGAGACCAATACTTTTCTTCAGTCAGAACAAAACTAATTTAAGCTGTAATATAATAATATAAGTGAACTTTGGTGTTTAAGGATGACATCGAGACCACGACGAGCTGGTTTAACTTCAATAGAAACAAACACAATCACAAATAAGACGTTTTTTTTTTTTTTTTTTACTAATTCGGAGTAAAAATTACTTTAAATTTACTGAAAATTACACTAAATCTATGTAACGGCAATAAGTGTCATGCCAGTAACATTTGGAATCGTCCAAACAATACAGTATAAATTAACTTTTTGAATAAAACCTAAAATTTTATAACCCCATAACAATATTGTAATAACCTAGCTCCCACTCCATATGATCAGTGCCTTCCACATTTCACAGCCATTAAATTGTTAACAATTATTTATACTAATTTTAATTATTAAATGGAATTCAATGAAATTGTTCTCCAAATTTCCTCCAAGTTTATGTTAAATTGAATTTAACGTCGTTTTCAAACTATAGGCATATCCAATAACACATTTCCTGATCTGGAACGTTTGCTCATATATAAGAGAAAGCATGGAAAGAATTCAATCTAATTGACCCTACATCATTTTTTTTATAAATACCTACCTTTTATCTTACTTTGAGCCAAATCGAACGAGCCGTTTCTAAAATATTGGTATATCTACAAAAATGCGTTTGCTCGTGCTTAAGCGGAAGTGCTGATTAGAATTTAGTAAAACTGATATGGGACCATCTTGACACCAACCCGCACAATCCCTGAAAATTTCATGAAAATCGGGAAAACGGTAGTAGGTAATATGCCCGTTACATCGATTTGACTACAGACAGACAGCGAATCAAATTTGATCCTTGATGTCTGAAACGAATGGAAATTTTCGATTCTGACCACAAAATTTTTTTTAACCTCTCACACGAATACAATGCTGCCCTACCTTCGGTAGTGAGGAAGCAAAAAATAAAAGCAAAATCTTCTCAAGAAGAATTATAATTGTAATGGGAAGGAATAAAATATATAAAAAGGAAAAGCAAAACCTGGAAAGAAGACAAATGTGCAAAAGTAAATGAAGAAAAAGTATTGATTTCTGATGTTAAAACATAAACAGTAGGCTGACCTAAAAAAAAATTATAGCATATTTACAGTAACTAGATAATAATATGTAAACAACTAAAAAATCAACTTTAGCATAATTATAGTTGTAATGGAGGAAAAGAAAATATATGTGTGTGTATATATATATATATATATATATATATATATATGTATACTCAAGACTTGTATATATTAGACCATAGGTGGGGAACCTTTTTATCATCAAAGGCCGCAGTAAGATAGGCAGTGCTAATGGAGACCGCAATAGTTCTTTATATTTTACCGTTGCTATTTTTATTTATCACTAAATATACATACATTCAACTTAATTCTGTTAATTTCCAAATTTTCGTTATTCAAATAATTGAATATTAATTAATTCTAACACTAGATTAATAGATTTAGTGAAAAAAAGTTTGGAGGCCCCGGTTCCCCACCTATGCATTAGATGTTAAAACTTAACCAGGCTGCTCTACCATTTACTTCTAATAAAATTCAATTAGGATGAAACGAAATTGTCAGAATTCACAGTTTAGAATTTTTATTAGGTTAGCCGACATTTCGGATCCAACGATCAAACGATCAGGAAGTTTGAAATCTTTAGGGACACTGGATATTTGTAATTGGATTATTCTTTCAAGGGGTTTCAATGGGTTAGAGAGAATGGAAATTGGGCGGTAATCTTTTGGAGAGATGAGGTAAGAGTTTTTGTTAATAGGATGGATTAAGGCTTTGTTAAAAGAGGTAGGGAAAAGTTATAAATGAATGGACTGGAAGGATTTCGGGAACACACAATTTGATGGGAGTTCCATCAAATCTGATGGAGTTGGAATAGGATTTCATTATGAAGGAAATAAGGTCCATAGGAGAGATGCAGGAAAAATAAAAATTGTCACTATTGAATAAAGATGATACGAAAATGTGAGAAGAGGTGGAAGAAATACTGCTAGAGGGGAAGGATAGAAAGTAGGAATTTAATAAATCAGGGGAAACTGGAACTCTAAACGCTTCATAGTCATCTTCAGGCCTGGTTCGTATAAAGTGTCTGCGGGCTATCTCACGTCTCTTTTGCATATCTCGAATTTCCTGACATATCCAAGGAATAGTTTGGCTGTGGAATATTGAGGATAAACAGAGGAGATTAAAAGTATCAACCATAGAATCAATTGAGGAGCAGGTATAAATATTATTCCAATTCAGGGCTTCAATATCTGGCAGGATATTTTCGCAAGTAAGGGAATTTATGTTGAGGAAGGTTATTGTTTTAAAAATTATTATAGGAGTCTGAATATTGTATGATAGTTGGGCGAGGTCATGAAAAGAAAGGAAAGAAACAGGTAATTAGGAAGAAAGAAAAAAATAGGTTTTGTACAAAATCGATGACTAACGAGTCTAACCATGTGTCGGGCTAGCAATTGTGATGAGTAGGAGTAAATGGGTGCAAGATCTGGATTTATTATTTGATATTTGTATGATGTGAAACGCTATTGCTGGGGGTGTAATATAAATCATATAGGGTTGGAGAAGACTCCAATAATTTTTCAAAATTGGTAATTGGTTGACTGTCGTGGATAATGAAGAGAAGAATAGTTGGGGTGGTCAGTCAAAAAGGAAGGCAAAAATAAATGATAATATTTATTTTTTACATATGCCGACGTTTCGACCTGAAGTTCAGGCCTTCATCAGGGCTAAGAAAATAACCAGATAACAAGGTATGAGAAACATAAGTAATGATGGTAAAAAAGATAATAAAAAAAAAAAAAAATAGAAAAATAAAATAGATAAATATAAAGTAAAATGAAATTGTTAGAATAATGACTAAGAACTAAGAGATAAATAATAAAAACTAAGAGATAAATAATAATCATGCCGAATAATTTTTCAAATTCATTTTCCTCTTTCTTGTTGATACAATTTAATTACTCATTATAAGTTAAAATTTGATTGATTTTTGTTATACCTATATGTATGTTTTTAGTGTCATCTATTGTTATTTATTTTTTAAAATTTTAAATATAGTTGTTACTGAAATATATTTTCCTTAAGTGATTTTGTATTCTTAATATTATTCTAGAATTCATTTTCATTATTTAGAATTGGTTGGAAGCATCATCATTTGCAAATCTTAAAAATTTAAATCTTATTTTTTAATTCTCCGCAACTACTGCTATTCCTTAGATTTTTTAGACATTATATAATTTATTTAGTTATTTCTAGTCTACAGACTGAGATCATGCCGAATTGCCAGATTTTTCCTTTTCATCAACTATTTAATTAAAAGTACCCAATTTATACGGGCTGGTTGAGTTGTACTTATACAAACCCTGTACTTATACATGCCTGATGTAACAGAACAAATAATTATCTGTCACAGCCAGACCTGAAGCATACTAGTTCTGTGCCTTACTCACAGGGCTACTCTTGCTTTCTTTGGTAATTTAAATTTCCCCATAATGGTATAATTCCTTACTTAAAATCCATAAGTATGCCTCATCATGCCTTTAAAACTTGAATTTTATAGGAAATTTAGCTACTTATTTTGTTGAGAATAGTCGTCTTTTCAGTCCATCCTCAGTATCACACAGCAGTGTAAGGAATGTACAAATAAACAAGTTGGATGCCCATTTTAATGATGTGGCAGTGTTTGTTCTTATGGAAGTATTAATTTTATCAGGCGTTTCTGGAAGAGTTTAAGGATTACCTACTAGATGCAAATTTATTGCACATTTTGAAATAGGCTTAATAGATAGATTCATGACAGCCTTAAGAAAGGGAGGATGAAGAGGGAAGTTATTGACAGAATTCCGGCCACTCTAACATTTTAAAATGCTTTATAACCAAAAGTGAAAGTGTGGCACGATTAATGGAAATAAAGTAGGAAATATACTTATTAAGAAAAAATCTTGTTTCGTTATAATGTGGTTATAATCCAGCAGTAGTAGTAAAGTAATGCTACTCCAAAGTTGTTTATATATATATATATATATATATATATATATATATATATATATATATATATATATATATATATTTATTTATAATAAATTATTTTAAATTTCGTTTCTCAGCTTACTTTCTATTACTTTATTTTCTGACCTGTTTATCAATAATATAAACAAGAGATAGTATAGTAATCATTCAAAAATGAAAGGTTCAAGTAATTTAATGACTTTCTTTCTTCTTGGTCCAAAATGTGATTTTTAAGAAATTCTGTTTGGCTGTCATTTGGACACATTTTTGTATTTATTCATTTAGTTCAGATTCATAAACAATGCAAAGAGTTAAGAGAAAAAAGTGTTCCTGGTGATTTTATAATGTTAACATCTAAATATAAAATGATCTTACACAACTATCGTAATTTTTTTTTGTAAATATAACTAATAGAAATAGAAAATAAACTTTATTCTGGGACAAGATCTCTCAAGAATAACAATTATGAACAAAAAACAAAAACCACATCTGGCCAAAAATTATATTAATAAAAGTTAAAGAATATATACGATATCTTCAGTGAAAATATACTAAAAAAAAAAAAAAAAAAAAAAAAAAAGTAAAACCTTTTTGAAAATAAAACAAACATTTTTAAAATGCATATAAAACACATCATTTTTTCTGTGGGTCATTCTTAGATTATTTGATCATTTAGCATTTCTGGATCTAGCAATTTAGGTTAAAAAATGTTTAACTTTTTGAAGAAAAATTGATTTTAAATAATAGTATAGATGTCCTAGATAATAAACTTGGGCTTCGATTGACAGTTTTCGTTTTTTAGTTTTGAAATGGGATTTTACTGATAGTGTTACTGTGCAAAGAAAGGACTTTATGGAGTAAAATGATTCTTACTATTCAACTTCGAGCTAAAAAAAAAAACACTGAAAGTTATAAATTTTTAAAATATTGTAACATTCCTCTTATATTTTACAAATAATAATAATAATATAACCTCGGAAGATCACTTTATACCGTTAGGACACTTCCAAAAGAAATTAGAGGTTGTTATAATAATAAACAAAATTATAAGAGTATTATGAGAAGGAGTTGATCGGGGGGTGCGGTCAAATTAATAATGAATTAAACAATGAGAATTATTTAATTTTTGCCGATGTTTCAACCCACTTTGCAGGTCTTCATCAGGGCCACAAAAGATACAAAACATGGTGAAAATAATTTTTTTTTATTTAACCCAAAGTGGGTCGAAACGTCGGCAAAAATTAAATAATTCTAATTGTTTGATTCATTATTAATTTGACTGCACCCCCCGATCAACTCCTTCTCATATTATATCAACGGTCAACCATCTCTACATCATTATAAGAGTATTAATATATTTATTTATCTCAGGTGTGGGTTACTGACAATCAGATCAACTCAGACAAACTATTACTATTTACACTATTTATACTAAAATGAAACACTGATTCTAAAATAAAATCAAGTATGAATTGGCAAGCTAACCTTTTTTCTATATACACTGTTTTTCCTTTGTCGCACTAACTTCGTTTGTCTACAAATAATTTCCAATGTTCTGCCAAATACAGCTTCCAAAATGGTAATACTATTACTGGATTTTACCCACTGGAGCCAGGATCCCTTCTCATATCCTCTCTTCACTGCAACCATACAACTGCTTGCCAAAACAAAAACCTTTGTCCCTCTCCTCTTTGTGATTTTCCTTCTTGGGAAACTACAGAGCAACTATTTTCTTTTCCCTTTCCTCTAGATTAGTTTGCCTTTTAATTGTTCAATATTAATTTATTAAACCCTTTTTACTCACTTCCAATAAAGGTGTACATTACAATATATAAATATAATCTAGAATAATACAACCTACTGCTTAATACCTAAGTTGATTTCAATCGTTTTATTGTTTACATTCTTTTAGGAACGTCATGGTAAAATTCATAATATGTACAATAGATTTATGGAAAATGAACCTTGATTATGCAAGTTTTTTATTCAAAGTTTTCTCGAAAATTACGGAGGAAATAGTTACTTTATAGATATTTCAAGAGAAAAAATTAGCCTCAAACAACAAAATTTAGTTCCATAGAATAAAGTAACAAATAATTCATCCAGTTTAAATAAACAAATTTTATTAGCCTATTGGAATGAAATGCTAGCTATGATTATAATAAAGATTAAAGTAAACTATAAATATTTCACTTCAACATGAGAAAACAAAAATTACGATTTTCATTTATTTCATCAATGATTTTAAGAAAAACAACTAAAATCCTGTTCTCTAAATGGTTATCTTAAAGAAACTGATATGACCAATTGGTAGTAGAAACAATTAAAATAAGCAATATTTTTATTTATTTTTTTGGAAAACCACTCTATATAAAATTAAAATAAACAAAATCATCAATCGTCTAGATTTTATGTCTGTAATATTTTTCTCTATGATCTACCATTAAGCTGTTAGAGCGAATCTTTCACCTACTTTTCTTTTATTACCAAGACTGCAGACCACGCTTCTTATTCTACTTAAGATTGCCAAGCTTAAACACACTTGGCTAGCCTCTCAAAAATATATATATATATCGTATAGCTGTTATTTCATCAATATTGAAAAAATTTAAAGGTATAAATATGGTATAGGTCAGAAAATAAACCGATGAGAAAGAGATTGACATTGAATTTAGTTTAAGTTTCCTTATATTAATTATTACAAATGGTAAAATCTAAAAAAATTCTCCAAAGAATTTGTTTGCTACCAGATTGTTTCAAAAGAAACAGAACTTACCAACCTTAGTATCATAAGAGGATGTGGATCCCAGTGTGCCCAGTTCTAACCTTTTTGGATTTGATTGACAAAATTCAATACCAGTATATGAATGATTACTAATTTATGTAATGATACTTATATCTTCTGATATTGATTGCTAATAAGACTAATTTTGTATTGGAATGTCGCACCTCTTCTGTGTCAAGTGGTTAGGAGTTAAGTGTTTATTAAACCAGTATGGTATAACTTTTTGGTTGTTGTCTATCTAATGACACGTATTTTTCATTTCTATTTCTAAATTCTAAAAATACATGCTTGTAAAAATTGCTTTGAACAAGCGTACCATACCGTTCAGTCCTCATCGTTTGAAAATCATTTCATATTTACTTTATTTTTCAATCTCCTGAGTGAACAGTTGTTGTAGTTTCAGCTTATTGAACTAATATAAAACCATTTTCTTTGTTTTTAGTGTGCTTAGGCACATCCCGCTCTGCAACTCCTGCATTTTCACCTACTAATCAGAATGCATCTCCGGGAATCACAATGAGGTCTCCTGTTACTGTTGGACCTCGACAAAATGTCTTCCTACCGATTGCAAGCATTCAGAGGCACCCTCACCCATCACCTGTTCAACATCATTTTATGGTTGGGTCTTCTTATCAGCAGCATGTTATAAGGTAAGTGTTTTCTGTAAAGAATGATCTAAAACATTAAAAAATTGAGCTAGTCTCGTTTTTATCTACTTAAAATAAATATTAAATTTCTTTTCAATTATTTAATTAAAATGTCCTTTTTTTTTTTTTTTTTCTCCCATTACTCTCTACCTTGCCATTTCTGGCTTATGATGGGGTTGTTCCTGAGGTACAGCCAAATCAGTAGAAAGGTCGAGATTCATTCTGTGGCTCTGCCACTAAATAAATTTCAGCTTAACCAGGCTGAATTCGAAGTAGCCTCACTAGACTTGAGAATATTAAAGTTTACCATTTTACAAGCTCTGTCATCATGACCTCTAAATATATTTTAGCTGTCAACTTAACTCACTTGACCACTGCTGACCATTAAATTGATGATTGCTCAGTTAATATCATAATTTACTTTATTTTTGTGATAGCAGTTTTTGACTTATTTGTTACCTATATGATTTATTTCAATAAAGGAATGATAATCTTTAATATATATTTAAGAAATCAGGGTGATTAAGCAGGTAATTACAGTTACGCAATGTTGAGCATCGTAAGTAATCACATGGGTGACCACCCGAATTAGATGATTAGATAGATGATGATGAAATCAATTTTTTTTTTATCATTGAATGTATATTTCATTGTTTTTTATATACTATGATTCGTTTTAGACCAGAATTAGTTCGTCCTACAACACTTATGGTTCAACAAAACCAACAAATGGGACAGTCTGAAGGTTCTTCACCTGCCTCAGGAGGCCTAGCCACCAGTGTTATTAGAATATCCCCTAATCCTCAACAGACTGCTTCTCACATCGCTTGGAAGGTTGAAAGTCCATCTCCGCCTCCAGCTCCGCCTCATTCTTCTCATGGATATATCCTTCAACAAGCCCTTACCAATCATGATGTAAGTTTTAATTTGTTACCCTTTCTTGACCTTCTCTTTGAGTTATATAAAGACTTTATGTATATTAGTTATGGTGATAAAATTCTAACTGTGGTAGCAAAGTATCTTTTGAGAACCATTTGTTATAGTGGACTACATTATTATATAATGTTAATTTTGGAATTACTGGTCCCTTTTAAGATAAATGTTGAATGATTTATTATTTATATTATATGATTCCCACAGAGTTTTCAAAACTCACCCTAATTCAATTTATTATATCTTCTTGCTCATTTATATAGCAAAAGTTGTCCAACTGAAGTACTGTCTAAATTGTTCTCATGATAATGGATAGTTAATGCAAGTTGAAATGATCCCTTAATATTATCGCTTTTTGTTGATGCCAACTATAACTTATAGAATATGCTTACTGCTAGATTCATGACGAAACCACACAAAATATCAGACAGCAGCAACAATCTTTAGAGCATCATGATGTTCAACAACAAGCTAGTAACTTACGGGTACTTAAAATTGAAGACAGATTAGTTTCTCGAGGCCATCAAGAAACTGTTATTAGGAAGGATAACTCTAATCTTCACGCTGTTAATGTTGAAAAGCAAGCTACTGTTTTACATCAGGCAAGATTTTATATAATTCTATTATTTATTTTATTCTATTATTTTAGTGCATCTCAATAATGAAAGATTTTATTACAGAATAAAGCACTATCATATTCTAATGATCATCAAATGATGGAAACGAGTGATAATGAGCGTGAAGTTGTGTCAAAATCAAATGTTTATCAACAAGTAATTGTCAATAATCCTACAGAACTTCTTCCTGTTTTACCGCTACAGCATAAATCGGAAGAACAACCTCAGAGAAATGGTGGAATAGGTCAGTAGTATTTATAACTTTATTTATTTCATTATAACTTTGCTGTGTAATTATTGTTCTGTTATTAATATATTTATTATTGTTCTAAGTTTTTGTGAAAACCTTGAGGGTCTAAAGAACTCATTTTACCATCAATTACTCATGTTTCATTTCTACGGTATTGTTATTCTTAATGTAGAAGGATGTTTTTCATCTCCATTTATGTATGAATCAGTTTTGTTGTTACTTTAGATTCTAATCAACCAATTATTGTAAGGCACTGCTCAGCAAATATTTTTGAAAAACTGAATAACTTTTTTGGTGTTATTCATGTACACTCAAGAATCTCGTTAGTATCTTTAACATTTTGAATGTTTCCCCTCTTAATTTATGATTGAAATAAAATAATTACTATGTGAATTTGGAGATATATTTTCATACAATATTTCTCCACTTTTAGATATTAATAATAATTTATATTCTTCTTATGATATTAAGAATATATCTATTTTGTTTTGGGTTATGGAACTCATGTGAAAAGAGAAATTTGACTTGTTGGTAGATGAAGCAAGTTTACTTATTACCAAGGATTTTTAGTGGTTTTTGATGTTGCATAATAATTACTCTTGTTAACTTATTTTTTTCCTAATTAGTTAATAATTTTATTTATTTTAACTCTTTTGCAGTATTTTTCTTATATATAATTTTAGTTAAAAGTCGAATGTATTAAATTGTATTTAAAAAAAAAAAAAAAAAAAAAGAAAAAGGATGGGTTGTATTGTTTCAGTGGATCTCAACCATTGCTACAGAGGCCATGGTGGCCACGTGTTTAAAGGTGTTGTCTGTTTTAACATTCCTAAATTAGAAGTAATGCCAGTTCGAATTAGGCCTGGCCAGGGTGAAATTAATTTTTGTGTTAGATCCACAAAATAAATTTCAACTTCCACTCTTGATTGAATAAATTGATTACTTGTAGGATAGTTAATCCTTTCTGTCCTAGATAGAGTACTGGGACATTATGCCCAAAAAACCAAACTATTGGTGTACAATATTGGGGGGCTCGGTACATGCTATATGACCGGGAGCCATTTTCTTGTGAAATAAAAAAATGAAGAGTTTGATGGAAGAATATCTGTGAATGACATCACTGCTTATTTTGTTAATTTACCTTTATTTGGTTTCCATCGTGTGGCCGAAGGGCCGTAAAGTGTAGCCGAAGGGCTGTGTTTATTTCTCTCTCTCTCTCCCTGTTAGCCGTGGGCCGTGAATTCGGTAGAGTGAGTGGGGTAGGCTGCGTGCTTCGTCGTCAAGCATCTGTACTTTGGACGTAGATAAGGCACCCTCGAGAGGGGGCAAGATGGGGGGGGATGAGGCTGGGGGATTCTCGTGTTATTTATACAAGGTGAATAATAAATATATGGTATATAATTCCAAATGATACATTATATATATATTGTAATGTACACGTTTATTGGAAGTGGGTAAAAAGGACTTTTTGGGTCCTCCCCTTCCTCGCCGTTAAGGCTATACGGGGTTTTCCCGGGCCAGGGAGTGTGGGCGGGGATTTAAAAGACTCCCTCGGCACCGGGGCGCGAACTCGTGACTATTTTTATATCATTAGATTCATATGTCAGGTTGCCAGGCAACGGCGGTGCTGTGCACACGCTTTAGCCCATTCGGCCACCCCACCCACGGGTAAAAAGGACTTAATAAATTAATGTTGAACAGTTAAAAGGCAAGCTAATCTAGTTCTACTAGTTCAGGGAAAAGAAAATAACTGCTCTGTAGTTTTCCCAAAAAGGAAAATCCCAAAGAGGGAATGGGACATAGGATTTGTTTTGGCAGGCAGTTGATGTTTGGCTGGAGTGAAGAGAGGATAGGAAAAGGGACCTTATTCCAGTGGGAAAAACCCAATGATAGTGTTACCATTTTGTTACTTGTGTTTGGCAGAACATTGAAAAGCATTTGAAAACAAACGAATTTAGTGCAACACAGGAAGAAACAGTGTATATAGAAAAAAGGGCTTTCTAGCAGCGGCAGAGTTAGATCCTTTGAACAGAAGGTTATGTTCTGAAAAGAAGCCGGACATTCTGGTCCAAGTTGTGATATTAGCTCAGAATAAAGACATAAGAGAGAAATTGAAGAAGCACGATATTGAAGTGCAAACCGTCGAAGAGGTTTCACCGATTGAAGTACAGCCCACTTAGACACCTTAGAAGATTGACAGTCTGAAACTCGATGGCCGGGTCTTAGACAATTAGGGTACAGTCTAGTCGACTCTACGAAATTGCAGCGGTCTTTGTTCATAAGCGCTAGAAACCTACAACACCGCGCCTGTGCATGCCTTCCTTTGCAGTGTGGGCAGAGGTCCTGAATCGGAAAAGTAGAATTTCTCAGTATAGATCCGTCACGCTAACATTGGCATATGGATTCACTCTCACAGTCTCTAACCTGAAATGTTCACTTGAAAGGAGACTTAAACGGAGGACCAGCTTTCCTCCTATCCGATTGCGGAACTCGTGACGTCTCCAAAGGTGCAGACTCGAATTCATGGGCCACCTTAGAGGACATCATCCGATGCCTCACGAAAGCGATGATCTTATTTGTAGTAGAACTCGTTACTTGCGTGTGAGAGCTTGAACTTCCGTCTAGTGGCCGGATCTAACGTGCGGAGAGCTAAGATGGACATGATGACTTCCCCTTCGTTTTCTAGAGCCATCGCGTGGAAGCTATCTATACTTCCTCCCACAGCTGCGATGTAAGCAGAATGTTTGGAATACTCGCTGCCGGAAGTAGGAGCCCTGTGATTTAAAAGCCTCTAGGGGCAATGCGATGTGAGGACACGCGGGTTATCATACTCTTGCATACCAGGCCGGCTGGTATGAGCTGGAATCGAAAGAAACTGCCTAGAGAAGCCATAAGTGCATTTTCAAAGTAATGCATTTTATTTACTTATTGTTGTTAAGTGGGTGTTGTCATGGATCAGGGACATGTAGGTATCACGTAACCGTGTCCACGCAGACAAATCTCTTATTGTCGATCATTAGGAGTTGAGCCGGATAAATCGAGGTGGTCATGCTAGACCTGGCACTATTGTCAACCACGCCATGATGCGTGCTTAATCTTTGATATTATACCTCTATTTTACGCACATCCCCCTGAATGGCGTCTTAGCCTGTTTACCAGTCGGGCGGGTATGCTGAACCCCATGGGACGTGTAGAGCGCATCTCATTCCTCCCATGTGTTTTCAAACTTGTCCCACATTTGCTTTTCCTCCTTGTACACCACACCGTCTTCGAAAAATTCCTCACCTCCGATATCTGCGGCTTGGATAAGTAATTTGTAGAGACCACGCTTAAGATGGCGAAGTTAACGCTCAAGCGTGTCACTGTGACCGGAGAAGTAGTGTAACTGTTTATTTTCGCCACCCGTGGTTCCGAAATACTTTATGAATTGAGGAAATAACTATTGAATATATAGATGAGTAAACTACAAAAATCGTGAAAGTGTGAGCGTGCTATGGAAAACTAGTGACAGAAATAAATAAATAAAAACATATAATTAATTTTTTTAAATAATGTACATTAAAGCTGCAACCAATATATTCTATTATTGTATGAATGTAGAATATAATCTGTTACCAAAATAAAATAATCTGTCCCAATTTTTTCTTGTCAACAAGATAACAAAATATATATATTTAATAAGGTTTTATCTACTAGTTTATTTTAAATAATATGTGTTTAGTTTTTCTATATATATTTGCTGATATGTCCACCAACAAAATATATTTTATACAAGTGCCCTACCCTGTAATTCTAAATGATGCAACATCTCTTAAATCCAGGTGAGGAATCATTATCATAAAAGTGTTCAAATTTTGAATTTGGACTACAATTGCAAAATTATTGAACACTCATTGCGGCTTTACTAGGATATGAAAAGGAAGAAAATTTCAAAAAATCAGAAATTTCTCTGTTATTATAGAAAGCTGTACCTTAAGCAACAAGGTATATATAAGTTCCAGCTGAGCCTGTGAACTTCCAAAATACATATGAACGTGCGTTATACTTAAACAAAAAAAAAAAAAATAATCATGACATTCAGGCTTCATACTAGGTAAATGCTGGAGAGTCATTTGAAAAACATAAGTAAATAGAAAACTCAACTGTTAACTCATAAAGTAATAAAATTTGCCTTAGCCAATAACAATCATAAACAAAGCTCAGAATTCCAGATTTTATTATTTTAAATTCTGAGTTTAAGCCGTTTAGAAAAGAAAAGGAAAAAGTTTTTTTCCTAATAAAATATATATCTTAAGTTTATTGCATAAAAATCATCCAGTAAAATTGAAGAAAATGAAGTCGCTATATGAAAGGATTGGTGTCATTTTGATGCATTTGCAAAGTTTTTGTATAAAAAAAAATTATATTTAAGTTCACAAAAATGTACATAAAACTTAAGCTCCACCAAAAATGTAATTAGTAACATTTTAAAATGAGTGAAAATATTTTAATATATCCTATTCCACTGGAGAGAAAAAATAAGGTGAAGGCCTGCTGTAGCTTTCTTTCAAAATTAATGTTAATATTAAAAATTACTTGATTTCCACGTACAAATCGACCATAACTGTTAAATGCTTAATGTTATTTATTTAACATATTTATAATATAAACATGATTCTGGATGTTCCTTTTTCATACAGTTTTAAGCATGACTGGATTATATGACCACACCTTGCTTGATAATGGTGTTATATTTTATTTTCACTTACCTACGTATGAAAGATATAGTATAGAGAAATAATGTGATTCTGAAAGATTTAAAATCTGAGTTTTCAATGAAAATATATGTTTTAAGACACTCTGAGTCCAAATAACCAAGTCTCACAAAAACAAATAAGTAGAAAAGTCTCTAGAATGGTACAAAATGCTTGCTTAGGGTCTTAAAAAAAGAAAATCTAGTGCAGTACGCACATCACACAATTTTCTTTTACCAACCTTACAGTAGATAGGTATTTTCTTATAGGAAGAATATCTGTGTAACTTCATTTAAAACAATTAAATACCATGTTTTTCCTGCTCATCGACTCAGTTAAATTTATTCATTTACATCACTTTCCATTTTCTTTTATGACTTTGTAAAAAACCAATCAATACTAATGATTGTGCGAAAAATGGATCTTTTGGAAAAATTCTGAATTAGGTTATACCGTATAGCTTCTTACCCTTATTTCCCCTTTAATCACCAATAAATTTTCTTCATTCACTATATTGAACCATTTTTTATAGCAGGTTGAAAATCGAAATGGTTAATTATTTCAAATAAAAAAAATTAAAGGTACTATAAAGGAAGAAATTTTGAAAAATCGCCATTTAGGCCTTCTCTGGTTGAATCGAGGAAGATAAAACCTACCTTAAATTAAAAACTGCTTAAATTTAGACTGATATAATGAATTTAATCAAAATCTTTAGAGCCGTTTTGTAGAAAATCGTAAAAATGTGTTCAATTGATGAACAAGTACTACTTTCGGTTTACCGATTTTCTCGAAAAAGTTGCTGTAACATCCCAGGTAAATATGTATATATGGCATCTACAAATCTTAAATATACAATTTCAGGCAATTTGTAAGACTTGAGAAAAAAAAATTTTAAGATTTATTTTTGCGCTCAATACATGGTAAATTATCAGATAATTATATATAAAACAATTTAAAAAAATATTTATGCATATAAATTAATGAAAGATAAATAATTAATATATATATATATATATTTATATATATATTATATATATATATATATATATATATATATATATATAGTATATATACATATATATTTGTACTTTACTTTGTATTAACTCATCATTGTTATTCTAAAGGGATTTAGTCCCAGAATAAAGTTTAATTTTCTATTCTATTCTATTCTATGTATACATATATGTGTGTGTGTGTGTGTTTGAAAGAATGAAATATATGCAACTAAATAAATATATGTAACAATAAGGATGAAGTTAATAAATATATAAAAGTCAACAACATGAAATAGAGAATAAAAACATGCACAGAATTATCAGTAATAAATTTATGAAAAATATCTCAACAATCAAAATATATATAAATAAAATTGTTTATATGAACTCTTGAAGGAAGTTAGTAGACTATTCTACATATTATGGGTGATAAATATTCAGGAAGCAGTCTTTTTTAAAATTTTTATTTTTGCCAATGTTTCAACCCGAACATGTGGTTCATCTTCAGGGCATGGTTTGAGCACTGAGGGTGTTCAAGTACTCAACCCCTCAGTGCTCAAACCACGCCCTGAAGATGACCCACATGTTTGGGTTGAAACGTTGGCAAAGATAAAAAATTTAAAAAAGACTGCGTCCTGAATATTTATCACCCAAGTTTATATGAACTCTTAATAATAATAAATCATGCTAAATGCACCTAAGCCGAAAGCTGAAATAATGCAATAAATTCACAAACTATAGCACAACAATGTGTTCAAAATACTAAATGTTTATCAATCTTTATCGTTAGCAATATATGTATTTATTTTTTTTTAGCTGTTAACACTTCCAGTGGAATGACTGTATATCCATGGGAATCACTTGTTCCACTTTTGGCTTCATCTCCTCCTCTAACGCCACCTATCCTCTCACCGCCATTATCAGCTCCACCTGTGCCTGACACACCTTCACAAGAAGAAGAAGATGATGATGTTTTTGAAACTGTAAGAGATCCTCCTCCAGGTGCAGATAGTAGTGGCAATGGTGGTAAAAGGAGAACACAGTCACTTTCTGCATTACAGAATAGTAAAGAGCCACAGAGTCCATTGAAGGTAATTAAAATAAATTTTAAATATGTATACTTTGATTGTATATACAGGTTCTCCTGTAAGTAATGGAGAATATTTAAAAAGATGATAGTAGACCTCATGAGGTACAAAAAAATTCCTACAGCTTACAGGTCCAATTCCAAATTTCTCGCAAAACATTCACGCCCTAAAAACCCAGTTGTATGATTTGCTGTCTTTCTTTGAGGAATTTTCTTTTCTGATCTTAAAGTTTTGTTTTTCTTTTTCCTGGCAGCTGTATGGTAGTCAATAATACAAAAATTGGATATACTAGATGTGGTCTATTTAGGTATTCAAAGGGACATCATAAATCCTGTTATCACACTGGTCATTCTCCTGGTCCTCTTACTATTATTCCGACCTACCTTCCTACAGCCAAAGAGGAAAATAATTTTCTCCGTAGCCATTTAGTAAAAGAAAGCTATTTCTTTTCCTTCACTGGTCAAGCTTATCTTACCACCTGTATATATTTGCTGAACTCTCTTTCATATAAGTACCTTCAGTTTTCTGAATGTTTTTTTATTCCCCTCAGTTTATATCTCTATTTTTTTTTTCTTATTTTATTTTGCAGTTTCTTTCCGTAAAAACCCTATTGAATCTCATTGATATTTTTTCTTGTTGATGGAGAAGTAAATTGAAATAATATTTTATCCTCAACCAAGAAGTAGTCCGATCTACACTACAATTCTCTCATTATCCACACATTCTTCGGGGTCACCACGAATTTCTTCTTATAATGATTAATTTAGGTTTCCTTGTTGGTTGTTGCCATGTATATTTATATGTCCCTTCATGTTGAAAAAAAAAAAAAAACATTAATTATAGTTACATTTCACTCTTCTCATAAATTTATTAGATATCACCTGTTTTTTTTTCACTTATAACAATTTCCCTATGCATGTCTTTCATCCATCAGTTTTGTCTTCTTCTCTTTCTATGATCTTAGGTTGTCACAGAAAATTTCTCTCACTGTTGCTTGTACATTCTATAAGAGTATATAATCTCACTGTGGTTATTTCCTTCCTTAACAAATTGATTTCCAATATTGCTATTTTTTGCTTTAATTATTTTTTTCAATGAATTAAAACCTGTACTACTTCAACCCATTTATGGTCTTGAATTCAGTACTTAGTAACGATGTACTGTTTCAAAGCAAACAGTGAGGTAGGTGATTGTGCCAGGATCACCCTCAACCGCAGATTTTTATCCTTACTTATTTAATTAAGGATACCTACTTTATAGTGGCTAGGTGTGCTCTGAGGGATCAAAAGTGTCTCCCGATTCCAAGGTCGATTCAGAGCTGATATAACATCGTAAATAATTATCTATCATAGTAAGGCTCGATTCCTGAATCTTGAGCATAAGGAGTCAGTCCCTTTCCCACTGATCTCCCCTGCTACCTATATTAAATTAAATAAGTGCAAATTGAACATAGAATATTTGGAAATACTGACCTTTTATTTTATTCCTCTATTTTCAGGGAAAAGATCGCATCAGAAGGCCTATGAATGCATTTATGATATTTTCTAAAAGACACAGAGCTTTAGTACATCAGCGACATCCTAATCAAGATAATAGAACAGTTTCAAAAATTTTAGGGGAATGGTGGTATGCATTACGTCCTGAACAAAAACAACAGTACCATGAACTAGCATCTGAGGTATTTCTTTTGAACATATCATTGACTTTATTTATTATCAAGACTATTGATATGTTTTCATATCTAACAGTTTTTAGTTTTACAACTGTTTAGTAACTGCCTCTTGTATTGTGTTTATGTGTTAAATTAACCTCCTGTGATCAACCAATCATCTCTTCAAGATCCACTAAAAGAAGAATATTTAGGATTAGCCTTAATATTCCTCTTACATTTTTGTACATATTTTGTCTACTTTATTTTAAGGAAAAAGTTTTTGAACATTATATTTTTTTTTTTTAAATTGACTTAAAAAATTATATTTTGGCAGGAATTGGATTGTACAAAATTAAACTAAATTTTAAATATATGTATTTTTTTTCAACTAATGTTAGTTTATTTTCTTAATAATAATAATACTCTCCAATAATAATACTCCAACCAAATGTTTTTTTTATATAAAGTCATTTTTTTTTTTTTTATTAAAATAAAATAATATGTTTTTACACTGGTTTCTTCGCTTATATCCTTTTATTTTTTAAAATTTGAGAGATGACATTGAAAGATATAAAATCCAACAACACATAAAACAGTCCAAGCAACCTTAAACAATTAATAAATAAATAGAGATCCTATTTTTATTATTTCGCTATTTGCATTTAGTTGACGTTTGATCTATCATTAATTAATTTTAGGTTAAAGAAGCTCATTTTAAAGCCCATCCAGAGTGGAAGTGGTGTAGTAAGGATAGGAGAAAGTCTTCTACTGGTTCAGGTCGAGGAAAGCTTGGATCAGTTGATGAATGCAGTGAAGGTCCTCCTCCTCCTTCTCCCCAGATAAATCTTCAATCATCTAATGAGGTGTTTTTTTTTTATCATTTATCAAATTAATTTTTAATGAAATGTCATTTAGGTTACTTATGATAAAATGTGCATGTGAATAAAATGTTTTGCTTACCAAGCAGTAAGGATATTTCAATTTTTTTTTTTAATTTATAATTTTTTCTTTTATAGAACTGTTTAGGGATTTCTGAAAATAAGACTGCTGATCCATCTTTATCCACCCAACAAAATAGTATGCACCATGAAGAAGAATACTCTGATGATGAGCGCATGGTGTGTAAATTAGTGAGAACTAATTTCTCAACTTTAACTCCAAAAGTTTCTATTAGTTATATTTTACTTGTAATTTTTATGAAAACTTCTATTTTTTGTCATCAGGTCATTTGTATGGAGGATTCAGAAAATGATCTCAAAGGCAAAGAAAAGGTCATGGAGTCGGGGGATGTAGAAATGACATCTCAACAGATCTTTAATTCAGGGCACAGAGCGCAAACTCCTACAAATGATGTTACCTGTAGACCAAAACCCATCAAGGCTAGGTAAGATTAATATCAGATTTAAATAGATGTTTTATTTCACCCTTTTTTTGCTTACTTAATTTTTATTATTTTAATTATAGAATTGGTTCAACTGGTCTCGAAGGGCCTAATAATCTCAAACATCCAACAACCCCTGGTGAACCTGTGCCAATTGTTCACTACCCTTATCATTCTCCTGTCAACCCAACTGGTGTTTCTGCATTTCAACCAACTGGTGGTGGTGCGTTTAAAACGATGCCAGTTTCACCTAAGGTAATTGGTTAAAACCTATTGTGTTACAAAGGTTCTCCAAATTAGGATTTTTATTTATAGATAGCATAAAAGAAACCATATATATATATATATATATATATATATATATATATATATATGGTTTCTATATCTATATATATATATATATATATATATATATATATATATATGGTTTCTATATCTATATATATATTATATATATATATATATATATATATATACATATACACATAATCTTCCAAACCTACTCATTTATAAATTTGTTTAGAAATGTTTTCAATTTAATATCAGATTGACAAGTTTTTAGATACTTTTGCTTACGTGTCTTCTTTGTGATAACAAAAAAGTGCCTATTTTTTGGAAACAACAAAAGTTTAATTTTCGATATTATCAATACATAAATTGGCAAACAGAAAACTTTGGCCCCTTTTTCTCCTCTATTATTCAATTGATTTTCTTCCTTCTTTTTTTGTTTAATAGTTACTTATATGACCTTTAGTGTTAACAATAAATAAAAATATAAATGATCATTTGTTCAAAACAGCTAATTAATCTTCATAAGTTCTTCACCAATTTTTTTGAAATCCTTTCCTTACGAAATGGCTGCTGAACAACATGATTCGCTTTAGATTGTAGTGCCAAAACGGCTGAAACGATTTTAATGAAACTTGGCTAAAGTCTTCCCCTTAAAACATTTATAATTTATTTATTTAACATACTTTCCCGAAAACAAGCTGCATAAATTTTTACGATGAATTCAGAATTTTATTTGTGAATAACTCAAAAAGTACAAAATTTCTGATTGATAATGCCAATATTTATTTAAAAACTTCCTCAATTCCCTACAAAACGAACAAAAAAAAAAATAAATAAATCGGGCTATTTGGTGAAGAGATATATCATTTGAAACATTTAGTACTTTTTCTTTTGCAAAGAAGATTTCCTTTATATTGGTTTTTGATAAATCGAAAACTTTACATTTACTGAGGTAATTGGAACTATTATTTGAAAAGATGATATCATTGAATGTTAGTGGAATGTCACCTAATAAATTAAAGTTAAAAGTAAATTCTATAGTTATGCTCATTCTTAACTTAAATACTGCACAAGTTTTAGTTAATGGAACGCGAATGAGAGTGAAGTACTAATGGGAGCTGCTGTAAATAACATTTTCTGATACAATACTTCCTATCAAAGTTCAAAGAACACATTTCCCAGTAATAGCTGCATCTGCTACGACCATATATATTTTCCTCAAATTTTTAATGATAATGGTCGAATTTCAACAACTGGGCGGACACTTGCACTTTTAAAGTCCTCGATAAAAATGACATTCAACATTTATAATAATCATATGAAATCAATGTTATTACTATTTATTTTCCGTTCAATGTTTTTTAAACTTATTCCATATTTTGTTCACCTTTGTTATTGAAAAAAGTGTTTCAACTTTTGCTACTTATCAAAATTAATTTATTTTTCTAAATTGTTCATGCTATATGTCTTTTATCTAATATATAGATATATAATGATTTCTTATTATAGGTTGTGAAATCAGAAAATTCCTTTTCATTAAACGGAAGTAGCAGTGCTTGGAATTTGCCTTCCAAAGATGCTGGAGAATGGAATAAAACTGAGACAGTAGTTAAATCAAATCATCAGATGTATAATGTTACCTCATCCCAACCAACTGTTTTGCACCAATCAGTTTACAAAGCCTCTACAACTCCCACTTCTCAGGTACAGTTTTGAACTAGAAAGACTAAAACTAGAAAACTTGAAGTAAAACTAGAAACCTACTTTCCTCTCTTTCTTTGTGTCTAATGGGCTAAGTTATGCAACTATTACAGAAAACATTCCTTTGTGGATCATGGGTTGAAACTTAAAAATTGATCTTGCACTTGTTAAAATTCCAAACTTTCAATTGCGTTTTTCCATAAATACGATTTTTGCACTTAACACACTATGCCGAGGTGCTGCAGATATAATTATATAATAACTGAAGGAGGTTAGTCGACTGTTCTACATATGAATAGTCATGACACAGTCATTTTAAGATTTTTATTTTTGCCGACGTTTCAAGCCAAGTGTCTGGGTCATCATTAGTGCCGGTAACATGCCCTGATGATGACTAACGTGATGGCTTGAATCAACAACAAAAATCTTGAAATGACTACATCCTGACTATTTATCACCAATCGTTAAATAAATTATCATTAGTTCATTTTAATGAAGCCTTTTTAACTGTTCTTCATTTTCCCCAATGGGGCCTACTTGATTTTTTTTTTTCTGAATAAGAGTTTTTTTCATTGTTTCACCAGTAGATTTCTGAGAACCAAAAGTCCTATTATAAAAGTTGAACCAATCTCCTCTGGGGTTTTTAAAAATGAATTACATTTTTTCATTTCAGGGTAATGTGAAAAGTGGTGTTGTCCACCTGAAACCATCTAATAAATCATCTATCAGCTATTCTGGATCACAACAAGTTACCCTTCTTCTCCCGACTACTTTAGACCTGGTTCTCAAACCATCCCCAGGAAGAGATTCATCTGACTCCACATCTAATGTCAAATATCTAGTCCAAAACAGGATACAAAATACGTATCTTCAGTCTCAAGGTAAAATTCTGTTGTCTTAATATTTAATACTCCAGATATATACATGTATATATTTTAAATGAAATGCTAATGTTTGGTCGTTTCATTATACTTTGGCTAGCTAGTAGCTAAGAAAAAAATGTGAACAATTTCTAACCTGAGAGTTCAAGCATATTTGATAAATAACAATTAAATTAAATTTGTAATGTTAAAAATACGATTTACATAGTAAATTAACATTTGAAATAAATTTATTTTAGGAAGTGAAGGGAATAATAGACAAGGATCTCAGAGCAGTAGTATCAAATTAGTTACTCCACAAAATGCTAATCCAACGGTTATCGTTAGCAAGTCTAATATTTCTCTGTAAGTATTTAATGTATGACATACTATCATTGTATTAAACCAAGACTAAACTAATTTTATATACATTTATTATTAAAGTGAGATCATATCTTTTAGTCCTAAATTTTTTATATAATAAACTTTTGTTAGCTTAGTTGAGTTAAAAAAAAAAAAAAAATGTATATTACCAATAGATTGTAATAGAGCTTTCTTCTTAGCCACTGTGGCTAAATTCAATGAACTGTTGAAATTATACTCATTAATCAATAGGCAATGAGCAGTGCCCACCATTAGATTCTACATAGTTGTGCTCCTGAAGCAGAATATAATCTAAGTTAAGCTCGATGGAATTTGAGAGGAAACTAAAGAAATCTGGCCTTCCTGTCTCTGGAGTTTTGTCTTTGTAATGATAACAATAGTACAAAGTCCAATTAGGCTACAAAAGATACAAATAAATAAATAAATTCTTCTTTATTTTTATTTTTATTCTTACTTATTTTCCATTTATTTGTATCTTCTATATATATAATTCTTAATATTTAACTACATTGTCACCCACCATATCTCTGATACCATCTTTTATTTCTGTAGCTGACAACTTCTTCTTATTTTATATATACTTATATTTATTTTTTATTTTCAATATGTTTTGTATCTTTTGTAGCCCAGAAGACGACCTGCAAAGTGGGTCGAAACGTCGACAAAAATTAAAATAATTAATATATTTTAATTTATTTGACCGCACCCTCGACTAACTCCTTCTCTAATTACTAAATCATTTGTATTTACAAATTATGGACTGTCATAAAATTATTTCAGATTTTCAGGCAATTAGACCAAATAGGTTTAATAAATATAGTATGATATTGTATATTATATTATTATTGTAATTATTTAACTACATTTTAATAGTACTATATGTTAGTTCAACAGTTTACATGAAAATCTGTAATTTTGATGCTATCTATGCAGCCTATCTGTCATTTTTATCCTGTATAATTGATACATTTAAAGAAATCAGTTGGTTAGTATGTACATGTCTTATATCTATACCTGTTATAATGGAGCACTGATATTTCAACTATTCTGTTTATAAAATTTCCATTGCATGGCTATCATATAGTTTCCTTTTAAAAGCATTGTAATATGAATAGTAAAAGTGTTTTAAGATTAATAATATGTTACTGATGAGAAAGAAGTTGTGGTGATGAGGAATTAGCTCTATAGACTTTAATTTTTAATTGATGAATGCAACTGATATCATAGTAAGGAATAAACAAAGTGCAAAAGTATCCCAACTTGATTTAAGATATGTTATGCATAGAATCAATTATCTAGTGATGTCATAGTCAAATGAGAAAATCATAAATTTAAGTATAATTTGAGTTTATGATGGGCATATTGTAAAAACAGCCAAGATGTCAATTATCGAAGCTGCATTCCAAAAAATATATAACTCCACTAAGTTGCACCGGAACGATTATAAAGCGCCTTATGAGTAACAGACCAAGTAATAGCCTTTATTACACAGAAGGTTGAAGATAATGTTCAAAGATAGAAAACATGAACACACTATTGCAGTCTGGGTGTTCTTAAAAAAAGCATTTGACAAGATGTGGAATAATGGGCAGTGTGCAAAATGAGGAAAACTCTTATCTGGCTAAATAATTAATTTGATTAATCTAAAAGGCCGAGTTTACTCAGGTACCCAGAGAAGCAGACTATAAACTATAAAAACTGGAGTACCACAAGCAGATTTCTTACTAACTTTATTTCTCATTACAGGTTCCAAAAATAGCTGATTGGAAACTATTAAAAATGGAATGTTCTTACCAACTTTATTTATCATTTAAATGACAAATGATTCAATCAGAGAACTACCAAATAATGTTGAAGTCTCTTTTTATGCAGATGACTTAATTTTTTGGAGTCCATACTCTCAGAGAAATACTGGAACCAATAAATACTGCTCAGAACCAATGGCTCACGATTATTGCTGGATCTATTAAATCCGCTCCCGTAAATAAATTAAAAACTCACAGAAATACCTTCAATTGAAGATAGAGGAAATATTAAGCTCCTGAACCTTGAATCAAATACCAGAAGAATATCAAACCAGACATGGCTAAACAAATACATGAAGGAAACTGAAATACAATCTAATGCATCCATCTAGTTCACAAAATAACAGATCTAGTCTTAAAACTCAAATTCTGCTCACTATTTATATCATGTATAAATACATGATCAGTCAAATAACAGATCTAGTCTTAAAACTCAAACTCTGCTCATTATTTATATCATGTATAAATACATGATCAGTCAAATAACAGATAGCTCACCACCTTGGGATTCCTTTCTTTAAACTACGATTGTGCTGACAGTTTCAGTTCTCAAGCTAAAGGAGCCTTCCGAGTCCAATTAATTAGATCCCTGGCCTTGAAGATGCTGAATGAGAAATATTCCTGATCTCAAGAAGACCATCGCGATCATAGTTCAAGTCCTTGACCTAATTATTTGAGGGAAGATCAAAGAAGAAGAATAAAAAAGATGTCACAAAAATAAAAAAAAAAAATGAATACCTTAGATTTAATTAAATAACTTTTAATTTGAATAGTTTAAAACTTCTTCTTGTTTTTATTTCGCATTACTTTATTTTCATATATATATTTACTTTTATTTTTCCACAGGCCAAAACCAGACAACAGTGAAGAACATTTAAGTAGTAATGTAGTGACTTCTGAACATCAGATATTTTACCAAGGTTGGTTTGCAATGATATTTAATGTTTCATTATTTTTAGTAATAATATTAACATTTTTTTACTAATTTGATCTATTAATTTTCTTTTTCTTTTTTTAGGAGAGTATAAAATAAATGACCAATGTATTACTACTTCCAATCATAGCTTACAAGGCTATACTCCAGTAAGGAAATTTTTTAAATCATTTTGTAGTATTAGTACGTTTTTGAAGTCTTCAGCATTTTTCTTTCTTTAATCACCTGTTTTCCTATGCTAGTGTTTTATTAAAGCTTACTTTTCATTAGACTTTCCTTTTATCGATCATTTCTTATCTATCTAACTTGCCAATTATTTGTTCTATAACATAGTAAAAAAAAAATTAATATATAAATGACTTTTATCTAAAACTCTCTATGTCCAATTCACTAAAATTCTATTAATAACTAATGCTTAATTATTTACCATAATACTTAAAGTATGTAGTGTGTCAAGGATTTTATAGTATAACAAACAAATAATTTTTTACTTTTCTCTATAATAGAAATCACATATGTCTATAATATTTTTTTGTTTTCTTGAGTAAGTTTGTTTTAATAAAATTACAAGATTTTAGAGCTTATTAAGTTGTTTTTACCTAATAGTTTCAGATTTAATTAATCTAATATTTTTTATCAAGATAAATTCTGAGTCTGGGATCGGTTGATTTGTTAAAAAACTAATTAATTTTTATTTATTTTTTAAATTAAATTTACCAATCATGTGGATGCAGGTATATTCAGAACCAGATCAGCTACCAGATTAATTGGTATAACAAAAAGATGTCTAGAATTTTTTTTGGATGGTCAAAGTATTATGAAAGTGGAATTCCTTCCTCGCCACAATCCATATGGCTTGTGTGGCTTTAGATACCCTCGTGTCATTTAGAGGTCTCATAGGAATCATAAATTCTTTAGGCCGGTCAAGTTTCTAGGCCAAAGCCTTATTCTGGAATATGAAATTAAGTACTTCATTTTCAACCACTAGAGGGGCGATCATCACAGACTTAATAGGCTCTTAAGTTGCTCTTGAACAGTCGAAGCTGTAGTTAACATATTTATCCACTAGGTGTGCCTGGAAAGTAACCTTATCTTTTTAAATGAAGAAAACCTGAATTAAGTAGAAAAATCCTGTTGTAGTTTTTTACAACTGATATTTTCACTTTGATATATTCACATTTATATGCTAACGATCCTTAACAAATAAATAACATATTTGTTTATTTAATGCATTTGCTTCCAAACTTTAATAAATATTAATTAATTCTCATGCTAGATTAATAAAGACAGCGCAAAAACTAACGGTGACCACATGCAGTCTCAAGCCCGCAGGTTTCCCATCGGTGCTCTAGATATTCCATAGGTTTTGGGGGACAGATTTTTTAATCCTTGTTCTATAAAATTTTCTTTTTTTTAAATTTAGTTTTAGCAGTTCTAATAATTTATTTATATATCATTATTATTCTATAATATAAATAAATTTCCTTAGATGGATACTTCTGAAACTCATTCCGAAGTTAATGTACCAACATCAGAAGAAAACAAAACATTTATATTGGATCCAACTCCTGCTCAGCTGGGCAAGGCTCCTTTACAAAGAAGACAATCTATGGGTATTTCCTGTCATTATTTATTTGATAATGAAATATTTAATTATTATTATGTTAGACATGAGATTTTTGTTTTTAGCTGTGACATCCGGAAATGATAAGTCTTTAGAAAAAAATGATTCAATAAATATTAATCAAAGTTTAGCCCTCTCTAATGACAACAATGGTGAGGAAAGAGAAACAGTACCTGAATCTCCATCCAGTAAGAAAAGTTTTTTCAAAAAAAATGTTGAAGACGGAATGGATAGGTATTGTGTGATGATCTTTTTTTTTTTTTTTATCATTTATTCTAGTTTAATTTTAATATTTCATGTAATTATTGATTCAGGGTCTTAGAAACAGTAAATTTCGAGAAGAAGTTTTCATCTTTACCCGAATTTAAACCTGATGAATGTCAGTCGCCCAGTGCCATTTCGGTGCCATCAAGCCCTCATGTATTTAATGTACAAAATTTAAGAAAGAAACATCAGGTTACACGTAAGACTTTTTTATTTAAATAATTCTTTTTATTGAGATAAACACTTTGATATTTGAGTATCTTGATCATTAAATCTAACTTATAATTTAGTAATAATGGATTATATTTTAGTATCATCATTACGTGCAAAAAAAAAAAAACTCATTTATAAAATATGAAGTATTGTTACATAATTTCGTCAATGTTTCTGGTTTTTAATTCATCTTCAGGATTAATTCTATATTGTGGAGAACAGTGACAATTAGAACTATAAAAAATAAGATTTACACTAACTTTTTTAACTGTTTGTACATATATTAATTTTCTTTATGGTATTATTTTCTATCACTTTTTGATGACATTTATATCCTCTATTGATAAAAATGATTACATTGTACTTTTGTGAGAGATTACATGAAAAAGTACATGTCCCTGTTAATACAGGTTGCTTAATGTTTAAAAAACACGTAATAACCTTTATTTGACTTTAAACACGATAGTAGATTTAAATAATTAAATATTAACTGGTGGCATTTAGCAGAAGATTACCAATTCAAAAACTTGCAAAAATGAGTTACATGTTGTTTTGTATGGGAGAAGTTATTATATTTAAAAGAACAGAACAATCTCTTGTTCTTAATCTTAGATAAATAAAAAAAATAGAAAAAAAAATATTGGAAATAGAATTGTTCTGTCTTAAAAAAAAAGGGGGACGGGTCAAACTGTTAAATAAAGTTAATTTTTGATCAAGTTAGTATTTTCTTCAGTTCTGATGGGGAGAACTATGTTATAGAAGGCTCTTTAAAACATTTTCATGCCTCAGGATTTAATTCAAAATTCCCACCTCGTCATGAGTTTCATAATTGTTCAGGCCATTTACAGCATCATCAATTGTAAATGATGCCCTTCTTTCATTAAATTTTTTGTAAAAGATTCAAGATTGTTTCTGAATCCTGTATTATTTTATTCCCTCTTCTTAGTCTTCATTGGATTTTTTTCTCTTCAATATCCTTGTCCTTATATTCCTCCAATGCTTGCCTACTGTTACCTTTCTGTTTCATTTTTTTGTAGGCTCTGTTTTTTGCTTTTGTGGCTGTTGCTCAATCTAAATCAAACTAATGGGACCTCAATACTCATCATTCGAGGTCTATAGTTTCCTTTATGATATTAAATATTGAAATTAAATTTTCTGTATTTAATTTGGCATTAGATGTAGCAATAATGAAGATAGTGAAGTTCCGTTAATAATTAAGAATCTTTTTTATAATAGTAAATTTAATGTTTAATGGTATGCTTTTATTGTTTGATTACATTGCTATTTTTTTTATGTATATTATATATATTTTTTTATCATTGCAGAGGAAGAAAATATGAATTCAGATGGACCTCCAACTAAATCGGGCAAACTTGTCGGTGGCACATTTTTTGGTCCAGATTTTAATTTAGATGCCTTCAAAGGTAAAGTTTATTGGCCTAATATCTATATTTAAGAAATAAAAGAATTGAATTATTACTGTGTTTCCTTTGTTCATGAAAGATAACTATGGTAAAATAATCACTTGTGGTCAGTTTACTCTGTATCACTTTTAGGGTACATCCAAACTGTACCATCCAGAGTAAAAAATCCGCAAGGAATCATTCTTGTATTCATATATTCATCTAGTTATGTTGTTTCAATATATTGTTCATTTTTTTCCTCGTTTAAGTGTGATTTATGTTCTACAAGAAGGAATAGAAGAATTATACTTGTAGCCATTAATTTAATCATATATTCCCTTATTCATGAACCGAATCCAAGTATATCAACAACTGGTCATGCTCAAACGTGGATGAAACGATTCGTTTCAAGGAGGAAAATCCTAGAAGCTTAATATTAAGTTCTACTGTTTACCGAGACTGGGAAGAGGGATGAAAATGAAATTGCTTGCAGCTCTAACCTGATTGTTTTAAATTGTGTTGCTGAATCTGATTTTGATTTGCTTAGCCAGTGAAGAATGCAGGCGATTTTCCACAATAAGTAATGTAAGAAGAAAAATTCAAAATTTAACAATATATATAAACTATGTTGAGAAACAATGATGTACAGATTCATAAATTAAATACTTAATTGTCCATGGAGTAAGTGCTAAGTGCGCCTAAAGAAGTTTTCACAAGAGCTATCTCAAATTCATTACAATTTATTTTATATACACTTGTGAACATCCACCTATAATTGATGATGCACACGTATGTCTATAACATACGTTAATTAATAAAAGACAAGTCTCTGCACCTACTAACTCTAAATTAAGTTTTAAAAAATAAATTCTTTTTATCCTTAAAACTAATACTTACCAACTAAATAAAACCTTGTTAGTTTTTAACACCATGTTTTAATCATTTTTATTTTGAATGAATGAAGTAAATTTTATTCTGCGATGCTCTTTCACTTAAGAGTAATAAAAATTTACAATTCCAGAAACATTTATCTGCCTTCTTATAATAGTTACAAAATCATTGAATTATAAAATTATGCAATAATTACCAAGTAAAATGAAGAGAGAGATTTAAAGGAAAAGATGAAGCATAAGAAAACAAATTAAAATACTGAAATTATATATAACCTGTAAATGATAATAATAATGAATTATAATAAAGCAATGAAATACCTTCTGCTCCATAAAATAATAATAATATAAGCAATATGGCATATGAAAAGACAAGAGGAAAAAAGTTCTTGAATATATTTGGAAGATTGATAGTTGAGGATGGAGAAATAATTGATGTTTAAATTAAGTTAAAAATAGGATTTTACAAATGCAGACGGGTAAGGAATTCTAACATGAGGTAGCTCGTATGGTAAAGGATTTTTGGAAGGAAGCAGTTCCATGAGAAAGGGATCTACAAGTTTATGGATTGGATCGGGATCTTGTGTTTAAAGATTGGACTGAGGTTATGGGATGAACAGAGTGAGGATTTTGGTTTTAAAAGTAGGAAAAGATAGACACCAAAAAAGTATGGCCATTGGAAAATAGGAAAAACTTCTTCAACTCCGGATTATTATTAGATTTTGGGAAGAATTATTGTAAAAATTTATTTTAGCTTTTATATCTGCTAGATTACTTTAGGAATATTCAAATATGAGAGCATTGATGAGTACACTTTTTGCTGTATATATTTATATTCCTGCTTATATTATATATGTATATTAGGTTTGCATCAATCTCTACATTTTGTATTCAATAAGTACTACTGTTATGCTTTAAGAAACAATGAAGTAAATATATATCTGTGTTTCACTTGAATGACATTGACATAAAATAATGGCTACAAGAATAGTTCAATATAATTATTTTATGTTAATAAATTAATTAAAATATTTAATTCTACATAATCAGTAAATATCAATTACACACTGCTATAGGGCTTCATTCTGGATGAATCATCACACATTGCTTCAAACCATGGTTGCAATGGCAAGCAGCGGCTACCTTCACTTGAAACTTGTCCCAGTGGAGCCAATCGGTTTCCCTCTCGTCAATTTTGAGATTCCAGGGTTAGCTCAGCTGATCTAATTCTCCTTCCTTAAGATAAACATTCATCTACTAAAACTTGCAGTGAAATCTTAAATAGACTACATCATATCACCTGTTAATTAAAAATTTATGTAACATCTATTCACACGAGAATCAAAACCATTATTGTAGTTCTGAATTTTTCTAATGATTGGTTAAGAACTGTTATTATTCTTAATTATCTATATAAATTACAGGTCTTGAGTGTACTGAAGCACTAGATGGCTTGTCTCCACAAACACCAAAGACACCTAGTGGTGCCAGGGACCAGGAGAAAGGTCATCGTAAAGTCCTGGAGCAGAGAAGAGCACTTGTCATGCAATTATTTCATGAACATGGCTATTTTCCATCCACACAGGCCACAAATGCTTTTCAGGTAGTTGATTTTTTTCGTACTGAAAATATTTCTATTAGTTTATAAGATAAAACTGATAATCATTTATCCAATGTTTTGTCCTTTTTTGTTTTATATATATATCAGTATAAAATTGGTATAACATAAACACCTGGTATTATAGTTTAGGTATATGGCTGTGATTAAATTTATTTATTTATGTTTTTAATATTGGTTCACTGTAGTTTATTTTATATTATTAAATTTCTCATGTATGGATTTTGGAAATTCATAAATAATTCTTAATATTCATAGCAATTCACTTAATGACATTTATTTTATTGAATACTTAGTAGTTGACAGTTGTGTATTTTAGAGGAAGTAGATGGATAGTGAAAACTGTTTTAGTCTATTTATGACCGCTGCTCTGGACCATCTCCTTCCTCTATGATATTTATTTTATGTTTTTTATGGACAATTTACTCATGGTTCTAATACAGAAGTTCCAGATAGTATATTTATTTTAATTAGCATTGTTCATTATAAAGTTAAAACTAAGAAGCAGAAGGCACATGCCTTCTTTGTTGAGTTTTCAACTGCATTTGATAGTATAGAATAGATCGCTATGCCCTGATTTATAACTTGACTGAATTGGGGATCTCTGCAAAAATAATTAAGATTATTTTTGATTTAATGAAAATACATATGGTTTTATATGGAGAAAAGAAGTTATATCTGTAGGTTTTGAAATGAGAGGCAGGGTGGCCCAGCGGATTAACGCGTGCGCACAGCAGCACCGCGCATTGCCTGGCAACCTAATAACCATAGTTATAGAAGATAAAATAAATACACGAGTTTACATCCTGGTGCCCGGGGTGCTTTTAACTCTGGCATTAATCCCCTTCCCTCACCTGTCCCAAAAAAAACCTGTATAGCCTAAAAGGCAAGGAAGAGGAGAACAAAAAAAAAAAAGAAAAGAAAGATTTTGAAAAGATATAGATTTAACACTTTAATGACCAAGCCTTTCGAATGAAACTTTCTCCGAGGACCAAATTGTTTTTTCTCTCAAAAGTTGTAATGTATTGTTAAAAAAAGTATCATTTTTTAGTTTAATGTACAAAAAAACAAAAACCACTTAAATTGATTAATTAAATATTTACTATCGACTAATTATATAAAATAATTTAATCACAATAAATAAAAATAAAAAAAAACAGCCGGCGTATGAGCCTGCCATTGTCCAAAGAGATAATACAGTTTTTATTTATTTTTCCTATTTTTACTCTTACTAGTTATTTCTTATGTGCATATAATCATATTTCGATAATATTTGGAAATTTAAACAAAAAACAAGCTTGTTTGTGGATATCAATGGCGGCCGTATATGCCTGCTGTGGTCCCTTGGGTAAATCAAAATAAGTGGGCGTATACGCCCGCTGTGGTCGTTTAAGTGTTAAAAAAGGGTAGGTTATTATCTCCATTACTTTTTTCTCTTTTCATAATTGATATAGAGAAATCAATTACAAAATAATTCATGTTCACTAGTTTTATATATTTTTTAAATGATGATTGATTTTTACAGGCTGCCCATTCAAACATTTTTCCTAGTAAATCCTCACTTCAACTTAAAATCCGTGAGGTTAGGCAAAAACTAAAAGCTCAACCTAATTTGACCCCGGGAGGAAATAATCTTATGAGTCCTCTTGAACCATCAACACCGGGTATGTACTTGCTTTCTAATTTCAAGTAGTCATAATTGTTATTGTATAGTTTATAATTTGTATATTTATGCTGTTTAAGCATAATATTTAGAATGATTAAATTAATGTATTTAATTTTGTCAAGGATGGTGATCTATTGTCAAAACTAGTTTTACAGAATATTCCATTGAATATTTAGTATTTGATTGTATGTAAATCTTCATTTCTCTCAATCCCATTAACCTGAAATTTATTGATCTTTCACTTCCTTCAAATTTCATATAAAACAATTGGAAAAATTACTGATTTATAGTGTTATAAATTGTTAAATATTTTTTAGCACTGGATCTTTTTACCACCCTTGATAGAATAAATTTAATTTTTGTTTTGTTTTTATATAATTCATTTTGATAAATTTAACTAATTTAATAAACATTATTTAATTTTTTTCCTCTTTAAAAAATTATATTATTGAATTATATTTGACACACTAAATCTGTTACTTGTATCCGTACATGATTTATGGTGATCACATATTAGTAATTTTGTTTTCATTCTTATAATTTCATACCTATCTCTATTAATAATTTTTCATACATTTAATTTTGGCATTACATAATTTTTATTTATATTGTTGATCAATTATCATTACGAGGCTGAGGTTGTCTTCCTATGTCAAATCAAACTGTTAGCCAACCTTACTGGAAATTTCAGGATTGCTTCTTTCTAATGAACTTTTAAGATAACAATCTTCAGTTTAGTTTCTTTTATATAACAATTTTCCCCTAGACTCATTTTATCTTTAGATTGAATTATATACAGGATGTCTTCTGGTAAAAGTTTTTATAGGATTTTAATAACTGGGGTGTGAGCTCAAATCTGGTGTTATGATTCAGAATTATCTTCATTAATTTTTTGCCTAAAGCTCATTATAATAAATAATCACATTTAGTTTTGATTATTATTTATTAGTGAACGTTTACATTTGGTAAATACTGTTATACAACTATTTATGTGCAAAGTTATATTAATATAGATATCGTAGTTAAATTGTTATATTATAACCAAAATTTTAAAAGCTTTTAGAAATAAAACATTATGAGACAGAAAATTACATTTTTTTTATGTTTTATAATTCTATGGAAATTGAGCTGGGATGTATTAAAAATTGTTAAGATACTTTTATGTATTTGAATTATAATAGCTGTAAGAATAGAGAGCAATCTAAATTTAAATAAGCAATAAAATTAGCATCAAAAACAAAATAATAAATATTATTTCCTGGATGCCTTGGAATTGTCTTTTCTGCCTCAACAAATCATATGTTTAACAAAGATTTTTGTTAGAAAGTTATGTTTGATATTTTTCAGATTGGGAATCAGATTGCAACCATTACATTGTTGTGTCTTCTATCTATGAATCGAAGTCATTGTTGATTCTCTCTCTAATTAAATGCGTAGTTTTTTTTTTTGTGACTTTATAACTGATGGCTATTGTTTCCACATATTCTGAGGATTTTATTCAACTTTTTAAAATTGTGAATTAGATTGATCTAATTACATATTTAATCATTATATAAATAGGCAAACACAAAACGGTCCAGTCCCTTTTTCTCCTCTATTATTCAACCGATTTTCTTCCTTCTTTTTTATTTAATAGCTATTGACAAGCTTTAGTGTTATCAATAACTAAAAATATAAATGGGTAGTTTGTTCGAAACAGCTAATCTCCGAAAGTTCTTCACCGATTTCTTTGAAATTTTGACACAATGTCGCAATAATATTTAGAAGTGTTTATGTAAACATTTCATTATCAGCAGGCCTTTCCTTTAGAAACGGCCGCCGAAAAACGTGGTTCGCTTTAGACTGTAGCACCAATACGGCTTTAACAATTTTAATGAATCTTGGCTAAAGTCGTCCCCTTGAAACATTTATAATTTGTGTATATAACATACTTTCCCGTAAACAAGCTGCATAAATTTTTATGATGAATTCAGTATTTTATTTGGGAATAACTCTAAAATTACTTACTTTTTTATCGATAATACCAATATTTATTTGAAAGCTTCTCCTACAAAATAAAAAAAATCATCGAAATCGGAATATTTGTTGTAGAGCTATATCATTTTAAACATTTAGTACTTTTTCTTTAGTCAATTTCCTTTATTTTGGTTTTTGATACATCAAAAACTTTACATTTAATGAATTAATCAGCACTATTGTCTGAAGAGATGATATCATTGAATGTTAGTGGAATGTTACCTCATAAATTAAATTTAAAAATAAATTCTATAGTTATACTCACTCTTAACTTAAATGCTGCACAAGCATTAGTTCATGGAACAGAGTGGAGTACTGACGGGAGCTACTTTAAATAAAAGAATTTTAATTCCAAGAATTAATTTAATATTTTCTGACACAATACTTCCATTCGAATTTCAAAGAACAACGTTCTTGTTGATAGCTGCATTTGCTACAGCCATAATCAAATCGCAGGGTCAAAGTTTTGGAAAAATTGTGTATTATTGCGACATCCGGTAATTTCGCACTTACAATTATATGTCGCAGCAAATAGAGCACATTCATTTAAAATTTTGAAGTTTATATTTCCAATGGCAATGGGTAAGGCTATGCTCTAAACAATAACAGAACATTCAATAAGAACATAGTTTACAGAGAACTTCTGCATAAAAATGGATTTAAACTGAGTTGAAATTGCTAATTTAAATTTATTTTTTACTTGCTTAATCATAACATTAATTGATTGTGATAATAACACACATAAATTAAAATGGATATTAAATATTTTGAATGAGTTTATTACTTATAAATAATTTTAAGTAATTTAAGCTTGATTTTTAATTGAAATTGAAATTTTGTTTATATTAATTAATGAGGATTTTTGAATCGTGATTTACTCTTTATTTATTGAATTTATTTTTTAGTTAATTTTGTTTTCCTCAAATTTTTAATGGCTGTATTCGAATTTCGACCACTGGGCGAACACTAGTTTAGGTAAAAGTTTAAATATTAATTTGTCACTTTAAATCAAATGGTGAATGAAATCCACTGAATAGATTTGTTTTACTGCAAAATTACAAAAAAAATGTCTCTTTGGATTTTGTATTTTCCACCTACTACACTTAGGTAGTTGATCTTAATCGACAAAAATCTGTTGAGAACTCATTTTTTTCTTAAACAATACACAAAATATATATATACTTTACATCCAAGCCCTACTTATAACATCCTATAAAAACTTAATTAATTAACTTTTAAAAATGTAGGCAAGTTCTTAAATTTAAAAAAAAAATCTTAATGATTTATTTATAAATATTTTCAGTGCCAACAAATATTTTATTAAATGTTCCACTTTCCACTGTTTTCTCATTTGTACTTGCTGAAATTTTTGTGGTTGTCAGCAATTAGAACTTGGTGGTTTGGACCTAGTTTGGCATGATTATTCATTATTTACTTATTTAAATATGTCCTGTTTTGTATATATTATAAATTAGTAATTTATTATGCTATTACAGTTCCTCTCTTCAGCAGAATATGTGACTGGCCCAATGGAATGAGTTTCATTTCATCAAGTTTCCAATAAGAAGGTCATTATCAATATAAAATGTATTTAGATCTGACCATTTCTTCATCTTATCTTTTTTCTTCCTTGCCTACCCATTTTAGTACCAGTCTTTTGATGGCCTCTACACAATTCAATTTTTAAAATCACTCAACAATTCTGTGATTCTTTTATTTATTTGTATTTACTATGTTATTTAAAAAAATTCAAATTCAAGTATAAAATTAAATATAAATTTCTCCAAAAGAAAATGTGGATGGATTTATTATGAAAAGTAACGAAAAAGTGAAAGTTCAGGATGAATCATATTATCATATCATATCACAAAGCAAATTTAGCCCGTCACATGTTTTATTGACCATTTATTTATTGTTTAAGTAAATATTAATTCACAATGTAAAACAATATTATCTTAGCATTATTACTCCCATTTTTTCCTATAGATTTTGCCTTAAGAGTGTTTAATGGACAACTCTTATAATTATTTCAACATTCAATACAACCGATTTTTTTCATATGTATTTATCCAAATTATTAATATTTAGTATTACTAATTAGCAGTATTAATATTTTTTTCTATTACACTTTTTTTTATAACTTTTAATGCACAGTCATAAGATTGTTGTTAACTTCCCTAATGATTTTTATTGTTATCCAAGTATGTCTATGAGTATACAGGTTATTTATAGCTTGTTTTAATAATACTCTGTCCATTTTCATTGATAACATTGAACTGAATTCCCATTTCCACCTCTCTTATCACCTTCATCATGATCATCCAAACCAAATTGGTGGGAATGCTTGCTGCTCAATAGTGATGTTATAGTTATTAGTATCATGTTATGGATATTTGTTCATCGCTAGCATATTATACCATAATATCAATTAGAAATCCTCTTGGTAATTAGGATTATTAAAATAATTGGATAAAAGAACCTTTCTGAAATAAAATTATTTTATATTAAATACATTTATAAACATTTTTGATGCAGGGCTACCAACACACACAAATGCAGGAGGGCAAACAGCTACAGGGGGAGTAGCATCCAGCTCTAGTTAGCCCCCAACATCACAGCTCATGTATCTTGTCCTCTGTACCATAGGGCAGCCTCTTTTAAGATAACTTTACCATAATTGATCTCAGCACGGTTATCGTTCTTTCACTTGCCTTATGTTGTTCACACTTTAATCAAAGCACTAAAACATTTTATCATATATCATTGTTATTTTGTTTTTATTTTTTGAACATTTTATGTGCTTTGACTGGTCTCTTCAAATAAAAGAAGTATTTTGTTTTACTTCAATATCTTGCCTTTAGGATCGGCAAGTTAATTTTAATTGTAAAGGCAAGTTTTTGAACGATTGGATTGTGGTGCCTCAAGTTGTAATTTATTTTACTTGGAGATGTTTGTAAAAGATACTCCTTTTCTGGCTCACTTTAGCATTAAATTAAATTGTATTACCACAATCCTTATTAGAATAAATATCTATTGTAAATTTGTGTCATATTGTACTCTTATCAAATCTAAATTAATTGTATATTTTATTATACCTACTGCAGTTGCTGATTTTTATTAGCACTGTAATATGTGCTTTATATAAATGTATATAGGTAATTCGATTGTGTTATAGTCATCATAGTTAATTATAGTATAAATTAAACAAACATCTTTCAATAAATGTTAATTGTTTATGCATTTAAGTGCATACTTCTCAAACATAATTTGTTGTACCTAAATATTGTTATGTAGTCATATTTTAGTAGGTGTTTAGAATTCGGTATCACCTACAGTGCATGTGAATTCATGATTCCTTTTTCAGTTAGTATTCTTTATTTTATGTTAATTGACAGATAGGTGCTATAATATAGGTAAAATTTATTTTATTTAGCACAACTTGAATTAATTTTTATACACAATATTAATTTAATTTCATGATTTGTTTCTCCTTCAGATTTTATAAAAATTGATATACGGAGGTACTGTTTATGTGTATTGTGTTTTCTTGTCTATTTTATTTTATTTTATATTTTAACAGACTGATCATATTAAATAATATATGCTCTGTTTAGAAGTTTCGGAATGACACAATAACATTTTTTATTTTACTGTGATTTTTGAAATTGTGTATTATATTTACGTATGTTATTTGTTCGAAATAATTTAGGTTGAAAGATACATTTATATATTATTTATTGTTTGTATCTAAAAGACAAATTTATTATATGCTTTGATATTTGTTATATTCTTTATATTTGTTTATAATTATGTACCAGTGAGAAAACCTATGAAGCTGGATTACAATTTACTGTTTCCACTACTCATCGGAAATTATTTTTATCTGATTCCTGAGTTTTCAATAGGTAATAAAAGTTCAGTTATTTTCATTTCTGTTTTTTAACTTTGTTGTATGTAATCCATCCTTTTCTCTTTTATTTGATAAGAGTTGAAAGAAATATATTTTAATTAAAATTATTTTAATAATTTGTTGCAATTAAAGGTGCCTTATTACTATTTATTTATTTTTAGGTTTTGATAAATAAACAATGTTCTAATATGTATGCAATGTATTTATTAGTTTAATTTTTACATACATTTTTTAAATAAACTATTTATGTTTCTCAATTTCAATGCAAAGCATTTACATTATGTCGCTTACATACAACAAAGTTATAACCATTTTTTTTTTTTTTTAGAAGTCTGTGCTTGTACTTGAAAAATGTAGTCGTAGAGGAGAGACCAAACCTCTTATTTTTCTTAAGAAACCATTTTATGCTCATTGGTCTTAACTATTCTTGTACAGAATTGTTAAGAGTTTTCACTGTTAATATATTTGAAAAATATATATCAGTTTTTACCAGTTAATAATTTTACTAGGTACTTGAATATACCTACTTAAAAATGATAAATACTCTTCTGAACAGTGGTTTGGTCACTTCTTCCATAGAAGTAGTAAAAGCTCAGTGTCATATTATTCTTGATGTATACTTTTTAAAATAATTCTTTATGCAAAATGTGTGCTATATAACCCATTTAATAAATGTGATAGAAATTTGTAATTGACAAATCAGTGCCACTTTTGTAAATACACATAAATTTTAAAGTTAAAATATTTATGAATAAATTATATTTTAGTGTAATAATAGAAGCTCTGTTTTTCATGGGACTAAAACTATTATAAATGGGGAAATAAATATATATTCACCTATTGTTAGTTAAAAATATGAAATTATTTACTAAAATGATAACTGATACATAATTATTTTCCTCTAACATAAAGTTAAATATTGTGAAGAGCTTAGATTTTTCAAGAATATTATTAATTTATGATATATAGATGTAATGGTTCATTGAATTTTTCACTGTTCTGTACATTCTAGGTATCTTAGTTATGTTAAACCCCATACAAATTTTATTGGAGTCTGAATTAAACAATTTAAAGTTGAAATTATAATTTTGCATTTAAAATAATACTTCTTGTTTTTCAAATAATGTGCTTTCTTTAGCCTCCATTTTGCTAATGTAGCAAATGAAGGTTTTATTAATATACAATCCTTCCAGTAGAGAACATTGATGTAAATAACAATTTGTATTACAGAGCACAACAATAAACAAAGAAATAAATGATACAGTAAAATATATTCATTTTTGTTTATAATTTTAAAAGATTACCATCATTCTTTTGATATTTTTGACTTACTTAATTTCTATCTGTGTGATAAAAGTTTAATTTTTTTTTTGTCCTTAATCAGAGTTAACTATATATTCATTAAGGATAATTGTATTCTAGTTGAAACTAAATTTAGAATCCTTTAGATCAAAAGTGCTACCCTCTATTTACTTATAAAATAACATGATACAAAAATAATAGCCTTTACATATAAGTAAGTCATTAATGGATATGAGAGGATGTAGACCTTGCAATAGCTAACCACAAAGAAATTCTTTCATCCTTTTAAACGGGACACAATAGTATTTTTTTTTCATTTTGATTATGAATGATTATTCTTTACTGTTCATAATGGGTTTTGATGTCTGCCAATCTCCCTTAATTTTGTGGTATAACAGAATCAAAGTAAATTTAATAATTGGTTACCTATTTTATTCATTTATCATCTATAAATATTGATTTATAGATTACGAATTTCTAACAGGACAAGACTGGGAGGTCTTGTATTTTCAATAATAAGCTGTCCATGGATTCGGCAGACATTTGTCACAGTCAACTAGCTTGATAGGTTAACTCAAGATTCTTTAATAGTAGATGCCTGTCAGATAAAATAGATTGTGTAATTTTAATTTTTGCTATTATCAAACAAAATACTGTTTTCAAATTGCAATGTATCTATGATTGTATATCATCATCGTATATTACGTCATAGGTTAAATTAAATAGCTGATGTCCACAACACACAACTTTCACTTAACACTATTATGAGTGGAGATTGTTTTCTGCGACATCGGGATATTACCAAAGTTTTTGAATTGCATTTTCAATGGAGCTAAATCTTAAAGAACACATTTATGAATTTTGATCATATTTTTATCAACTCTACGCTAAAACTCGTTTAGGATTATCAAAATTTAAAAAATGGTATTTATTAAATTTAAAATTTGAGTGATATTTGGTGGAAGTGAAGTAAGAACCAATGGTGACAACCAGGAACAACACGGAATCTGGAAGGAGGATTTTATAAATGGAGAAGAGTTGGATGAAGCACTGGTAAGTATAAAATTAGGAAACTGGTAGGCAGAGGTGGCATATCATTTGAAATGCTCAGTTATATGGGAGGACATGGAGGAAAAGTTCTTCTCTATCTTATTAATATAATCTGGTGAGAAAAAAGGATTCAAGATTGGAAAATTTCCTCCATTGTCTCGATATACAGAAAAGGAGAAAATAGAAAGTGTTAAAGCACATAAAGAAATATCTTGTCCCATGCAAGATTACACACAGATTCTAGAAAGCTGAAAATAAAGGTCGATAGTTGCTTAGATGAGGAGAAATATAGTTTCCGCAACCAAGATCTTATCTTCACTATGAGTCTAATGTCTGAAAAATTGATGGAGAAGCAGAAATAAGCTGTTCTTTTGTAGATTTGACAAAAGCTTTTGATTGAGTGAGAAAGTAAGATTTCGCTAATGGTCTGATGAAGAAGCTGGGAGTGGTCATGGGAATGCAATGATGGGGAATTGCTGTTGAAAGCCTTTACAAAAGGAATAAGAATGTAGTGAGAATTTCCAATTGAAAATCTGCAGAATTTGAAACAGTCAGTGGTAGGCTGTTGCCCCTGCCCTCCTTTGTTTATTGTTCTCCTGAACTCAGTGCTGAAGAATGACAAACCTAAAATGATAGGTTTTTATCTCAGCTACCGAAATCTAAGGCCAGTGAGCTACAAGTTAATGGCTTATTATGCTGATGAACTGGTGGTGGGAAGGCACAAAGGAAGCATTTGAAAGCAGGAAAATGGATGGTTGAAGGAGAAGAAAGTTGGTATGAGAAAGAGATATATGGTCCAGACTCAGTAAGGGAACCCCAAAACTGCAAAAATAGTTGATAGAGGCTCGATAAAGAAAGAATGGAGATTTTTTTTCCACATAGCATTAGGGAAAATGCAAGATTAGACAAAAAATGAAGTTAAAGTTGTAGTGGATCAAAACTTCCTCATAAAAACATCAAACCTTCATACAGTAATTAGGATTAAAAAAATAATAAATCCAATAAAAATAATTTATAATTATAAAAATACTTTGCAAATTGGCCAAAATAAAATTTCTCCAAGTTTATATTGATCAAGGGTGTGGTTTCGGATGTTTAGAATAGAATAACACAAAAATATTTCTTTTAATTTTATTATTTCATTTTCATCTTCCCTTGCCTCTCGGCAATATAGATTTTTGATAGAAGTAGTTGATACTTTAACCACTTATCTTCTGGTTCTTCAATCTTCGTTATAGGAGATTCAAGTGATCATCCCCGACTAATTCCTTCCACCCTACACGAATGATTCGTAGTACAAGTAGTTATGCTTACTTACTAGCTGAGGGAAATCGTCCTCCGTGATGAAGTAGAGTCCAGTTTTTCTCAGTAGCTTCGCCCTTATTGCTTCAAAATCGGTGCAAGTCGTGACGAAATGCTCAGCAGTTTCCGGAACACCACAACAGGGACATAGGGAGTTAACTTATTTTCCAAAGCCATGAAGCTTGGCGCAAAAACCCCCATGCCCTGTCAGGAATTGCGACACCCTATGACCAGGGAGGAGCCATTTCGTTTCCAACCTTGAATATACGGTAGGAAAGTATTTTCTTAAGGTAAAGCATGTATGAGTAGTTAACTACCGTCGATAGGCATTGGCAGTTTCCTTACCTTTGGTGGGGGAACTGTCGATGTAATTTTATTTTTAATAAAAGAATCTATGATATTTTTATGGGAACCATAAAATATATATATATATATATATATATATATATATATATATATATAGTAGAAATTTAACTTCAAATACAAAAATTGATAACCAATTTCTACACGAAAAAATTGTGGGATAAAATTTATTTGACATCCAAATATTTAACACCTTCAATGGTTAATCCAGGAATAGTATCTTCTAACAAAAAACACCTAAATTCAAAACTAATGTTATGAACTATATTATGTACAACTAGTTTCTTTAAATTATGAAATCTATAGAAACCATTTAACCCATTTTCAGTCACATTTAAACAATCACTTATATCCAAGTACTCAAGAGTTTCTGCAAATTCTCCACTGATCTTGTCTAGAAACCAATCATCTACGAGTTCACAATTTCTTAAACTGAGCCACTTTAGTTTCATTAAATTACATAAATTAACAAGTCCTTCATATCTGATCTTAGTGTTTGATAAATCAATGCATTCAAGATATAAGTTTGGAACATAAGTATTTACTAAGTCAGTACAAACTTGTTCACCTTTCTTCATTTCAATCCACTTTTCATGACCGCGAAACTTAATTTTACCTCCACGGTAAACAATAAAATGGGCAGCAGCAAGATCAGAACCTAAAATTTTATGTCTCTCTTCAACATACCTTTGTTGAAAAATTTCATAGTTCCTTTTAGAATTAACTTTCATATCATTAAGCTGTTGTTGTGAAATAGTGAACGGATTATATTTAAAAATTTCAGGAACTCGATTTTTCCTGGGAGCAATTGCTTTAAAAAAGCGATTCAGAGGATATTCATTTTCTGTAATTTTCAAATGTTTCAAAGGTTCAGGCAAATCTTTAGCTGAATTTGAAAATGATCGAGATCCCGGAATTCCAAATATGATGGTTAGTTCTACAACATAGATAAACAGGTATAAATGATAAGTGTGAGTAAATACATATATAAATATATATGTGTACGTAAGATATTGAAATTAATTATTATATACCTCTGGCTTGAATAATATGAAATCTAAATTGCCTTATTTGCATCGCTAAGAACAGAAATATCACAATTACAGAAGTTATGCTATTTAAATAAAATGATAACCTTCCGAAATTGTAACTCAAGAGCAAAAGCCAAAGAGATCAAACCTTGTAGGATAACTTTAACAGTTAATAATAAGTATAATTAGGGATGTGACGGTCCTGAAAAAATCTGTAACTGTTCCAACTAACTGCTCCACTGACACCATTAGATTAGTGACAAATTACCGGTCCAGTGACAAATTTACGTTTCTTTCCTTTCCAAATTCGATTTTTTTTGTTTTTGATAAATCGAAAACTTTTCATTTCGAGGTAATTGGGTCTATTATTTGAAGAGATCATATCATGTAATGTTAGCTGAATGATACATAGTAAATTAAATTAAAAAATATATTCTATAGTTATACTCATTGTTAACTTAAATACTGCACAAGCAGTATTTAAGTTAATGGAACAGGAATGAGACTGAAGTATTAACGGGGCTACTTTAAATTAGAGAATTTTAATTCCAAGAATTAATTTAACATTTTCTGACACTATACTTACATTCGACTTTCAAAGAACAACGTTCCTATTAATAGCTGCATTATCTATGACCATAATCAAATCGCAGAATAAAAGTTTTGGAAAAATGTGTATATTATTGTGACGTCCAGTAATTTCGCATGGACAATTATATGTGGCAGCAATTAGAGCACGTTCATTTAAAATATTGAAATTTATACTTTCAATGACAATGGGCATGGCTATGCACTAAACAATAACAGAACATTCAAAAAGAACATTATTTACATAGAAGTTCTGAATAAAAATGAATTTAAAGTGAATTTAAATTGCTAATTTAAATTTATTTATTACTTGCTTAATCATAACATTAATTTATTGTGGCAATAACACACATAAATTAAAATGAAAATTAATTATTTTTGAATGAGTATATTTTTTATTACTTATAAATAATTTTAAATGACTTAAGCTCGATTTTTAATTGAAATTGAAATTTTGTTAGTATTAATAAATGAGGATTTTTGAATCATGATGTACTCTTTATTTATTTACTTTATTTTTTTAATTAATTATATATTTTCCTCAAATTTTTAATGGCTATGGTCGAATTTCGACCACTGGCCGAACACTAGTAATATATAACGTATTAATATATTCATAACTTAAATAAGGGAATGGATAAGAAGACTTTTGTCACTGTCACTGTCACTGGACCGATAAGGTCCAATGGAGTGGAACAGGTTGTCACTGTTCCAAACCGAGACTCTGTTGCACGTCACTGCTCCACCAGTACCGTCACATCCCTAAACAGCTGGGTAGCTAGCCTAATCAAAGGTGGGGAATCGCTTTGTTCTTGGGAAGGTTATGGTTAGGCTACAATTTGTTTTTCTATTGGTTGAAGTTGATGTTCCCATTTTAATTATTGAAATGTTCATTTATTAAATTAATGATGGCTCTTCAAAGTTGTCGAAAAATTATCAACACAGTTTTAGTTGAAAGAAAACATTTTTTTTCGTACATTCCTCTTAATAAATATGATGAAACTTGTTTTAATTTATTGAAGTCCAGAATAAAATTTTCTGGACCCCTCACAGTGTATGATTACATGAAAGAAGTTCTAACTAACCCTGTCAGTGGCTATTATGTTACTAAAAATTCTATTGGAAAACAAGGTGACTTCATCACTTCTCCTGAAATTTCTCAACTTTTGGGGGAAGTAAGTATTGTGCTGTGTTCATTTATACATGACCATCTTTTCTATTCTAATCATCTTTATTAGATTCAGTAGCTAATGCTCTTTATCCTTTTGAATCAATAATTTGTTGATTAATAATTTTGCACTCAATATTAAATATTTTCTTGTGATTTTATCATAATTACAATTTGCACAACTGTTGATTTTATCTTCATTATGTACATCAGTTTATTTTATTTTTATCTTTGCGGAGGGGAGTGGCGTAACTCAATGGGTAGCCACTGACTTATATATATATAGTTACACTAAGAGCACAATGTTGCGATTTCACAGAGGTGAAAATTTATCAAAGCATATAGCGATTTAATTTTAGTGACTTTTTACAATAAATCAATGATATATGTTTATATAACTTTTAAGAGATATAAGAAATTATATATTTTAAGATATATAGGTACTATATCAGGAGTAATAGTACCCAAAAAAATGTATATGGAGTCATCTAAAGAAATTTATCAAAGAAACAGTTAGTTTTAAGATATATATATTTTAAGATATATAGGTACTATATCTGGAGTAATAGCACCCAAAAAAATGTATATGGAGTCATCTAAAGAAATTTATCAAAGTACAGTTAGCCATAAAGCAGCTGGCAACAATGAAACTGCTCTTGAGCTTAATAACCATCGTAATTAATATGTTTCAGAGTTTGTTTCATAGAATTTGGAGAGAAAAAAGAATAAGCATAGAGTGGGATTATAATATTTTAACACAAACTCGTCAGGAAGGAAATCCGACCCTTTGTGAGAACTACAGGCCAATATGTCTGTCCTCGGTGTTATACAAACCTCAAAGAAGAATAAGCAGCATTTAGACCAGGTGGACAGACACAGGATAACATGTTCGCATGATAGACAATAATAGAAAAGTCATAACATAGGGAGCTAATGTATACATATCTAGCATTTTTAGATTTAAAGGCTGCCTTTGGCTCTGTGCCCTGAGAGGAAATTTGGAAGGTCCAGGTGAAATAAAGATACCCAACAACCTCATAAGTGCAATAAAATCAATGCAACAAGACCAAAAAGATATTGCAAGGCCAAAAATATGTTAATAAAAACTTTTTAGGTTTTATAAGGGTGTTAAAGATGGAAACAGTCTCAGCCCACTATTGTTTATTATTTTCATGGATGAGATATATATATATATATATATATATATATATATATATATATATATATATATATATATCTCATATATATCTTAAAACTAACTGTTTCTTTGATAAATTTCTTTAGATGACTCCATATACATTTTTTTGGGTGCTATTACTCCTGGGTACCTATATATCTTAAAATATATAATTTCTTATATCTCTTAAAAGTTATATAAACATATATCATTGATTTATTGCAAAAAGTCACTAAAATTAACATTCCCTAAAATTAAATCGCTATATGCTTTGATAAATTTTAACCTCTGTTAAATCGCAACATTGTGCTCTTAGTGTAACTATATATGATAAATCAAATGCTTCATGCCATTTTCATACACTTATAATATTTTTGTATAGATAAATAAAGTTGAAATTTGCAAACAATTCTTGAAAGTTTACCTATATCAAAAATGTAATTGGTGACTTTTTGCAATAAACTGAAAATATGTTTACCTTATATTTACTTTCTAGTCCTTTTTGACTTATCAATAAGTTTTTCAGATGGTTGCTCTGTGGACTTTAAATGAATGGACCAAGTTAGGCTCACCAAAGCCGCTCCAGTTAGTTGAATTGGGACCAGGAAAAGGATCTATGATGCATGACATTTTAAGGGTACCTGAACTGATTTTTACATGCTTTGGTTCTATCAGTATTTCATTCTCATTATTTTTATTTTGTTATTTGTAAATTAGTATCTGTTTTAGGTCTACAAACGATTAAAGCTTGATGAAAGTATCAGTGTTCATTTCGTTGAAGTTAGTGATGAGCTCAGTAAAGTTCAAGGAAATAAACTTTGTACTTCTGTTTTAAAACATAACAATAAAACTTATTATCAAGAAGGAAGAACAGAAAATAATGTGCCCATTTTTTGGCATAAAGCAATTCAAGATGTGCCCAAAACCTTTACATGTATTTTAGCTCACGAATTTTTTGATGCATTGCCTGTTCATATCCTGAAGGTCTCATCTTGATACTTAAAATTATAAAATGTTATTTAATGAAGAACATCAAATAAAATCAATTTTTTTCTGTTGAAGCAAACAGTAGATGGTTGGCGAGAAGTCTTAATAGATCTTACTGAATGTGGTACCAAACTTTGTTATGTTATCTCATCTGGTCCCACGCCTGCTTGTGTCTTTAGTAAAGTAAGTTATTCACAATAGATGATTAATGAGAATCATTGTTCTCCACTATTAAATATGTAATCTTTGATTTAGTACTCCAACGGTCGAGAGTATTTTGAAATTAGTCCACAATCAGGGCTTATTCTTGAGCATATTGCCTGTATGTTAGAAGAGCATGGTGGCTTTGCTTTAATTGTTGACTATGGTCATAATGGAGAAAAAAAAGACACATTTAGGGTGTGTATTATAGAAATTGAATTTATAGATTGTACGATTTTTTTTAATATTAATTTATAACACTTTTATTCTTTTTAAGGGTTTCAGAAATCATAAATTAGTTGATCCATTAGAAGCACCAGGTTCCTCTGATTTGACTGCAGATGTTGATTTCACCTTTCTTAAGAATGTTACTAATGATAAATTACTTTCTTTTGGTCCTGTTTCACAAAGGTCTTTTCTGAAACAATTGCACATAGATATTCGCTTACAGGTTAACCTTTTATATTTTATTTAATTTAGTTGCAGTAGAATTTTTATTTAACTTTATTCTCTAAAACAGTTGTTAGAGACATACAAAAAAGTGTTCGTCATAAAAAAAAACAAAAAACGTTCGTGCACTATTTATATTCTTTTACTATTCATGTTATGCAATATATTAACGGTAGGAAATAACAACTTTTTAACTTCATTTATTAAATTTTACAACTAAAATATAAGTGTTAAAAAAATGTATAAAGTGACACAGATTTAGTTACTTACTTTTTACAAGATAGGACATTCATTACTTATTTATTACAATGACTTGATAAAGGCAGTATAGTGATTTTTTTCTATTGGTCACATTGCAAGCATGTGGTCATGTCAAAACAAATTAAATGTGGTGGGGAAGAGCAACATAAGCTCATTTATAATATTATATCGAAACAGGGGAGAATGCCTCTTCAATGGAAATATGCGGTCATATGTCCTGTACACAAGAAAGGAGAACAATTAGAATACGTCAACTACTGAGAGATTTTGTTTCTCTAGTGAGCATCTAAGATACTCTCTAACATCTTCTACAACAGATTAGCCCGTCCATAGATTGGTTTTTGAAAGGGTAGATCAACTATTGATCAAATATTTACTCTAAGAACGATTGTAAAAAGAAGTCATGAGTATAAAATTCCCACTCATCATCTGTTTATTGATATCACCTACAATAGCATAAGGAGAAACAAGCTGTATGAAGCAATGGAAGAACTAAATACCACCTTTTTTTTTTTTTTTTTTTTTTTTTTTTTTTTTTTTTTTTTTTTTTTTTTTTTTTTTTTTTTTTTTTTTTTTTGTCCTCTCCTTCCTCGCCGTTAAGGCTATACGGGATTTTAGGGGGTGTGAGCGAGGATTTAAAAGGACCCCCGGCACCGGGACGCGAACTCGTGACTATTTTATATCTTTGATTCATATGTCAGGTTGCCGGGCAACACGCTTTAGCCCATTCGGCCACCCCGCCCACAAAATGTACAACTAAATACCACTTCCAAACTAATTTGTCTTGTAAAAATGACAATTCAGGACGTGCAGTGCAGAGTACGCATTCATTCGGAATGCTCCTCTGATTTTCCCACCAGCAAAGGACTGAGATAAGACGATGCTTTGTTGTTTAATTTGCCGATTGAGAAGGCGGTGAGGAACTCTGGCATTCAGACCAAGGGCACAATATTTACAAATCTGGTCCAACTTTTAGGTTATGCTGACGACATAGATATGGTTGCATGGTCCTTAGCAGCTCTCAAAGATGCCTTCCTTGAATTGCAAAGAGCTGCAGCTAACGTCGGGCTCCACATTAATGAGAACAAAACAAAGTATATGTATACAAGAGAAGGAGAGAATCCCCAAAACCAAAGAACATACATGTCTCAGACCTTACACCTTTGAGAGTGTCCAATAGTTTTCTTATCTGGGATCTCAAATTATGACAGAAAGCCACTTGAATTAAAGAAGAGAATAGCAGCTGCCAACTGATGCTATCCTGACTTACTTAAACAAATGAAAAGCTCACTAATTAGTAGACATACAAAGCTGCAACTCTTTAATAACTCTTTCTTGTCTACAGGACATTTGACCGCATATTTCCATTGAAGAGGCCTTCTTTCCTGTGTCCAGAAGAAGAATATCATATCATAAATTAGCTTATGTAGCTCTTTACCACCATATTTAATTTGCTTTGACCTAAAGAAACAAGTGTCCCTACTCTCTCTTTCATTCTATCACTTAATGGCTTTTGGCTATCCCTGTTGCATGCCTAGAAGAATTGCCGCCACGTTCATGTCCCCACAGATTTGTCATTGGTAGTCCTGGTATTTGATGGATTTCCATGTTTTGGTAAGTTTCCTTCATGTGGACAGCATGGCCAATAGGGATAGAGAGAAGTAAAGTGCTATTGTGCAACAGAACTGCCTTGAGGGATAGCTTTGATGAATCTATGAATAACCTCCATTCAAAAGGGTTGTGTTTGAGATTTAATGCATTCATCAGACCTGGGACATCACAACAGGCAACAAGGTTCTCATACTCTGAAAAAGTGGATCAAGTCTTTCTGACGATTTCTTTACATTGTAATCTTTATACTCAGATTGTAAGAAGTTCCATTGCTTCAATCTTGAACCCAAAAGTTCTGCTTTCTCTTTGGACAAATCCAGGTCCCGAATCAAGTCACTCAATTCAGCTTGAATAAGCAAGTGGGGTTTTCGCTCTTCTTGTTTGAAAGAAAAATCAGAATCATCTGATGGGGCTCCTCCTAGGGGATTTACCTCTTCATTATCCTCGTCCTAATTAAAGTTATAGTGTTCAGGAAGCCTTGGAACAGGCAATTCGTCCCCGGGTGGTATTGGCCATATAGCAGAAGGAATGTTAGGGTACTTCACTTCAGATTGCTTTTTTCGTGACACTCTATTTTGAAGAGGAGGGGTCATGCAAAAGTAGCAGTTGTCAGTGTGATTAGTAGGCTCGCTCCATACCATGGGAATAACAAAACGCATTGAACGAACTTTCTTGTTCAACTATTCTCTTAAGGTTATGCTATATGTGATTCAGCACATATGTAGGGCCCACGGTTTGTCTTGGTCACCAACCTTCACCCCAAAATACTTGTGTTATGCTGTTTTGATCATCTGGGTGATAGGACATTTTTGACTAGCAAAGGTTACTTTTCTGCAAATGTAACAAAAGTTGTCAGGAGCATTCGCACTCTTCCTGGAAATTGTAACTTCACCAAAACTACTGGGTTATCACGACAAAATCGTTGAAAGAATGCCTTAAGCAAGAAAAATCATGCCAAGAGTAACTTGAAATGTAAACACTGAATACAACTGTCAGCAAAATAGTTCTGGGATTCATAGCTAGTTGTTCCGCAGACAGAAATCAATCCTACCGACCCAGGAGCAGGAAATTTCTCCATATTATGCCAAAAATAATTAATATCTTTGAAATATATCTTTGAAGTTTGCTAGATGATTTTTATGTGAAAATTTGAATTTCTCTCTCCTAAAAACATAGAATGAGGCTGTTTTCATGTGATATACAATATCAATGTAGAGCAGTGTAATATTTCTTCTGTTTGTATAATTAAAATACAATTCCTTCTTAAGGTTTCAAAAGATTATGTTATTTTCTAAATGATCTATACAAAAATTATAACATAAGTACCACATATGAAGTTATTATTTTCAAAACTGGCTCAATGCAATTTTTTCACTAAATGTTTTTCTTTTATTTTAACAAGTTATCAATGCACATCTCCTAAGAAAGTGGTATTAATAAAAGCATCTCTTACTGATGTTAAAATGAGTTTAAACTTCTTGGTTTACCAGGATGCAATACAGATCCATTGTATGTTTTTTATGATTTTATGTCACAAATAAAATTTATGAAAATATATTGAGCTGGTTTTGAAACCTGTCATTTTTCGATCCCATGGTTTCCTTCAAACCGATATAGCAGACATAACAGAGAGTGTCATTAAAAGAGGATGTAGTGGCACTCCTAAGAGATTACTATTTCTAAGCTGGATAGGAATTTGATCATATTGATAAAAATAAATCCCTTTATGATAGGTAATGGAAATTTGATCAACAGCTTCGACTTTCTATTCAGTTTCCAATTTTTGATCAAACAATCCAAACTAAGGCGACATCTCATTGGTTTTTGGTTATTTTACACTCTCCTAAGGTAGCAGTAATATTGCACCTAACCCACCAGTGATTATTGTGGAGCAACGAGAAGCCTTTAGGCAGGATAGATTGGCCACTTGTAGTGTTCACAGTTAAATTCAGGATTTATCTTAGGAATGATTCTGAACAGTAAGTGTATGGTATTTGTCAATAAATTAGCTGTTGTGTTTCTTGATCAATCCAGATTTTATCTTAAGAATGAGTTAACAGGAAACATGGCAAATTTACTAGACTTCCATCACATTGCTCCACTAAAAGATTTTTAGTTATGGTGGCTTTATGGTATGGGCCAGAATTAACATAGGCGGCCGTACAACAAATTGCATCATTGTCATGGGACATAATACTTGAACAAGAATTTATATTTTTGAATGATAATGCATTGTTACATCTAGTAGGAATCTTTTTTTGTTTTCTCGGTTGTAAAATTAGCTTTCCATAATTTAGAATATAATGTTCTCCAATCAAGTTTCTTTTCTAAGATTTGCGACAGTAAAGGTTATTATTACTTTTAACATTAAAAAATAATTTATAAAAAGTATGGTCCGTCATTTTTGAGTAGTTTAGTGGGATAGTTGGATAAGTGTTATTGAAAAGATTAGGATACAAAATTTCCAACATAAATTTGATCATAGTTTTACTGATGAATTTTGAATTAGATACCTATCCTTCTTCTAGTGTAAGCATTATTAGATAAACGTGTTTATTTGTATAAACATTATAATATTATGAAGAAAGTATATTCATTATGCAAAGTAGGTGAAGCTACATACTTGATGATTGGTGAATTAACAGTTTTCATAATAAGTAATTACCTTACCCCTCCATAAAATATCCCCTTTAACAATAAGTCTCGGCTATCCATTAACTTTTACCCCACCAGCATTGTACTCACTGTGGCCTGTGAGAGCTGGGTTGGTGCAGAAGAGTAGGTTGATTTGTAGTTATCTCACCTATTTTTAATTTACCCTACATAGCAATCTTTTTTAAGAACTTAAAGCAATATATGATAAGCCATGGCAACCTTGTCATCTAGGAAGTTGTTGCTAGAGTTAGGTTGGTGCCCTGTGTTATATCAAAAATAGAAAATTTGAAAAAGAAATTTGCCAACCAAGTTTTGATGTCCAATCTGAAAATATTTAAAATCTGTCTTAGCTTAATCTGCTAACTTATTATGGCCAGATTATTTATATTACATTTTTAAAACACTTTTATTATGGATTTAAGGATCATACTTGGAATATATCTCTTCTCCATAAAACTCCCCCCTTTTTCGACACCTCAAAATCCATCTCTTCTGATAGCCGTACAACGAATATCTGCTTCTATAATATTTATATGTGTGCATAGCATTTTTTAAATGTTTTAGTGGAAATGTGATAGTATTTTGTAAATTAATTTTTTTGATTTTATTATTTTTTCCTAGGTACTTTTGAAGAGCTGTAAGAATGAGAAAGAAAAAAATGACATCTTGTCTGGTTACCACATGATCATGGATACTGATAAAATGGGAGAATGTTTCAAAGTTATGTCATTGTTTCCTGTTGTTCTAAAAGAATTCTTTAATGATTTTCCAGTTGTAGGTTTTGTAAATAAATAACTATTTATTTGTTTTTAATTATTTATGATACAATAGAGTGTTGCTTTTTTCTTTATTTAATATTAAAAATATACTTATTTGTAAAATATTTAGATATTAAAATTCATTTCTTTCTCCAAAACGGTATTTTGATTAATTTAGAAAGAATCTTGTATTTCATTTATCCTCAAAGCATCCAGAGAAGGTTGTTTCTGAAACAGCCATGACAAGTTATTAGTGGGGAGTTATAAGGCATAACTATAATCATATGTGTGCGTGTGAATAAATAAAATTATAAGAACTTACAGTCCAGTATTCATCATCCCAAGTTTCAAAGAAATTAAGGAAATGTTGAGGTTCTTTTCCTTGCTTTATTGTGATCACAGCATTTTCAGTTCGTTGTTTATTCCTCAGGTAATTCTAAAATCAACATTATTGTATGGGGTAAAGTTTTTATTTATATCTTGAATTCATCGTTAATATTTTTAATTATTGGTTTATTGTTTTATTACTTTAGATTTAACAATACTGAGAGATAAGTTGCTGTTCAACATTTTTTTTAGAAACCATGAAATGTGTCTTATTCTTATATGAAAGAATCTTATCCTTGCTATAGCATATGTGACTACTATCAGGTTTTAACTTAAACTTTTGGGGATGTTTTAATGAAAAATAGTGGAAAAGTTGTTATTGGATTCTCAACATCAGCTACAAGATTCAAGTCTAGCTGTGGCAGATTATAATTTACTCTGTTAAATTAGTTGTTGGAATGAAAACAATGTTCATTTTCCTGTTCTAGTGTATAGATAAATAAATTTAAAAAGTAATTTTCTTACCTTAACTAATTCATAAGCATTGGTCTTTTCTTCTGAAGAAGCATCATTTCCAATCCAAACATATACTGCATCACCTGCGTCCAGGATCATTACATCATCAGCATTCATGTCCTGTAATGAAGTATTAAAGAAATTGTTTAAAACATAAATAATTCCAGTTTAATCTTATCTTTTAGATTTTCTTTTTTTAAATGTTTATTTAACTCAAGTTTTCACCTAAACTGAGTTTACCTTAGTCATGAGCTCAGATAGTATATGTGTGGCTTTCATAAATAATTGGTCTGGTAATAATTAATATTTAATATGATAAACTAAGGCAATATTAATATTAAAATTTGTATACCGATTATTAAAGAAATAAAAATACCTACAATGAAATATACATCAATATACTGGTCTCCTTTACTTTTTTTTGTTTATTAAGAAATATTGTAATCTGTCTCAATTAAGAGCATTTATAATAGTGTTCAGTGAGCACATTCACACTCCATGTACAATAAATAAAAATAAATTAAACAGCAAGATAATATTAATCCTACATTAATGAACTTCATTGATAATTTGAAATTTGTTCTTTAGATAAAGATAAGCTTTAAGATTTAAATAATACAGAAGTACAGAGCATGTGGTGATAAAATTAGTGACCTTCTTCTCTCACTATCTCCTGTGTGCTGCTAAGCGTGGAGTAGCTGCCTCTGACCATCTTGTCCAACGGTCCCTGTCCTGTGTAAGCCTTCTCATCTCCGGCATGGTGCTTCCTCTCGCTGTGCCAATTCTCTCAATCAGGTCTGTATACATAAGCCTTGGCCTGCCTTGAGGTCGCCTTCCTCCCTGTCTTGCTCCTAGAAGCCACCTGGCCTTACGGTCATCTCCCATTCTATTAACATGCCCCGTACCACTTCAACTGCCTTTCTTCAATCGTCTCTAGGACGGACCTAACTCCTAGTGCACCTCTCACCCTTTCATTCCTTATTCGATCTCTCCTGGTTTTCCCCAATATTTTCCGTGGGAATCTCATTTCTGCAGATACAATCTTGCTGGCATGGCGGTCCAAGAGTGTCCAGCTCTCCGTATAGTAGCACTGGAAGAAAAACTGAGTTGAATAGCAGAATCTTTGCTTTTCTGCTCAACTCCTGCTTTCCAATGAGTGTCATGGATATTTGGTAGTATATTCCATTGGCCTTTTGGACTCTATTCATGACCTCCCGGTCTATTCTTCCATCCCTGCCAATCATTGTTCCCAGGTAGCAGTAGGTATCGGTTTGATCAAGGGTCTCTCTATTGCAAGTGATTCTAAGATCCTCGTTCCTTCATCAAACACACATGACCCTGCTTTTGGATGGATTGATCTGCATGCTTCTGAGTTGCAGTTCTTCTTGCCACTCATTCACAGCAGTGATTCAGCAACCAATACCACATCATCTGCGTACAACAATGCGTGTGTCAACACTGGGGTCATATTCCAGTATCCCACTATTGCCCGAGCCCCCTACTGTTCATAATTTCTAAATGGCATCCATGAAAATTATGAACAGTAGGGGGCTCAGGCTATCGCCCTGTTTAACTCCCCTAAAGAAATGGAATGACCTAGACTCAGTGCCGGCTAGCCTTATTACTCCCTTTGGGTCTTGGTACACTGACTTGATTGCACTTATAAGATTTTGTGGGACTCTCCTGTCTTGCAATGCATCCCATATTTCCTGTCTAGGAACATGGTCGAAAGCCACCTGTAAATCTAGAAAAGCTAGGTATACTGCTTTACCTCTATCCCATGCCTTCTCTACAATCATTCTCAGAGAGAAGATATGGTTTTATGTCTACCTGCAAGGTCTAAAACCTGCCTGTTCCTCTTCCAGATCTTCTTCCACCAATTTCCTTAATCTTTGTTCCAGTGACCTCAATATCTTAAAAGGTATTCATTTCAAATGAATGTAAACATAAAAAGAAGTAACCTCAGCTAAAGGCTTAATTCAAAATTAAATAAGCAGAAAATGTTATAAAGTGAAGACATTCATTACTTTAATTGAGATAGAATGTCTTAACAGATAGGCAACGTAAATTTTAATAAGTCTGACCTAAATGTAGCCTCAAATGATAAATGGCTCTCCTTCTATAATTATCATATTACAGATCAGTGGTTCCTAAACTTTTTTTACTGTACCAGATCTTTAATTATAGATTTTAAAAGATAGTAGGCTAATTAAAAATTTAATCCACTATACAGAATCTTCAAATCTGGATTCAAAAATAATTTATTTATCTACTTCATCTAGTCATAGACACCATATTATTTTTAAGACTCTAGTGGATGGTATAGTTTGGAGAGTAGGAGAGTGGCTAATAATCCATGGCTTCACTTAATTCGAGCCGTCTCTATTTACTCATTTGTACTTACTGTTATCCCTAATAATAATATGAAGAGTGAATAAAAATATAAACCAATAGACCACATACCTCCTGAGAGAAGTTGGGGATTTCTTCAATTTTGATTCGCCCATAGCTATTCATATAGCAATGGAACAGGCGAGTCTGTAACTGAGTGGTTGATTCTTCAAGTTCTGTTGTATAGGCTCCCTTTCCTCCTAAAATTTCCCAGAAATCTGTTGGCTCCTCTCCTTCCCTTAACACATTCAGCTCTTTATTAGCACACATTTTGCTCTTCACCTTTTGTCCGATTGCTTCTTCAGCATGGTTGCAACCCTTAAAGAAGAATAAGTTATAGAAATAAAACAGCACAGAACTATTTATCGTAATTTTAAATTATTTTATTCTACTGTTACCATTTTCACTTACCAATCCCACCCATAAATAAGCTTTTGAAGGTGTTTCTAAAAGAAAAACATCATTAGTATTCAGAGATGCTGTTACTTCAGGAACCTGAATGACTTTTATATCATCTTCACAGCTTCCGGACACCTAAAATTGACAAAAACAAGGTCTTTTACTTAAGCAAAAATAATATGTATTAGGCTCACATTTTATCTATCCGCACATATATTATTAGAGTAAGGCTCAAAATCGGTTTTATACCAAATATAAGCTCCTGCCATTCTCAAATATCAAGAATGGGGTACCGTTGGATTCAGAATTTCATGGGGGGTTAGCGAATCGTATTCTCCTCTTTTGTTTTTTTCCTAAAATAAATATAGTCAATACAAACATTTTGTTAGGCTTGAATACTGGAACGGTGGTTCAGAATTTCACAGAGGGTTAGCGAATCGTATTCTCAACTTTTGTTTTTCTTGCTAAAATAAATAAAGTCAATACAAACATTTTATTAGGCTACAATACTGGAATGGTGGTAGGTCTGTAGATTGATACGGGACAAATTGTACCTTGAAGACTTTTCCTTTTGTTATGCCCATGATTATATAAAAGATTACTAAATTCCCTACAAAAAGAAAAAAAAATCATCGTAATCGGACAATTTTTAGCAAAGATACAGATTATTGAAATTTGTAAACATGTTGGTTCCAAACATTAATGAAGATTTAAATCATCTCTATAATCCCGATCCTCATCCGTACATATATTATTACAGTAAGGCTCGAAATTGGTTTTGTACCAAATATAAGCTCCTGTCATGCTCAAATACCATGAATGGGGTACCGTTGGATTCAGAATTTCACGGGGGGTTAGCGAATCGTATTCTCCACTTTTGTTTTTCTTTCTAAAATAAATAAAGTCGATACAAACATTTTGCTAGGCTTCAATACTGGAACGGTGGTAGGTCTGTAGATCGATACGGGACAAATTGGATCTTGAAGATTTTGATGTGTACAGCAATACCTGGGTAGTTCCTGCGGAACTATTGGATCCTGCGTTTTTAAGCCCAAAAACGTACTATTTTCGAGATAAAGCAAGGCATAGGGTTCGCAGCCACACAACCTCACGTTAATTGTAGTACCTTCATTGAATACATGTCTCATTTCGTCGACTTTAACTATGATCGAGAGAGGAGGAGTTTATATTATTTATCGATGGTGTTTTATCAGCGAGCCATATCATCGTTAATTCTTCACCAAATCTCAAGATTGAGCCACCAATTTCGAAGGCTTCCTTCTTCTTCAGGTGGGCAAAATAGTCCAATCACTCCGAAAATTCAGGCAAACAGGTTATGAATGAAAACAAACTTTATTGGCGAATAACTAAAAAATGACATTCTTTTCCCTACGTTTATGGGATTATGCCCATGATTATATAAAAGATTGCTAAATTCTCTACAAAATGAAAAAAAAAAAAATCATCGAAATCTGACAACTTTTAGCAAAGATACAGCTTATTGAAATTTATAAACAAGTTGGTTCGGAACAATAATGAAGATTATATTTATCGATAAAGTAATAATTGATTTCTTTATCTTTGGATATGTTGCATTATTTTATTTTATTATTGATTTGGTGTTTGATAACAATATGGTGTGCGAATTTTTCCCATGGGCCTACTAGTTAATTTTTATTTCCTTTGTCGATTATAATTATCAAAAAAGTAACAATTGATTTCTTCATCTTTTGATACGTTGCATTATTTTATTTTCTTATTAATTTGGCATTTGATAACAATATACTGTACGAATTTTTCGCACGGGCCTACTAGTATAAAATATTCCTTTATTCTCTATTGTTTTTCACTGTATAAAATAATAATTTAAACATTCCTGGGTACTTGTTGGATAGGAGGCCTGGACGAAACCTTATGGCTAACCGACAAGTACCCATTCCTGACTACCACGTTTAAGTTATGAAAAAAAAAACACATTAAAATTACTTTCATTTATTAGCCATAAGTATTTCCGTTATGTAAAATCTTATAAAAACATATCTGAGATCCAGAATTTAAATAAATATTTGCAATGGTGAAGTTCAAAATAAAGCATGAAGTTGTTTTTTGGTATCCTGACAAGAAGCTATTTTTTACTCAAACAAGGTGGCAATGATGTAAACCTATAGCATGAAATTCATAAATAAATGGTCTTTTGTAAAGAGTTCGATAAAAGATCAGAATTATAAATATATGCATATTATAAATATTATGAAATTATTTTATACCTGGAATAAACGAACACCATCAGTATCATAAGAGTCAGAATCGTTGACGTTTCGAAAACCACTCTTAATTCCTCCCTGAAGGGCTATCATATTGCCTGGAAAATTGAAATATGAAAATAATTAATTACATATTTATATAATTAGATTTATTGTTTTTAATGAAACATTGCAAACAAATTAAAAATTGTAGCCAACAAAGTTAATCTTACTGTTAATATAATATTGTACTGTATTATTATTAATGTTAATAATAATAATATTGTGATTGTATATAATTTTTATAAGCTTTGTTGTAAATCCCGTTAAAAAACAATAAAAAAGTTTTTAAAGCAACAATAATTTAGTAACTTTATACCAATAAAGATTTATTTACCATGAAACATTTTTAGAAAGTGTGATGGCTCATTGCCCTGTTCTACACGAACTTGTATAGCCTTTCCTCCAACTTCATTATCAAGTCTTACAGCTTCCAATGCAGCAACTGCTTTTTCATCATTGGTGCTGTCTTTACCCTTTTAATTAAAAATTTAATTAAGGATTATTAAGAAAGCAATATTTAATAAACAATTTATAAGTCACTTCTTTTCTTGATGATTTTTAAGACTAGCAACTTGGGCCAGTATAGGACTTCAATGGAAGTCTTGGGCCTACAAATAAAAAAATAAAAAAACTAGCAATATTTAGTTTATAAACTTTGGGCTGCTGGGTATACTGATGCATCCTCAGAATAGAGCCCTCATTAAAAAAAAAACTAGTTTTATTACCCGAATCAGATGCAGAAAAAGGAGATGGCCACCATTTAGAGGCTCGCCATACTGAGGATGACTAGAGCGCACAGGATGGTGTCCCACGAAGCGGTGCCTCTGGACCTCGTCCTTCAGGAGGATGCATGGAAGAATGATCTAAAGAAGCAGGGACTGGAGGCACTCCCAGAGGGGCTTCAGCGGAGAGTCCCATGAGGATCTAGGAAGATGGAGTGGCATAGTCCGAGAGGCAACACTAGAGGAATGGAACGGACAGTGGGTTGCAAGTGAGAAAGGAGTCATCTTGGGAAAATACTTCCTCATCCTTCATTCCAAATTGAAGACACATTGGGTCGAGCCAGACTACTAGACCCTACAGATCCTGACAGGTCATGGGGGTTTAGAGACAAAATAAGGAAGCATGAGAAGAATATTGAACCCTTATTTCCTGATTGTGGTGCCCCTGTGGTTATATCTTGCACCACGATGGAGTCAGAGGCATATTGTTGGAAAGGACGGGATAGTACGCCCTAGATGAGGAGTATCTTCCCTGACTGATGGAAGAGGAGAAATACTCCCACTTCGTGGAGTTCATGGGAAAATGGAGACAGAAGGTGGAGCTCACGCACTTCACAATAGGGAGAGGATTTCCATCAGCAGGCCAGGAGGAAGAGAACCAGCAGAGGTACCGACCCTGGAGGGCAGGACGCACAACCAGCTGAAGACTAAGGTTCGGCTCCATCAGTAAAGCACACACCCATGCACCACAATATTAAACCATTAAAAATAAATAAAATAAAGACTCTTATTGGCAGCAGTAGACGTATGCATTCCCAACGTATTAACCCACTGCTGCCAAAACCCCATATAGCAAACGTACCAGGAAGGAAAAAAAAAAAATACAAGTAAAACCTAACAAGTTGAGGTGAATCAAGTACTTTTGGTTACCTGCCAATAATAGATAACATGCTTCCTTCCAGTTGGTGTATCATAACTGTATTTTATAACGTATGAATCCCCTGAGAAGAAGATTCCATACTTGGTTGGTGGCACAGGTGCGAGTTTGAATTTTTCAACTCTCCATATCTCTGTTTCACCTTTTCCTTCATCTGGCATGAATCCCTTTGCTAGCCCGCACTGTCTTATTGATCGTCCCTTTCTTGGTGATGATGATCCTGAAACAGAGCAACTCTGAAAACAAAACTCTTGAACTGAACTGAGTGAGTAATTCTGAATTCTTGATTTCTTATGGTAAGTTTTTATTTTAATTTTTCTTTACCTCTTCCGATTCCACTGGTTAGTTGAGCATTACTCCAGTCAGAGAAATATTCTCTGAAAGCAGATGGTTCAGCTAATTCAACGATCCTTTGCATCTAACAGAAAAATAAACTATTTAATCATTTTATTGCTGTTGTCAGTACTAAAATAATATCTATTGAGTAGATATTATTATCATCCCATTGATTTTTAACTTAGAATTAACCAAAAGTGTTAGGAAAAATTTTACTTTTTGTTTTATACTAAACCAAATAAATAAGCTAAATCACAAGTTTTTGAAACAACAAAATTAAATATAATTTAAAGTATGTAGGATCATTGCTGACTTCAGAACCGGACAATTGTGAATTATAAACAATTGCATAGTCTATTATATAAATTAATAAAACAGTGCAAAATTTCCAAGATGGCAATTGCATATAATTTATCTGCGTTGATTGGTTGTATACATTATGAAATCTAATGAGGATTATTACAATTTATTAAGATGGTAAGAAAAAGAGATTCCAATAAAGGAGGGAAGTTTTGAACTATATGTAAATAAATGTCAACTTTACAAGATGTATGAAATTATTTACACACGTTTTATTACCTTCTGTTTTGGATATCCTCAAATGAAGCAAAGAACAATTAGATTAGATTTAATAGCTGTAATGACTTAATGTGATGAAATATTTAATATAATAAGATTTATTACTAAGAAAGGTACAAGAAATATTAAAGTTCATTCAAGAAAAGAGCAGCCAAAATTCAAATTAATATTTCAATGCATAAAAGCAGAGTATAACAATATTAATATATTTATAATTTTATGGAGGAAGGAAGAATAAGTGGCTAGTGCTCTTGCTTATAATGGATGATGAATTCTTATTTTCACTGGCGCAATAAGTTTTCTCATGACAGAACATTATTTGGCTTAGTTATTTAGGATTGTGATAGACATTTATAAGGCAAAAAAATAAATAAATGAGTAATGATGTAGAGATGGTTGACCGTTAATATAATATGAGAAGGAGTTAGTCGAGGGTGCGGTCAAATAAATAAACAAATTAAAATATATAAATTATTTTAATTTTTGCCGACGTTTCGACCCACTTTGCAGGTCGTCTTCAGGGCTACAAAAGATACAAACATGTTGAAAAAATAAAAATAAAATAAAAAATAAATATAAGTATATATAAAATACGAAGAAGTTGTCAGATACAGAAATAAAAGATAAAGAAAATAAATACATGATAAGAAAATAGATAAAGGAAAATAAATACATGAATGTTAACGAATAAATGAATGTTAACGAATAAATAGATTGAAGATTGAATAACTATTGTTACAGTAACAATTTACTTTTTTACTTTTTAACAATTTACTGTAACAATAGTTATTCAATCTTCAATCTATTTATTCGTTAACATTCATGTATTTATTTTCTTTTATCTATTTTCTTATCATGTATTTATTTTCTTTATCTTTTATTTCTGTATCTGACAACTTCTTCGTATTTTATATATACTTATATTTTTTTTTTTTTCAACATGTTTGTATCTTTTGTAGCCCTGAAGACGACCTGCAAAGTGGGTCGAAACATCGGCAAAAATTAAAATAATTTATATATTTTAATTTGTTTATTTATTTGACCGCACCCTCGACTAACTCCTTCTCAAATAAATGATTAGATGACATTATTTAGGGAATAAAGCAGATAATTAGTGAATAGCATAGGCGGATCTATGAGGAAGGAGGAGGGGGGGCAGCTTTCGGGCTGAAGCCTGATCACCAAAATGGTAAAATATTACCATGTCTTAAGGAAAAAATATTAAAAATATCCGTAAAAGTAATATTGTTTGTGTAATTACATTTAACAGGACTTCAAGAATCACTTAAACACCATTTCGTATAGTTAGTCAGTTTCTTGATTTTTCTTCCCAAGTAATTATCGTATATTATTTTTATATTAAAAAAAAAAGCTTTCGGGCTGAAGCCCCTTCCAAAATTAAATCCTGGATCTGCTAGTGGTGAATAGTGCTGAATGTTTCTTAAAATTTGCTTGGCTTCTCTTACAGTATTTTTTCTCTAGATCCACCTGTTATCCTCAATAATTGATAATAATAAATTATTTTATTCCCCCTCCCCCTGTATAATAAGGAAATAATTAGAAAAATTAAGATGGAGGTTTGGTACCTTACCTTGGTCCACGATGGGTATTTATTTGAAGCAATGAAATTCTGACCTAGTTCCAGAGCTTTAACCTTTTCTTGTGTTGTTGACCCTTTTCCAACCCACACATATATTCCTGATGTTAGTGTATCAAGAATAAAACAGTCCTGAAAAAAAATTATATGTGTCTGTGTATGTATTTATACGTAATAAAATTAGTTCAGGTTTACAGTTATCATGTTTTTATAAAATAAAATTACATATATTTGAAAAAATAATAACCTCAGATTTAAGCATTGATTTCTTCAAAGGCTTCTCTGAGATTTTCTCAGATACAAGTTTACCTCCAGCGTCAGAAACTTTGTAGAGAGCAACAGTTGCCTAAAATATTGACATTAATATTATTTATTTATATGACAACAATTTATATGATTGTTAGTGAATAAATAAAATACATACATCCAAATTCCTTTCAAATTCTTGATCATCATCAGCTGGAGGTTCATTAGGCACCTGATTAGCAGATCCAGATCCTAATTCACTAAAGAATTTCTGGACTTCAGTTTGTGAACTTGAAGCATCTACAATGGAACAATAAATGGAATTTATTAAAACAAAAGGATTGAGAGTCAAAAGCTGATTATATCGAATTATTCAATTATAATTAAATCAAGTCAATAATTAAAAAGTAGCATTATTCATTAAAGTTTCTTGGTTGGCGCAAACATCTACAGAAGTATCAAGGCCATTATCGGGTTCCATACTAACACCGCTATGGCGATGTGAGCACTGTGGAGGTATCTAGGATTGGGACAGATCCTTAGTCAATGGGAGGCTCCTCTGCAGCATTGGTCCATTGTCCAATGACTGTCTAATGTTTCGAAAATCCTATTCTAGTCTATTATAGATTATTCAGTGGAAGTTGCGGAAAGACTTGAGTGTTGATCAAGGCCACCAAAGTGTGTGAGCTTTGTGATAGTTGCAAGAAAATTCTTTTGAAGAATGAGGTAACTGCAAATGGCAAGGCGTATGTAATTTTAAAGAGAACCCATAAGCCAATAAATACATAAGTTAAAAACAAGAATGGTCTAATACCATGAAAACATTTACTATGTGCCTTAGCGTGGAGTACAAAGAATATGAAGCTTCCCAAAAGAAAGGAATTGATTTTGGTTGGGATATTGGCTGAGAACATTCTGGACTTCATGGTCATTATCCACCATCATCTGCGCAGTAATTAACTGAGTGGATAGTTTGGTTATTTATTCATCCTTCTGTTTTAAATTTTATTCAGGAATGCCCATTCCCTCCTTTCCAAGATCAATGGAGCATGAACCTCTCCCCTCTCCCAAGATATTTTATTGTTCACCTCTTCTTACAAAACACTGCAAGTGAAAGTAAAAATTAGAAAAATCATAAATCATATTCAATCACACTTACTTCAATGTATTACATGTTTTCCCCTTGTTTTCTCTTTTGAAAATTTTCATTATGAAAAGTTTTAAACCCATAAAAATGTGTTCTCAAAAATCCAAAACTTTTGGTGGTACAACTTGCGCTTGAAACCCCCTTCTGAGCACCCCTGACTATATTGATCATTATGTATACATATTTCTAATTTTAAAATAAAAAAATTTTTTTTTTGAGAAGAATGGTTGGGGTGATCAGTAAAAAAAAAAATTGTTTACACACCAACCAACTGCAAGGATCAAAGTGAGTAAAAGAAAAAACTGATATATGTAAGTACCTGATAATATGCAGGTAAGATAATAATGTTCTGGTATGGCATAAGTGAATATGGAAAGGAAAAAATAAGGAATCATGTTATGAATACTACTGATCGATTAGTATTGTTGCGTATTTAGTAACCCTATTTAGAAGGGCAGTACTTCATGGAAATAAAATATTTCTTCACTATACAAGTCTTCCAATAAATCTAAATTTCCAATCAATTAAATTTTATTTCCATAATATTTCTTAAGAAATAAATTTTTATTTTGTTTATTTATATATTTGTAAATTGGAGCTGAAGGGAACTTTATGGCATTAACTTAACTTTGCAGGAGAGCATTTGAACGGATGTTTTCTTCCAAATAAAAATTGAAATAGTGTTCTTTTAAAAGCATATTATTCTCTTCCCAATTCTTGCAGAGTAATTAATATTGTTAACTATATCTCTGGTTAACTGAAGCAGAAAAAAGTAAATACAAATGTACAGTAATGCTAATTTGGTAAAATAATGATATGGTGTCCAATATTCAAAGGTAAAGTATATATTGATATCTGTTGAAAACAAAATAGCAACAAGTCTTTAAGTATATACAGTCATAACCTGGCGAATAAATTTGGATACTTATTTAAAATTTGTTAGATAATAATGCTTTATTTTGTGATAACATTGATAATTTATTTGCTGACCTATAACTGTCACATGTGCCCTTCCAGCATGATCCTGATCTCTTATCTGATTGGCTGCACTGGCTGCTTTAATCTTTTCTGTTCCTTTCGCTTTTGGTCCAACATAAACATAAATCTCACGTCCTGTGTCCAAGATGAAGCAGTCTCCCTTATTCATAGATTTTATATCCACTGCCACCTAAAGTTCATATTGTGTATTAAGTAGTTTTATGCTTAGTTCATTTATCATGAAAAAATCTTTATCTTATCTTTTTAAAATACCTGTTTGACTCTTATATTCTTCTTTCCTTTAACTTGATACAGTTTCTTCTCTCCTGGTGCATTGATATCAACATGCTGGAAACCTGAGGCAGCACCTCCAGGAACATACCTGATACCAGCTGAAAAAATTAATAAGATTATGAATACTCAAATGAATAATATCCTAAGAGTGAAAGATAAATCTATTGGGTACACATCTTTGCCTGTAGTAATTAAGTAAAATACGTCTCTGTTTATATAGAGATGGATATATAGTTTACTATTGAATTTGTAAGCATATCTTGAACATTTTTCATATCTATCTATAGACTGATTAGAAGATTAATTCAAAAGTCATAATGTAAAAATATCTTTAATAATATTAAAAAATTAGGTTAATAAACTAATAAATATATAAATGCTTTAAAGCTATAGATGAAAATTGAATTTTGTTTGCAGGACACACCAGGCTTGAAGAGACTGAGGAACTGCTGTGATTCATGTTCTTGAACTTCCCTGTGCTGTACTGGCCCACCTCCAAGAGAATCATCAAGTTCTACAGATAATATTGCTGCAGCTCCGGATTCATCCTAAAATTTGACAAAAACTTTTCTCAATAAAAAATATTTTATGACTTTTTATGTACTTATTTATTTTCAAGTTTTTCACTCTCGACTTCCACAGGATAAATAGAAAACTTTCTGGTGAAATTATTCCTCATGGTGAATGAGGGATTCTATGTATCAGGATGACAAAAAGTAGAAAACTACATATACATATATCAGGATCAATTATTAATATTTTCTTAATCAGGACGCATAAATTGCTTGTAATAGGACAGCTCACGATTATGAGTTGCCAACATTAATGAAAAATTCAAGTTTGATTACTGATGGTGAAGACTATCAATATCGGTACTAGTGAGGAGAAATTGTTCTGTAAATGGGCCTCGTGATCCTTTTTTCCAATCCCTGATGTCTACCTAGAGTTTGCTACCACATACTAATCAGAGTGGGAGTGTCAAGATTCATTCCTTTGGATCACCTAGAAATAAATATTAACTGACACACCTGGGAATCGAACCCAAGTTTTAAACTGTGCACACTGGGATCCTTGCTGCAATGTGTTTGACAACTGTATCCTCATGACTATAAGTACTAAGAAAAAAACTACATGCACACATCTGAAGGACATAATACAACCATCTGCCTTTAAGACTATAGATGCTAATGGGATGTCTATTAACACATTGTCCTTATGTAAAATGTGCAAAACAATTTTGTAGTTAAAAATTAGAAAATAAATATTTTATATATTTTAGTTCTTAAGTACATCCTTTAAAATAATGTGTGTTAATTACAACTATCCTAATTAATAATATATAATAGTCACCTGTGATGTTTTAGATCCAAGCCAGAAATAAATGTCCCATGTAAAAGTTCCTTTTTTGGACTTATCTTCTTTTGACTAAAAAGTAACAGCAGGTTAGTAATAAAAAAAAAAATGTAACAATCAAAATTTTTTACAGAAAGAAATTTTTTAAATAAAATAAATTGCACTTACATGTAGGAGAATATAGGAATCTCCTTCATAGAATTTACCAAATTCTTTTTTATCTACAGGCTGTGGTTCAAAACTCTGTAAATTTAATAATGAAATTCTGATTAATTCTTTAATATAATTATTATATTGATTTAACATAATTATTCTATTTATCTATTATATTAAATTTTTTCCAAAGATAATTCAACAAAACTGGATCAACTCCAATAACAATATTGAGGAGGTGAGAATATCATTTCTCCCCCTTCTCCCTAACAAATATGAAGTAAAAAAAGGCTGTTCCTTCCTAATATATATTTAATGTATACAGATATGTAATATAATCAATTGTTTTGCTCAGATATTTTAAAGTACATTTCTACTATAAAAAAACCTTTCCCACCATAAAAAATCCTACAATAGGTATATACAGGGTGCCCCATAAGTAGAGAGAAATGTTTATAGGAGTGATACCAGATCTCAAGAGCCACAAAAAAGTTTATATAGACATTGGTCGGATTTCTAGTATGAAAGTAGGAAATTAAAGTGTGTTTTTTTTAAGTAAGTCATGTTTTTTGTTGAATAGGAAGTGATAATTTAAAAAAAAACGATTTAATTGAAGTAGTTAAAAATTATTTCACTGCAAACTAGAGAATATTTGAAAAAAATAAATAAATAAAAGAACTAGAGAAAAAAGAGGACTTTTAGTGGCTAAAATAAGCTAAGTTCGGTTTTTTAAAAAATCATAAATTATACCTGATTTTTATTTATCATTCTCCAACTATACTATAGATCACAGGCTGATCAACGGGGGGAGGGGACTTTTGGGATGAAGCCCCTCCCAAAGTGGTAAAATATAACCATGTTTTATAGAAAAAAAAATATTAAAAACTATCTCTAAAACTATTTTTGTTCGTGTAATTACATTTAATAGGACTTCAAGAATCACTAAGACACCATGTCATATGATATAAGTTAGTTACTTTCTTTTTATTTTCAAATTAATTAAAAGAAAAAAAAATCCTTCGGGCTGAAGCACCCTCACCCAATATTAAATCTAAAAAAACGTCCTCTTTTAATACGTTTTAAGGTAATATTAATTAAGTTGAGGTTTATTTAGAAAAAAAAATTGAGATTCACCTCAAGTTTTGTAAACAAAATGATGTGATTTCATATCATGTCATCTGAAAGTAACCGTTTTTTTTTCAGCAAAAATGGCTATAATGAATCATTGCAAAGCTTCAATTGTTTTTTTTTTCCGATTATCTGGTAGTTGTAGTAATAAATATAAATGTATAAACACATTTTTATTTCTAAAAAAAGCTATTAAAAATAATGATTTTTCTATTATTCCTCATTTAATACTTTAATAAATATTTATTTTTTAGTAATGTAAGATCTCTATTACAGGAATAATCTCTATTATTGGTCCGTATTTATAAGAGACAAATAATTATTAGAAATAAATGTTTCTATTGTTAAAATTTACTTAGTTATAAGTGACGAAATAAATGTTTCTAGTGTTAAAATTTACGTTTTCATGAAAATAATTTAAGCGATCAGAAGGTTTATTTATTTTAAACTCAGAGGTTTATTTGTTTTAAACGTAAATTTTAGGAATAGAAACATTCATTTCGTCATTTATAAATACAGATCAATTTCTGTAATAGGATATTAATAAAAAACGCATTTACATTATCATTTTAGATGATGAATAATCGGAAATTAACTATTTTTGACATTTTTATTTTATGAAAGTGTGTTTATGCATTTATATTGATTATTATACATTCTAGGTCATCGATAAAAAAAGAAGAAATTAAAGCTTTTCAATAATTTATTTTAACCATTTTTCCTGAAAACACGAGTTCTTTTAGGTGGCAGGATATAAAATAACATTATATTTTTTAAACAACTTGAGGAGAATCTCAAATTTTTTCCCCAATAAACCTCAACTTAATTAATATGGCCTTAAAGCTGATGAAACGAGGAAGTTTTTGTAAAACTCAGAAGTCCTCTTCAAATAGATTTAACAAGGGGAAATTCTATTTTCGTTTAAAGTAAATTTTGATTAGTTTACAGTGAGACAGTTGTTAATTACTTAAATAAAATATTTCTTTAGTTTTTATTAGTATTTCCTGTTCAACAAAAAACATGACGCTTAAAAAAACATAAAACTTAAATTTCCTACTTTCCTGCCCCAAATAGGACCAATGCACATGAATATTTTTGTAGCTCTTGAGCATTGCTATCACTCCAATAAATATTTTCCTTTACTTACTTAGAGAGAGATGGCCATATAATACACTGAGTACCACGGGCGGATCTGCGAGGGGAGGGGTGCTTTCGGGCTTAAGTTCCCCCCCCCCAAATGGTAAAATATAATCATGTTTTATGGAAAAAAATATTAAAAAATTATCTCTTAAAGTATTATTGTTCGTGTAATTACATTTAAAAGGACTTAAGGAATCACTCAAACACCATTTCATATAGATAGATAGTTTCTTTCTTTTTTTCCGAAGTAATTATAGTTATTTTTTATGAAAAAAAAAAGCTTTCGGGCTGAAGCCCAACCCTCCCTCCGCCCAAAATTAAATCCTGGATCCGCTAGTGCTGAGTACCAAGTACCAACTATTTTACTCAAATTCAATCACTATTTCAGTTAATCGTTTGAAATTAACTGAAGTAATAATTAAATTCTTTGGTAATCAAAAAAGGTCAGTATTTGAGTAAGATACTTGGTACTCAGTACTCAGAGTAGCATTTGCCCATCTCTGCCTGTGTATAAATTTATTCAGTATTATATTAGTTCGTTTCACAATAATTAGTAATTATGTAATACTATTAATGGAATAACCTTAATTCTAGGGTTGTAATGTTTGGGTTCAAGGGCTTAATGGATTAAATTTGGTCGATGGACGCCGGGCAGCCCGGAGTCTGCGAGGGTGAAGGAAATCAATAAGTCTCTCTATGATAATAAAAGAAATTCATAGGAAGGGAGGCCAATCTATTTCATGGGATTTATTGTTATGGTTGTTTTCTTTCATAATAAAATTATAAAAATTATTGAAGAAAAAAAAAATTATCAATACGTGAACTGATGTTTGCACTATCTAAGGGCAAAACTATTGAGGGAAATCCGTCTCTATATTATTATAGAAAATAATTTTCTTCAGCTAGTTTCAAAAGGAAACTGCCCGTACCAAAGTTTGTATATGAGCGGTAGGCTGCAGCAGGACCTGGCTGCTTCAACCTCGCAAGAAGAGGACCTCCTTCTAGAAAGGTAGAAGAAAACCGGTACATTTCAATATATATGCTAAGAGACTATTAGTAAAAAGTAAGAAGTTTTTCTTGCAGGAGTGCGATGTTGTGTAATCCTGCGTAACATCGCAATATCGGCAAAACTCGTATTGCCTAAAAGGCAGAGAAGGATTTATTAAATGATTAAATATAACGTAATATGTTTTATATTTGTACTCAATGGTTTCTTATTACCAAATGGTTAGATATATTTCAAAAATGTCTGAATTGTCCTCTCGCACAAATTTCCATATCGCCAAGTCGAATACACTTGTTTACTACATTTCGCTAATATTGGGTCAATTAAGTTTTCATATTCAGCTTTTTAGACAAGTAAATCGTCAGCTCAAAGGCGTACGCTTATTTCATCTTAGGGGGGAAAATGGAATTTTTTTTTTTTCGGAAATGTTTATTATTATTATAATTTATAAATGTTTTATATGAAATACAATATATACATAGAGCAACAACCTTTAAAAATATTAATTTTCTCGAATTTTCTACTAACCTTTTGTGTTATAATGTTTTATTTTCCATCAAATTATTTAGGGAGTGGGGGGGGGGATGGAAAGAGGGCAACGTATCCTCTCCAACGTACGTCCATACGTCAGCTTATATCGAAAAGTCATTAGGTAACACTTAATTGGATTAAACACCATGTAACTTGATGAATTTTTACTCTGTAAAATAAATAAATACTGTGTACTTATTAAAACGATGTTTTGATAAGTAATATGGTTTGTGTTATTTTGATGCACTTGAAGTCACTAGCGGATAGGGATAGGGGGCTTTAGCCCGAAAGATTTCTTAAAAAATATATAACGATAATTACTTAAGAAGTAAAAGTAATTAACTAACTACCTATATGAAATAGTTTTATCTTTTATTTTAAAGTGATTCTTTAAGAACGTATAAGTTAAATGTAATTACACGAACAATAATACTTTTAGGTGTAATTTTTAAATATTTTTTCATAAGACATGGTTATATTTTACCATTTTGGAGTGAGGAGGGGGAGACTTTAGCCCAAAAGCTCTCCTCCCCCTCCCCGTAGATCCACCTGTGCTTGACGAGTTTTTACATCTATAAAAGTAATCGAAATTCACATCGTATGCATGTAAAAGTTTAACATCGTCAAAAGGCTAGGATTCATTAAATCATTTAGAATTGAGAAATTAATCGAATATATTTTCTGATATCTGCCGGAACTAGCAAAGCTTTAAAGTTATTTTAACAAATGGCTATTGTATCCTTTTCTGGAATGTTTTTTAGCAAAGAAAATTTTTAATTAATTGATTTAATCTTGTTTGTATATACAAGGATCTAAGTGTAAGGGCATTCTTGTGTCTATTATAAGAAAATCTCTCCCAGGCCGTTGGCTGGTACACAGCATTAATAAATAAACTCCTGGTTCTGAGAGCTTGTAAGGAATACTACTGCATTTCTTTCATCTTATTTTTGGCATTGATTTCTTCTTTTTTATGACTGTCCCTCATTGAGTCTGAAATAACAGAACATGTTTATGTTTCTAATGGATTTTATTTTTGAAACTAAATGGCTTCAGTGTTGGAGGAAAATTGAGTAGATAGAGAAAGAGATCCCTAATTGCACTAACCCTAAATATTTATTAAAGTTAAAAAAACAGATCCTACTTATCCTTTGAAAATATTCATGCATGATCTTTTTTTTTTTTTATAATAATTCAAATGAATGATATGAAACTCAACGAAGTAGCGATTTTTTTTGTTATTGTTTGATAATAAACAGTTGGTATCACAAACAAAAAAGAAACTAAA